AAAACTGTTGTAACTTGTTGTAACGAAGGGCACATTTCCAGTGACAAATGTTAACACGGCACTGAGAGCTTATTCAACTATTATTTACGAGAACATACTTTCTTTCCTTTTCAGGACCTACAGGCATTTTCACTTAAGGAACTGATTTGTTTTTAAACCTGCCTGTTAGATTGATGCTTGAGTGGCCTTTCGGGGGGGGGGGGGGTCTAGATTTAGACTTAAATTTCAATTAAATGTGGACTGGAATTGCGAAAAATGGCAAATGGGGACAAGATATTAACAGTACTTCCAACCAAAATCAATCAGCAGACTGAAATGACCTGGAGCCAAACACAGTATCTGTGGCAGCACAGAGAAGCTGGGCTGCCTTCACTCTCTGAACGTCTTGCTCAGGAAGGGGAGTGAAGCTACAACAAACTATTTCCATTATCAGTTCGTATACGTTGCTTTCCCACAGTCAACTCAATGATCGGTCTGTGAATTCAATTTTCGACATATAAACTGTAGTAGAAGCTTGTTTTTCCTCCAGATTGTAGTGATTAAAAACAAAGCAAAACAACAAACTTTGCGAGGCAGGGGAGAGCAGGCAAATTCATTTTCCGATTATTTTTTCTTGATCGAGCTTTACGGATGATTCCTCTGGAGGTTTTAGCCCGTTTGCCTCCCGCTCCCACACCAGCGAGCGGTGTGCCCCAGTTCTGAGACTTTGTGTGTTTGTGCAAACTGCCCCCTCCTCAGCTCTTTATGCTAAAGTGAAGACAACTTAGCTTAAGTCCCATCTGTTTCACAACACCTGGAAGTTTCTTGACATTCTTCAAGACTGAGTTTCCGTCCTGTTTATTATTCTTCTCTGAACACACAACATCTCCTGCTTTCTTTGTCCCTCCAACAGGAGGGATCCATTTCATAATGTTTTTTTTGTTTTCTTTTCCCCCTTTTAAAAGGCTCTTAGCAACAAAGTCAAAACTAACTTTAGATTAAATGAGTGACTGGATTTAAAGGAAAACGTGTGGGGGGGAAATAAAGTTTAGGATTGTTTTCGAGCTGCATCGTGTGCATCTTTCTTTTATTCGTCATAAAAGCTTTGCGTTATCAATGCTCATCCCGCTTGTGTGAAGCCATCTACAAAAGATATCCTTTGAAGCTGAGCTTGCATGAAGAAGCTATATTACCTCACAAGCTCTTATCTTGTGCCTTTGGGGCCTTGCATGTAGCCACGAAATAAATATTGAAATCTGGAGAGGCTGACTTGAAAGTGGATGGCTTATGTTGTAAATGTCATCCTTTCCTTGGTCAATTGAGTCAGTTTACAGAATAAAAAAAAAAAAAAGACAGAGATGGAAAAACACAAGTGATGTCACCTCTCAGCCTCGTCACAGCCAGCAGAGTACAACGTTCTTTTTTCTTTTTAAACTTGTGAAACTTCGTTTTATAAAATAGCTTTATTATAATTGCACTTTTATATCTTGGCCAACTTGGTTTAATTCTCATGCTTCTGCAACATGTCTGTCTCTGCAGAAAAAGTTGTCAAAATCATATCAATTTTGGCAGGTTGAACAAAACAAGATACAATGAAGCCTTCATTATATCTATACAATTCAAAAAGCATTACATTCTCTCCTCCCTTACCTCTACACTGAGCAGCTAGATGTGGACTGGGTGCTGCAAGATATTGTGAAATGTACCTGCAATCAAATCTATTAAATTACCCTAAATGAGACTTCAGAGTTTTTAAAAAATAACTCAAAGGGCTTTATGGGAGACTGAGGCATGCCCTGTAAAGCAGCCACGGGTGTTGGCAGATACCAAATTGCTAGTTTGGGTGATATATTTTGGAAAATGGAAAGTCGTGTTTAAGCAGAAAATCGAAAGCGAGCAGCTGCAGTCGGGTGAGCGACAAACATTTCAGAGGTTCATTTCAAGAAATAAAATTATTACTTTCTGGAAGAAGAAACTCTATATGTCTCTGTTTGGTAACAGGGAGTGAGTTTTAAGGAATGGAGTAGCTATGGAAGAGTTTCAATAGTCTACAAATGCATAATCATCATTGTGCTTATAAATGAGAAAATGTTGGCTTCCTAAAAAACTATGAAGCCATGTTATAATTATAATCTATAGCTTCCACCACTTGAGTTGTTTTTCCCCTGCCGCTGCGCTGTGATTAGTGTGCTTTTTCTTTATTTCATCATCTCTCTTACTGTGCATTTCGAGAGATCTAAAGGTGAACACGTAAATATGCAGCAACCCATAAAGTCTGAAAACCACTGGTATTTTTTGTTGCTCTTCCAAGCGCAGCATCATTGGACTGCAAGGTCTGTGTGGTTAAAAAAACAAATAAATAACATGCAGGGCCAAACCTCGTTACAGCACAGATAAAACAACGCATTTGTGTTGCTTTCATGTGCTGAAAAATGTGAAAATCTAAATACCATTAATAACTGAAAAGCCAACTCCCCAAAGTAAATAGACATCTCTCGTGCACTAATCTTATGTTAACTGCTTCAAAGGCGAACCGCCGAGCAAATTTTTACCGAAAATCTCCCTTACTTCATCCTCGTCCTCTCCCTCTGTCATCTCTCTGTTGTCAGTTATGAATCTACCTCTGCTTTTCTGTCCTTCCTCTCACCTTCCCCAGCATCCTACACTTCTCCCCTCCATCCTGTGCTCACATCAAAATCTTCCCCTAACTTTTCTCCTCTTCTTGACAGCAGATCAATCAAGTCACTTTTCTGGCCCAGCTCCTTCTTCCTGGTGATAACAAGCTATGCATCAGGTCTCGTGTCACACCTGGATGAGGCAATATCATCAGTGGGTATTTCAGAGCATATACCACATATGTCCCTCTTGAAACCTTAAGGCGTGGTTCAGAAGACAACTCTGCTTGTGTATCGAACAATCCCCCTTTGGGTTTGGAACAGAACAGCAACTTTACGCTAAATTCAATACAAATCTAATTTAGGAAAATGTCACCTCCTATTGGGTGGGATGCTACAATAACCGCTGGTAGGAAATGGAAATAGTGATCTATGATTTCAATACACGTCTCCGGTCGAAGCATTTTGGAGGAAGAAGTATTATCCCAACCGATAATAACCATATCAGGGGGAATGAAAATACAAATATAAAAACACTGAAAATGTATCCAATGTATCCTTTCTGGAGCTTCCCTCTTATCCACGGCGCTCTTCAGAGGATATACTGAATGTCACATTTTCTTTGGGCTAAGAGATATGAGGCACTCTGGCACCCCTCCCCATCCTCCTCTTCCTCCTCCTAGGGGAGCTCTAATGAAGTAGGAGGCTGGTTAGAGGGGTAGTCTGTAACTCACTATTTAGACTCAAAGGAATCAATAAAATATGGAGGACCTAAGTTCCCTTCAACCCTTTATTGTTCATTTTCTTTCCTTTATTCCCCTTATCTTTAGTACTGAGGAGGGTGTTGTTTTCTATATTTGTTTTCACCCCACCTTATGTCTACCACTCCTGTCTTAATCCTGTACCTGTACAGTATCATTAGCTTTGCCTGCCTTTCTCGTTTAGTATGTAATTAGTATGAAACATGCAGAAAAAATGTTCCAATTCTATTCCCACCTATATTTTTCTCAGTTGTTGCAGTGTTCTCACACTGACACTCCCGATTTTGCACAGAGAAGTTCTCAAACAGAGAAAACAGACTTACGAAGAGGAAACACTGATAGAAATCAGATCACTTAGAAAAAAAACTGTGTGAACTTCATCTGCTTCGGTACAAACTTCTGCTTTTTTACCCCTGGAAGACTTTAAATCTGTGGGACAACAATGCCCCCTTAAGGCCAAACATGGAGGTGTGTATCTGTGAAGTGGATCGTCCTCACACTTAGAGTCAGCCTTGTTTTAGCCCCCCAGCTATCTCCACCCACGAAGGGAATTGTGTAAGTGGATTTAAATAAATTCCTGACTCTTTTGTAAGCTTGGGGAAAACAGCAGAGAACAGTCCTAAACATTTTCAAAAAAATCTAACTGCAGACTCTTTCATGAAGATAAAGACAGACTTTTTTTTTTTAGGCTTAGGCCTATAGGCCCATATTTAAGACAGCAGAAATTTACATATGTCATGGCTAATTCCACATTTAAGCTGAGCCTGTATACTCTAGGGGCTGAAGACAAACCAGCACGCAAGAAAGGCACTTGACTACTCAGCTGGAAAAAACCCATCCAGGCTCAGAGGATAATCAGTCCCTCCGATTTGAAACAAAAACTGCTTTAAAGCAAGCCTTTTGAATGCCCGAAAGCCATAACTAAAATTTCCTGTATCTATAACAACATGACAAAGGTCTTGTGTACCATTCATAGTCTTTTGAATTTATTTTGAGAGTTTATCAACAGCATCTCACAGAGGAGATGTCAGTTTTTGAGGATGTGGAAGAATCAAAACACTAATCCGGGAAACAAAGAGTTTAATTAAATCACAGACTTTAAAGGCTGCAAATCATGTACTGTGACAAGGATGAAGTCTTTTGAGCATTCATTGTGTTTGTTTCAGCTACAGAGCAACAAAAACCAGAAAAAAACAGAAATTAAAATTGGCTATTAGACTGAACACACAGCTTGGAGAATAGGGATCAAAATAAACAATTCTGTGTGAAAAGCACCACAGCTGAAAATCTAAAGTTAAAACTACATATGTACCATGTTTCCTCAAGCTTTCTTTCATCTCTTTTGTGTTTCATTAATCTATTTGAGACTAAAGGCTTATGAGGACACTGGCCCGATACTTTCTGATGTCCTTAAACAAAACGTTTAAATTAGGGATACAACTAGAAAACATAAACCATCATCATGATTGTTCTCCATAAGGCAGAGATCTAGATTAAATATAAAGAAATACGTACAGTCCAATTTTAGCTACACAAGTCCCTTAAAAAACACAATAAGACCCTGGAGGTTCCAGATAACGAGCTCCCTAATCTCTGGTCTTTCCACTACAGTTGTTCCAGAGCCAGATGCTTGTCTTCCTCTGGGTCAAGACAGGCAGCCGTAGCAAGGAATGGTCAAATTTAGAGACGTTTGTGTTTCTAATAGATACGTGGAAGTATACTGTACAGCGCTTCTGTGAGCCCATACCTCTGACTCTTCACTCTGGAGCCCCAGCTGGAGGACAGCACTGGGAGACTTCAGCCTGGCTTGGCTGGACTGGGCCATCTGCAGGTTGAGCTGCCAGCCGACATACTCCAGCTGAAACACACAGGCAACCAGCTTTTAATATTAACAAATGAATACCTTACAAACATTTAAAACAACCTATTTTTTTTATAGACAGACAACAAAGTCACAGGCTCAACTATGCTGAGCCCTAAAGTTGTTCATTTAACTGGACCAATGCACAGGACTGGAATTGAGTTTTTGATGGAGGCATAGTCTGAGGCAGTTACAGTCCGAAACTTATTAGAACATTCCCGATGGCATTCTGCTAACTCCAAACAGCAATACGGCATTTTAAATCAAATCATCAAAATGTTTATCTTTACTTTCTTACCAATCATGTTATTATTGTACTTTTTTGCTAAACAAGCACTTACTTTGTGTGCATGCATCTTAAATAGTTATTGATTCAAAATGGTGGAAACAAGACCTATCCTCCACATATTTAGCTTTAATGCACAATTCTGTTTCTTTGATGATAACAGGAGGTCATCGCATTATGGATTTTTTATTCCTCAACTAGCCAAATATGAAGAAGTCCTATGTGATGATACAGTTTTAATGAATCCATGTGGTGTCTCATCACACTAACCTTTCCAACTGCCCACCTGATTTACAGAGATACTTCATCAGTCAGCTGATGTGATAGATTAGCAGCACTGAGTCAAGGCAGGACAGTTAAATGTTTTATGATGCTAGCAGAGGCCATAATAATAAACTATGTGTGACTTAGTGAGCTTGGATGCTTCCACATCATCTGGAGACAGGTGCATGGCTTAGCTTCCTTATTCAGGTCACCACTCCATTTTCTGAGGCTTAACAATAATTCAAATTAACCGAAATAAACACAAATGTAAATATTGTGTTAAATTACAGGCTAATGTAGGTTTTCAAATGAGAAAAAAATTACTACTATGTAAAATGTAACGTCAGACTGATGGCGCCAAAAGAGATTGGAGACACAATTTGCAGAAGAAAATATCCATGAAATACTGGGTCATCGGGCAGAGAACCTCCAGTTCTTGCCCATATGCATGAGAAAACTGTTTTTAAATAATGTTACTGAAAAAAAAAGACTGGAGCGGATTTTAATATTTGTTGCTGTACGATGAATATCATTAAAATATTTTAGAAATCTGGAGCAACATCAGTGTAAGCAGGGCAAATGTGCAAGCCTTTTTTTTCTTCGAATCCTCAAAACTAGAATATCTTATAAGCCTTATGCGAAGGAAATGGAAAAGGGAAAAGCAAATGTAGGATTCTATGCTTTTTCTTCCCTCTTTTTTCTCTGCTGGCCAACAAATTAGCCTGTGAAATACATCACTGAATAATGAGCATGAATTTCATGTCCGATAGTAGTCAGTGAATAGGATGAAGAAGGAATAAGGCAGTGAGTGGAATAAAAAAACTCTTGAAAGGAAATCGAATGGCATGTTTATTATTTAAAAAGACAGCCCGGCACTTAAAATGAGTCTTAATGGTTACCAAAAACTATATTTGTATCTAAATAAAAAGAGAAAGTGGATGTCAAATAATACATATACACATTCCAGACTGCATATATTACACGAGTAGATTAACTGTTCAGAGTCAAAGCAGTGACAGGTGGCCTCTGGAGAGGTAATGGCTGTCACTGCTTTCCACTTGCAAATTTGTGGGGGAGGGAAAGAAAACTTGTGAGATACATTCAGGTGAGCATCTGAATGTCAGACGGCAGCCTAAGCTCCAGCATAATCTGTACATGCCGTTTATGTATGCTTTGTTAGATCTATTTTCTGAAAAGAAGGCCATTTGAAGTAACTCATCAAATAACAGGCAGAAAAAAAACACGTTAATAATTGATGCTACATCTTGAGTAAGGTTTAAAAAAAAAAACACTGCACAGTTTGAAATAATTCACCCAGAATCCTGCGTATATTAATATTGTCAGTTTGAAGTTGGAGAATTATTTCACTGAAAGACTGTTTATTAAGGCTGACCTTCTTTGGGGCAAAGATGTTACGCTTTAGCTTCTCCAGCAGCTCCGGTCCAGCAGCAGCCCAGGTTTGGGAGAACACCTCAGCTTTTTCTGGACTTAGATGTATCACCTCTAGCTGCTGTTGCAGAGAGGCTGGCTTTATGTTATGATAAACTGCCTGGGAGAAGTGAGATGAGACAAGAGGAAGGGAGGTTATCAATATAAATGTTGAACATTTTGTGAGTTTTTTTGTTAGTTTGTTTGATTGATTATTTTATTTAAAGCCCATCTGTTAATTTACATCTTATACTTAAGTACAACCATCATATCAATACAATGAATGTAATAAAATAACTGTCCATATTTTTGTTTCAGAAGCTTTTAACAAAACCACAGTGACCCCAGCTGGACAAAAAGGCTCATTACCTCATCAGAGACATATCAACCTAACCTTTTGAACTGCTCCTATATTTAATGTGTATTCTTAAGCAGAATATAGTATCTATTTATTCATTACCTCATACGCAAAGCAGAGAATAAGCACATAAAATCCTGATATGTGCTTTGTTGTACCTTTGGAGTAACAGCATCAGTCTCACCGTACCATTTCTTTGAGGTTTCTTATTTGTCAGCTGCTCATCGTGATTATATTTATTACTTCAATTTACACCTCTAAGGATGCTGGACACCCACCTGCTCCAAAATAAAAGCTGCCGTTTCCAGGACTAAATTAAGAGCATGTTTATCCAATGACAGAGCAGCTTGGAGCTTTTGTTCTTCTTCTTCACTGAATGTTTGTTCACCCTACAAATAAAAAATATTCATTACGTTCAAGTGAGAAAAAAACATTGAATTATCACTGCTTTCAGGAAAACATTTTGTTAGAAAAGCCTTAAGATGGAGTTGGAGAAGAAGAATAAGTCTGATTTAAATTATTTCAATACAGACTGAATACAGATATAGAAAGATCATCATGAAAATACAGCTGTTATACATGTAAGAGGTGGTTCTGAATTTTTACTTCCAGCTCAAATAAGATAAACAAAGTAAATGTGATATTCATGGTGTAACACACAATTCATGAACTGATCAAATCGTCCTATTTGGCACATTCTTTGTTGCCAAAGTCTCACAGCTTTGCCTCATATGATTCTCTGCTTACTTTGTACCTTCAAATGAAGCTTTTGTATGATCCGGGAGATCAGCCTTGACAACTTGTTCACATCAATCGTGTTGATAAAGGTCACTGCTTCTTTAATGCTGTTGGGGAAGAAAAGTAAAACGTGTTCATGACAGCAATGAAGAAAATCTTTGAATGAGTTTAAAGATTAAGAAGAAGTGCTTATATTTCTAAACCCAATGACAGCATAATTCTCCGAGGTCATTTAACAACACGAAATAAAAAACTTCCAGATTATGTTCATTTCAAGTACATTGGAACCAGTTTTGGTCGACTGGTTGTTTATTTATTTCTTTGTTTGTTAACAAAAAACGTGTTTTTAAAAAGCAGTGCTCAAGTAAACCTTAACGGCTACTATTTAAGTAATTGCCAAAAAAGTGATTAAATCGTTGGAAAAGTAGCACACAAAATGTCAGAGGTTAAAAGTAAAAAAATAAAAGAAACAGAAAAAAAGATAAATCGATTAACCAGTAATATTTTTGCTGGGTCTCTTCTGTACCAATTTACTTTCGGGACGTGACAGGCAGCTTGACGTCAGTATCTAAAGTAAATTACTTTGTAAAGTTCATAACAATGGACTCACCTTTGTGTTTCTTTAATGATGGAAGTCATTGTGTTTTGTTCTTTCTGCAAACGAAGACTACTATGTGTCACAGTGCTAGCAGCATCCTCAAACTGTTGCCATATTCCCTTCCGGTTGTCACGAGACGAATCACGTGACAGGCAATTACAGCAAGCAGCAGCGGACATTTAGGACGGAAAGAAATTCAGTCGCAACGAAAAAGTTCAATCAAATAAATGTTCTGACCAGTTGAGTCTGAATACTCAAAATATAATTTGCACATAAAATGTGTCTGAAAGGACACGAGAGTGTATCTGTGACAAAAACTGAACTATCCTTAAAGAATATATAAATAAATGAGTCTTAGCAATCCCATTTATGCTAAACACAAGGTCCAAGGATCTTGAACCAATAAATGTTTGTGAACAAATATGAAGAATTTAAGAAAAAAAGTACAATCAAGAAAAGCAATAATTATCAGATATCTTCACTTTTAATCAATTTAGTCAATGGTTGTTTAATTTGGTTTAAATTATTGATTTACTTTATTTATTTTTTTGCTTTTAAACTCTTTGTAAGGCTCTTTGAATTGTCTTGTACATGAAACGTGCTATACAAATAAAGTTGACTTGCCCATAACACAAGAACAGGGCCCAAAAGTTCTCTGCAAGATTTCGAGAGGATGTGAGGCCACATGAACAAATCGCAGTAGACTGTGGAAATTCTTTGCAATTTATCTTCACCTCGACATGGTCGCACTTGTTCATCCTTCCTGAGCTCAGCTGATTCATGGCTCCTCTTCGCTGGTGCCTGACATAAAGTAGTCCATTCTGTTCATTGGTTCCCCAGCACAGTCCATTAATCTCTGTCACTTTCATTTAATTTACTTTATATGAAAAAAAAAAAAACCCTGCATTACATTTCACTACATGTTATATAGTATTTGCATTATGGGATTGTGGTATTTTGTGCTTTTTTGCACTTTTCCTTCTCTAGTCATTTTATCTGACACTTTGCTGTATGTGAATTATAAATTAGTTATCCGTTTCAGTTAGAAAGGTATTTCTAACAGCAGTTTTTATCTTTTCATGGCAAACTACAACTTTTTTTGGGCCCATTTTACTGAAGTAATGAAGCACTCCACCCGTGTTTGCTGTTAATTACAATAAACCCCCTATATTAATCTGAGCTAAGTGTGATTCAGTTGGTAAAATGCTCACATATGAACAATTTAGAGACGTAAAAAAGCATCCACATAAATCATATGGGGTTATCAATCTGAACCATGACTATGTGATCGTCCAGCTGGTTTGGTTGAATGTTCACATTGTTTTGAAACATCCGTGAAGTTTGCAACGTGCAGTATTTAAAAAAGTAATGGAAATCCAGTGAACATGGTATGAAATGGTGCACTTGTATGTACTGAATCTACAAACAATCAAATAGAGCAAACTAAATAATGAAAACCCAAAATGAGTTTTGACAGTTTATTGTTGGAAAAGAAGAGAAAATGCACAGATGAAAATTAAGATAGATTTGATAATACATGAAAAATCTTTTAAAATATTTTCCATACAAATAAAAGAAAAACTCATTTCAGTATGTATATATCCATAACTCTGTCAAACAGCATAGAGTATCTGCAATGTAATACAATATTATTAGTTATTCTATAACTTAATACTGAGGCAGACCTGTTCCAACTGAGGAACTGAATTGGTTTTATTGACATTTCTTGATTGATATTCCCCCATTTGGAATAACAAAACCAGTAAGACTATCCCAAAACATCACTACCAGCAATGCCTTTTCATGAGTAAACACTTACTTAGTGAAATAACTTCAGTTAACAAAGATCTGCAATGAAGGAGCTGAATGTCACGAGCTTACCTCCAAAGAGGCAGAAGGAATGTACCACTGCTAAATAAATAATCAATATTTCCTTCAAATAGAAAAAACAAGCGGCAAAAAAAAAAAAAAAAAAAAGTTCTATAACAGGAGAACAAAAGACATAAGAACAGGACATGGAGTGTCAGATCACACAGTACCTTCAAGATGCAGAGTTTTGAGAAAAGTTAGTAATTTCAGGTTTTGGTAAACAGGTTGCATCACAGTAAACATTGGGGGACTTTTTATTTGAAGGAGGGTAAATTTGGCACTTTTATGCTGATGTCACCAATGTTGATGTTTCTGGGCATTTCCGGGAGGTTCATGTTCTTTACAGCTGATACGGCACGAGCAGGTGCTCCTGCAATACCGGCCTGTACAGACACACACGCACACACAACAAACACACACACAAGGAGGATCGATAAGATACGAGCCAGTGAAGCAAAAACACATGCTGTGGACACTGAACAATGAACACTGGACACACACGCACGTACACACACGCACGCCCACGCACACACACACACGATGCTAAACGGTTAACTGGACGAGAAACGGTCAACAGCTGACAAAATGCAAAGCACTGAGACAAACGACATGTGCAAAAATGGACATTCAGATGCCTTTATAGCTCCTTATGCGCATGCATTATTCGTTTCTACAATGATGAACATCACAACCAGAGCCAATTAAAGGTCGACTGTGAGGACATACTGTATTAGACTCGTCATTCACTAACTCTGATGTATTGAGCAGTCCTGGACATTTATCAGATGGACAAAAGGCAGCATTGCTTGGATAGTGAACCCACCAGACTCTTGAGGACCATAAAGGTAAAAATGCGAGCAGAGAATTGAGTAAAGCAGGAAAATGGATTTGATATGAAGACGGAAAAGATGCTTAAATAGATGGGTATGTATAAAATGTGTGCACATCGTACATACTTTAGCCATCATAATCAAAAGGTGATACTGTACCTCTAGTGGGTTGAATCTTTTCTGGAGTCTACGCATGATTGTAACTATAACAATTGTCTTTTAAATACATATTTGTGGATAAAAGAAAAAGAATATTGTGCCATGTATACAATGGTTGTGTTAATTACTGATGATAGACAAAGGAAGGCTGTGAGCCTACAACTGCTAAACTACAATGAAAAGGTCTACTCTCAGGGACAGAGGAGGCACTACACTCTAATGCAGTGAGTCTCAGAGGGAAACGGTTTAAGAGAATTTCACTCTTTCTTTTGTTTATTTCTTTACTTAAAGTGATCCAGAGTATATCTTCTGGAACACTCGAATGCCTATAGACAGAATAATTGGAAGCCTTAAATGTTAAAACACATTTGAGAACCACTGCAGTTAGAGCCCTCGGCTGAATCTTTCGCAGACAGACCCAAAAAACAACCAACAAAAAAAACCCTAAAACTAAAAAAACTAAAACCTTAAGAAACTTTGTAAATCACAAAGTGACACAAAGTATGCCCGGCGTGACAATGAATCCCCCTCACTTTTTCACAAGGTTATATCAATGGACCGTTTGTCCGAGGAGGATTCCTCCCTCTGCCAGGAATCAAGGACACTGGTGTGAGATGGGAGGACAGCCGTGTCAGTAAACAAGCGGCCTGCTGAGGCAGCTCACAGGCTCAGCATTCACGAGCAAAACTTAAAATATTTGCCTACCCTTGCGCTAGGTTGTCTGGAGACTCGCTGTGGGTGATCCTTTTAGAGGTTTTCCGACCCTAAAGAAGTGGTTTGAGCCCCTTGCAGTCGGCAAGTTGGAGCCTTTTAACAAGTTCAAGCAGTGCACATCTGTGGTGCTATTCTGTGATCGAAAGCTTCATGTTGCCACACAGCTGAACTATGGTAGAGCTTTTGGTTTTGGGATATATGCTTCCACAATTTTTCAACGAGAATCAGCCACAACAATATGACCATTTCAAGCCTCAAACGAAGGTTTATCTTTAAAGATGGACACGGTAAGCACTTGAGTGGTTTTGGCGTGTTGTGAAAACAAGAAGTAGGAGTCCTTTTCTCAGCTACAGCTGGGATTTTAGAGTCAGCAGGGGTCAGGGCCAACCAAAAACTGTTTGGTTTTACAGTGTAATAGCCCAGTATAACCCTAATGGGTGCCTATCGATGTCCATGGGGATCAGGGGTTGACTCAGCATATCCCGGCCAAAGCCACAGCCTCTGCTCATCAAATGGACATGTGAGCATTAAAGATTAACCACAACGCAATGGAAGGAGGTCTGGTCTGCTGAATTACATTTCCGTTTCCAGCAGGCGAACATCGGCAGGAAGTGTTGGACAAACAAGATTTATTTGCGGAGGCCCCTCTGGCAAACTTCAATAATCGTCTAATGCACCTTGAGCCTACCAGTCAGTGCTGTTTTGGCCACAAAAAAAAAGGGGGAAACTACTTTATATTAGCAGTTGGTCAAATTGTTCTGGCTGATCTGTGCATGTAACCATGCCACGTAGCTTGAGCGAGCAGCTTGGAATTCTAATGAGGGCATGATTCAATTTAGATATATCAGATATGGTCTCCTGGCAACATCCAAACCATTAGCTTTGCATAAAACCATGGACATGGTCGTCTAGAGCTCTGTAATAAGATGTCTTAAACCTGCATTCTCTTTAAATGTACCCTGGAGCGCCTACTAAGAGAGAAAATAGAGAACTGCCTGTTTGGAAGTCTGTGAAAAGCAGCCCTGAAATAGATGTGTTTTACTACCTGAGGAAAGACTTCCTCTGGACCATTGACCGTTGTTTTTAATAACTGAAGATGCATTTACCTTCCACTGTGAGAAAGATGACGGATAGAAATTCTATTTCTCATTCCAACACAGTCAGATCTTCAGTTTGAGAAATTTCGACTAATATCGAATAAAGTAATGGACATAGTTTGCTTTATATTCTTAAACCGTGACAGAGAAAAAGAGCTTTTTCTAAAGAAAGTTTATGTATATGTGTGACATACATATATACATAAAAAAGTACAGACAACTTCAGCTGAGATAATGTTTATGATGTGAGCTTGTAAAATTCAATAAGGATCATTAAGCTTTCACTGTGTGTCTGGCACAATGCGATATTGTAATTTAAGCAGAATAATAACGGGCAGTTGTATTTTGTCAAGCATATCCGCTATTTTGTCCATCCCCTGCAGCATGGCCAGGGCGAATGCTCTTTACTAAAAAAGAAAAAGCCATCATTTCTGGGTCTGCCATGAAAGATTCCTACTGTATGTTAGTGACGTCAGGTTACCATTACATGGAGGATCATGTGGAGAGACTCGGAGGGGGAGTAAATTTAAGTTAAGGTTACAGTATTTGGTTATAAATTTAGCAGTACCTGGGTCTACCTGTCCTGCCTGGTAGACTGAAAGATAAACGTCTGTAAAGAGAAAGAAGAATGGAAAGAACTGGACAGGGTCAGGAAAAAGAGGAATGAGGAATGTTAAAGCAGATTAAAGTAATTACAGTTCATCTCCACAGAAAGTGATAGGACCCATCATACACCACATCTGTCAACGCAAAGGGGAATTGACCCTTTTTTGCAAAATAACAAGTAAATAAATGAATAATGGGATTCAGAGTTAGAAGAAAAGCTGAATGCCACTTAGTTTTTACCAGTTTGAAACAAGGACAGCTTGTTCCTCATTAGACATTGTCCTAAAAATTAACTGTGTCAGGTTCAATTAGCATTAGTGTGAAAAGCAAACTGTGGTCTACGATAGGTCCAAGAGGGGAAGCGACAGGGCAGCTCCAATGAAAGAAGAAGAGTAAAAAAAACGCGGCTTACAAAATGTCAAACAGTCTGGTTAAAGTCTGTCTGGTTAAAAGCACAGAATGCAGCTCATATTACACCAAAAACAAAAGCATTTTTACTACTAAGGTTTCATTTTTGCACACAACCCATCAGCCAGTTTGACACCAGTCAATTCAACCCTTCACTAAGCCAAGACAATACAATCAATTTGGTAGTTTCTCATTAAACATTTCCAGAAGTGCAGACTTGGTAATATGTTAGTGCTGCAATTTCCTACAAGTGGCTTGTACACAAAGTCAGATTATTAGTGCAATTAGGTTTTATGACGATCAGATGTTAAAAATCCGCACACAGCAGAAAAATAAAAATAAAAGATTTGTTAAAATTGTCTCTGGCTGCCTGGTTAAGACTCCCCTGTAGGTAAATGTTCATCTGCCGGCAGAAGCTGTATGGAAAACAAAGCAATGTGCTGGCATAGAGAAGTTATCTCAGCAGGGACACTGGAACAGAGAGCTCCAAAATTATCTGAAATTTCAGTTCTCCTTGAAAACGAACATTTTAAAAATGAGCCGCTGCTGTTTTTTTGTCTAATCTAGATGACATGGAGGATTTAATGGCCGCTGATTTTTTGGGGGTGCACTGGACAGTGGCACGGTTAGGTGTGACATAAGTCTGCGTTTCATAGCACGTGTGCGGTGATGAGTCCTGATCTGCGTTGGGAGCGGCGCAGCGGTGAGAGAAGAGGCCGAAAAGAGAGCACAAACACTCAAGAGTAGGTAAGGGAGCATCCACAAAGTCAGGGGAAGAGTGGCATGCAGGGTGCAGCATACACACATGCCCGCGCACTGTAATACACCACGTCAGAGGCAGAGTCCAGTCATACATACAGTGAGGTGGCAGCAACGGGCTTACCTCCGATTTCTCCATCTTGTTCTGGGCGTCCACCTGTGTGATGATTTCGTTCATGTTGGTCTCCAGGACCATCCCGCCCATCACCATCTCTGCCAAGATGTTGTGGACCTGACAAAAATGGCGCCTCTGCCATTAGTATGAAGTGTCTGTCATCGTTCATTATCATCATCTTCCCCTCACAGATGTCAACGAGTTTGTCTCTATTATCTGAGTACTTGGAGGTTATTTAATGAGTTTGTTCTGTTACCACTCAGTCTAACTTTGATCAATCAACTAATTTCCAGATACGCACAAGTTCATATCAATAAACCAGTTCCAGTTCAAGACCGAGCATGCTGGAAAACTGACCTGAGAGCCTTTCTATGATTATTTACTTATTATATTTACTGTTAATGATACGAATGTTATCAGAAAACAGCTTCACTTTGCAATAAGCCAGAGCAGCGTGCATGCTCTGTCAGGTCTGAGCAGTCTGATTTGCAACATCAAAGCTTTCAGTTGGGCTGCTGTTAAGATTTAAAACCTGCCATCTGAATCCTTGAGGTTTTGGACTCGTTTACAGAATTTCTCATAGTTGCTTCGCTCACTGACAAGATCCTGTCATGTTGTGTCAATCTCTGCTATCTGTATCGGCATCAAAATACAAATCTGATCTGTTCGTCACAACACAGGCTGTGAAACTGGAACATTCCAACCAAAACCATGTGAAATTGGTTGGAAAACAGCTCAACTGAAGCAGGGATTTTCTTCTCCACTTGATGGTGGAAATTAGGTTAAACTGCTCTGAGGTCTGTTTCTTTCCAACTGTGCTTCACGTGACTGTCAATGACCTCTTTCTGTAGTTTTTTTTCCCCCAATGTAGTTTATTAACTCACACCTCAATAAAAGAAGTTGTTTTTTTGTTTTTTTTAAGAAAAAGGAATTGGACTACTTAGTTCGCAGCCTACTTGAATGCTGGAAAATTCCTTCAGCGGTAGAAAACACAGAAAGGCCTTTGCACTCTAACAAACTTCTCAGAAACAAATCAACGACTGTGTCAAAGAGCTTAAAGTCCTCATGCAGCTGCAGCAGAGGAACAACCCCGACCTGAAGCCCCAGAGGTCCCAAAAGATCCAACATTCTGGTACATAAGGAGGAGCTTTCAGTATTGTGACTGTTCCAGGATATAGTCAATTTCTTCAATCAGCCTAAAATTCAAATTTATTGGAATTCATAGATGATGCTAAAAGTTTCAAATTTTTAATCTTTGAGAGTCTGACGCAACAACATTTTGCCAAGATTTAAAATCAATACTTCAGGCAGTTAAATTGGCAGCTTATGTTATCCTTTGTTTTCTCAACGAAAGTCATTAGGAACCGGCATATGAGCCTTTTGAAAGGATTTACAGCTCTCTAATCAGCCAATAAACCAGCATAAGGATTCTAAACATCCACTATATTCGTGTTGTTTTTAAGGAGTTGGTTGTTACAACTGTCCCAGCACTTATACAACATGTTTGAACTCATAAAAGTTCACCTGATAAGCACTACACTATAATGTCAGGCGATGCTCAATTATTGCAGTGATGTCACAAAAGGTCAAGGGAAATTGTGACAGCAGCGTAAACATGTTACGTGTCCGAGGCGTGAGAGTGCTTCCTACCTTGTCTACATGGAAAATTAAGTCAAGCTCACAGACATTCTCAAAGCACTTGTCCAGCGTTTCCACAAATACCTGAAAAAGAGTCGCACAAAGTTTGAAAATAAAAACACACTTGAATGCAATCGGCCATGTGGAGCGATGCTCCACGATTTCTTGCTCTTTTACCTGGATTAAGTCTAAAATTCCGAGCTCGCTCTCTGAAGAGTCGACGCAAAACACAAAGTACAAAGTGGCGTAGTGTCGGTAGATCAGCTTATAGTCCGATCCGCCAATCAACCTGAGGCACAGTGAGAGGAGACATCCCTGAGAACCGGCTGCAGGATGTGCAGCATCCACTCAGCGAAATACTTTCTGCTGTGCTTTTCCAGAAGCTTATCTTACTTTTTATCACCTCCTTCAAAATGAACACAAAGAAGCTAAAAGTTATCACACGCTGAACTGTAACCTGGCCACGAGCTGATATCACCCGTTGAAGTAAATATGTTATGACACAGACAAAGCAGAGGGCGAGAAACAACAGGATGTTTTCGGCGGGGAGTAAAGCTCGGACACAACATAAGCTAATATCAGAAGATATGACGGGCAGCCCTTTAAAGTCTGCTCATATGGCTGATAACAAATCCTGATAACAAATTTGGTTTGTGTTACCAAAGCTGCGTCTTGCTGACTCATTGATATGAATAAAGTGATTCTTTTTTTTTTTTTAAACAATGATGATACTTTGTTGTTATGCAAACACAATAACAGTTTCATATTATTTCTATTTCTGATTCGGCTTTAATTTCACACGGTCGAAAGATACAGCGTTAAGGGGGGGGAGAGAAGTGCAGTTTCATAAAGTAAACAACACCCACTTCCGTATTCATGAATGATGAATGAGGGCTACAATCAATTTCAATTCCTAAAGCCCTCCTTTACAGAGTGCAAAGATGGGGCATTGCTGCAGAGGAGGAGATCCTCTGGAGCATCCATCTCACTTCTTTACCTTTAGACACCTAACATAAGCATCTTATGACTCACATTCCTCCTTCTAGGAAATTGCAGACATTTTCGTCTCTTTTCGAGACCAAGTGGAAGGTTTCCCTGATGATCTGTTGCTCTGTGTCTTCAGTCTGGAGGAGGAATGAGAAAAAGGAGCCGGTAAAACACTGAGATTGGAACAAAACGGATGTGCTGGTCATGAGCTTAACAGCACAATTTCATTACTGTGAGCCAGTAGACTGAGCTGGCGGCTATCTTAACAACACCTCCCCCTCTGTGTCATTCAGGCAGCTAATAACCCCCTGAGGCCTGCAAATGATAGATCTCGTGTTTAAACTGAACCCAGACAGACATGTCATAGTTCACCAAATTGTACTAAAAGTTTCGGTTAAAAACCTGTAACATATTTAGTTGTTTTGGATCATTCCGCAAGGGATGGTCTGATGTTTTCAACGGGATTCGTACGCGTTCCTGTAGCCTAGACACAAATCCTGGAGACGGAGGCAGCCAAAGGGTGCCGATGTCCTCCAAGTGTCCATAACATGTCAGCGAGCACAAGGAGAGAGAGAGGGCGACCGGAGCGTCGCGGGCTGGAAGGCTCAAGCGGTCATGTGACAAGGCAGCATGGGACCGGCCGCAATGACCGTCCCCGGCTTAGTGACAGAGACCAGAGTGAGTGCAAGGAATGCCGGAACTTTCATCGGAACCATGGAGCAGCCGCCCTGCTCCGGCCAGTTGGGGCCCGGCCCCGTGCATCCGCTGGAGCCCCGCTCGGTGAACGGGGGCCACAGACGGGTGGTGTGTGTGTGGTGGTGTGTGTGTGTGTGTGTGTGTGTGTGTGTGTGTGGTGGAGCTGTGCAGGCGGTCGTGACGCGCTCGGTCATTAAAGCAAAGTGGCTTTGAATGCTGAGTCCCGCTTCCACGTCACCGACCTGTTTATGGTCTATGAGCAGCAGCACGGAAATATTAACGACACCGTTTCAAAGACAGAATAATGCGTTTGTGCACAAAATGGAGGAAAATCTATGAATAATTAATACACAAGAGACAGCCGAGTCAAATAAAACTGTAATGATATGAAAAAAAGGAGAACAAAAAAAGAGGAGAAAGTTTAACCAATGGGAAATAATGTGCATTGATGAACTAAAACAGGGTTTTCAAACACCGGTCCTGTAGGTTTTAGCCATTTTCCTACTCCCACACACCTGATTCTGATTCAATTGGATTTCCTCAAGACGTTGTTGAGCTTTGCTGGTGGCCCATTGTTGTGAATCAGGAGTGTGGAAACAGAAAAAAACCTGCAGGACAGTGGCAGTCAAGGAGCAGAATTTGACACCCGTGCACTACACCATCAGCTAAGGTTCTGCTCAGGACTGTCACAGTGTGTGGCAGAACACCGAGTCAGAACAGGCCTGCGTTCAAAATCTGCCAAGGCTGGAGATGCATGAATTTTCTTGTTGTTTACATTTCTGGGAGCATTTTTTCTTTCCCCCAGTCTGTTGTCACCTACATCCTGTGGCTTCATGTCTGAGCCAGCAGGCTGGCCCTAACTAACAGAATGACACACTCGCAAACACACATAATCTGTCACTTTTTTTTTTCAGTTTAGTTTCATCTGAGCTCGCCCTGCCACAAACAGCATTAAGCAAACCGCACTCTGAGGATAGTTTCCACAGCTCCCGGTATTGTACGCGTGAAAACGATATCCCGTGAGCCTGTAAGCTGACACCTCGGCTTGAAATAACAGATGGTGTTAACGTATCCTCTTTGTAATCCAATCAATTTCAATTTATCCTCCTGAAACGCACACAAGCTGATGGCCGTCTCAAGGAAAATGTTACGCAATATGGAAATTCTGTTCGATGAAGGCTGCTGAATTCTGAGCAATTCATTTTGATTAGTGTAAAAAAAAACTGAAAAACGTGCGACACCAAGGCCCAAAACCTTGTTTTGTCTGGATATGGCCACACAAACACTCCACTGTACAGTCATCTCTGGTGCATTAGGATCAAGTTATCTTGGTTTGGCACACATATCGGCATCCACTGGAAATTACAATAGGGAAAGCTAAAGAAAAGTTTGTTTTTTTTATCTCAAAAAGGTGTTTAGGTCCACTCTCATTCCTGCAAATTCTCTCCATAACACTCTGTTGCTTTGCTTGTCTGGGACTCGAGCCTGTGCACTGATATGATTGTAAACCAGTCAAGAGACGGCCAGCATGAGATTCAAATCCAATTATGAGAACAAGCCAGCTCCGTTTGCCCCGCAAAAGATATTACATAAGCACGCCTTTTATTATCTCTGCTCGTTTTTCTCGGACGGGGCAGGTGAACCACACCGGCCCGGACCACTGAGCTCGGCGGCACCGGAAGTGTCGGAAGGGCTCGAGCGAACACGAGACACTCACAAGGGCGTCATTAAAGTCATGTGACCCAAACAGTGGACTCACTTCTCCGCATTCGGCTCCACAGCTGGATCCAACCACGGAGCAAACCTGTTTGCACAGGCTGAGGCTGAGTGTGACTGCACACGTTTAATTATTCATATACTTTTTTTTTTTTTTTTTTTAAAGGACAGACTGGATAACGTTTACATTTCAGTATGTGTGTATCTAAAAATGCATACACCCTCTCGTCCAAAAAATTCTGTGTGTTTCCTGACGCCGACCGAACATGTGAGCGTGAACCGAAGTGTTTGGGTTTTTTTTTTTTTTTTCCTCTAAACCCGTTAGCCGTTCAAACCCACGCGTTGACAGAAGGTCAGGAGAAAAAAAACAGCTGTCATTCAAACTACCTCGTTACTCACATAATGCTCGTAGAATTTAGAAAGCCTTGGTTTCCCGTGGTTGTTGAATATTAAAATGGCTTTTATCATGATTGTAGCGGAGCGGAGGGAGGCGGGAGGCAGAGAAGGCTCAGTCTACGGTGGACTGGTGTCTGGCAGCTCCGGCGGACCCAGACCTGACTGAAATGTGGGGCTAAATCCCGTCTCTGTTCGATGTAACGACGGGTTATCTCCGTGCTACCCGCTGCTACTCCTCCATCGTCTCAATACGGAAATCTTCCACGTCAAAGGACCAGTCATGTTTTCTCCTCCTCCTTCTACGGTGGCCGCGACGGATCAAACTTCTGCTATCCATGCCTGCAAATCGGTGGAATAAGACAAATTTTTATTTATTTAAATTAACTTACAAGTGTTATGCTCAAAATATCCACATAGGGGCGTCCTTGGTATGAAATTTATTAGCTTAATAAATCGTTTTGAAGAGGATTTGTCGAATGAAATGTCTGAAAACTTTTGAATTATCAATTTTCACCTTGCTTTTGAAAAAAAAGTGGGCCAAAACTTTCATAGACATTTAAAGTGATAAAAAGATTATTCATTCAATAGCATTTCCTACATTTCTAACTACATGACATTTAAAGCAATTTCAGTTAAATCCATGTACAAAAAACAAACACCTGTGCTATACCAAATCCACATATCATTTGCCATTTTCTGAGACTGTGGGTGACACTGGAGGTATTCTGCAAAATGGAATTACAAGATTCATACATGTGCCAGCAGGAAACTGTACTATCTGTGTCTGTCTATGAAGAGATTTTAAATATGACACAGAGAACTAAAACACGCTAGAAGGAGCAACCCTGGAGACAGTTTACCAACTGAGAGCAAAGCGAAATAAATTATAATAATTTGGCCATAGGAATGTCTCTTACTTATGTGATGGGTATTTATTTAATGATCTAGTACTAAAATTGAAGTTTTTTAATCATGTTTTAATATATCATCCATCCATCCATCCATCCACGAGATCAAATCAATAGGCTGAATGGGAGATCATTCAAGTAACTTAGTAGCGATGTCCTCATGAACACAGTCTGCTGTTGCATTTACCAGTACAAGCTCAACCTTGAGGACCAAGTAAAAAAGATATTGAAATATTAACAGAAGAGCTGATTTAGCCATTTGGTTAAAGTAGAACACTGTTCAGTTTTCCTTCTGAAAATCAGCCAAATGTCTAAAAGCCATTAGAGTACATCTCTAAATACAGTATTAGTGCTCTAGGATATTTACAGGTATTACAACCAACCAGACAATGCATTGTAAGGGATGTCAAACTGGTTAATTGTATGGAAATATGCTGCCCCCAATCCAAACTTTTCCCCCACTGAAAGAATCTGCGACATGGTAAAAAAAAACACTTGCAATATTATCTGAGGTCACAGTGTGGTGTATTGTAGGATGGGTGCCTTCAAACTGCTGATGTGATGCTGCCCCACTAAAAGAATGCACTGACAAAGGGGGGATTGTTTATTAACAAGGCCTGTATCAGAAATATAGATCAAAATCTGAATTTTACCCTTACTTTGGACACAACATCTTTTTAAAAGCTGTTTTAGAGAGTAAAACATATAGTCCCCACAGACTGTGTTTATCCCTGGCATGTATGAATTTCTACATCTGTTTTACTCATTCCTCATCTGTTAAGCCTCACCCATGAAGCTCCAAAGGAATGTGATTTTCTCAAACACTTATGTTTAATGGAAAAAGTCTATACATCCGTTTCAGCTCCAGACACTACAACACAATCACCATATCAAAGTTGCATAATCTCGTATTATCTCTTTTCTGTCATGTGTGATAGTTTGAATGCCTCTTCTTTTTCTAAACCGATGACATTCTATAGCTAGAGTTTCCATCAGATGGTCCTTGCTGGAGAGTTTCAGCCAGAGGGTGGTGCTGAAGACCTCTGAAGAGGGTGGTGCTGATGATGTGGCAGCTTAGGGTGAAACTTGGGAAAGCTTACCATTCAAAAGAAAGTTTTCCACTTCCCATGCTGATTTTATTTCTTCTCTGTCAAAGCAAATTCAACATTCACATTAAGATTCATGCTGAAGACTGAAAGCAATTGGAAGTTCGCCCTGCCTGAAAATTCCAGCACGGCAGTGGTGTAAAGTCCAGTCTGTGGCAACCACGAGCAGTCCAACAATTCCTCCATGTCTTTTAACATTCATACATTACCAATAAAATTATTCAGAGCGAGGCACCAGACTGGCTTCAGACTGGCTCCGGGCATACGGTTAACATACGGCATACGGTTAACATTTTGTACTTTTTCTATTCACCCTGTGTGAATAACAAGAAGTGCCTTTATCAAAATGAGTGTTTCTATTTTGATTGGAAGTAGGCAAATATGTGCTGGGACTGAAATGTTTATCTGAGAGGGGAATGTGTGAAGAGTTAAAAAAGCTTTTTTTTTGGTGAAGCACAACAGCTCTCGAATACCATAACTGTGATGTGAAAAGCTAGAGCAACTGTGAACACAAAGTACGGGCACACAGATTTATGACCCTCTGAGTCGGGTTTCTCTTCCGCTGCACGCTAGCCTCTGGAATATTTAAGGCATGTTTCCAGCTTTGTAAAATTCAGTGAAGCCTTGTTAGTTAGAATGGTTTACTGACCCTAAAACATCCAAATACAGACTTATCAAAGTAACCTATTGTTGCTACTTCTGTCATTTAAATTTAGTAATCCAGTCAATACCTTTGTTCTAAAGCAGCAAACAAATACAGAAACAATCAAGCTTCAGACTGTAAATTAAGTTGTTTTTTGTATCAGAAAACATCTATCTAAAAGCCATAGTATAGGTAGAGTGCATTTTATTTTATCATATTTTGCTACATAAAACTCTTCATATTCCTCCTATCAAAACATGACTTTGCTGTTGCACTTTTCAACAGTTGCACACTCAAGCTAAGAAAATCACACAATCATTATGGCACAGTTCCTCTAAAAATACCCCTTTTTGTTTGGCCAAATTGCTACATGGCTTCAATTTCTCATCCACAGCAACAGCTATAGTCCCTTGTCTTAACCCAAACAGAGATAGGGTGATTAAAGACAAAAGATAAATGCCAGTAAAGCATTGCTCCACCATTTCCACCCTTTTATCCTTCCCTCCCCCTCTTGTTTGCGTGTCCTGCACACACCTTGGGACAGAGAACTCTTGGTTTGTCTGGAGAGATGGTGCGCAACCAGACAGCAAAACAACTATTGTTAGAGGAATGCCTCGGTGAGAATGTGAGGGGGTAAAGGGGGTGGTGTTTGTGACGACGTGTTGGAAACCAATTCATGGGGGATTATTCCATCTAGATATTGCGCAACATTAATGATTGGATCGTTACAGTCTAAAAATGCAAAGCAGGGAATATATCTACACTGTCAATGGCTCTAAAACGCATTTGATTCATTATTTGGGTTATTCCTCGCGCACTCGTGGTAAACCTTATTTAAATTGGACCGTGATCTGTGGGCGTTCACCTTTTCTCATAATGGTACGGTCCCAGCCCGTCTTCAAATTGCTGCGCCAGCCTATAAAATTGGCAAGTCTGTGCAAAGTTAGGGAGAGAGTTCTGTCAGTTTCAAGCCAGCCAGCCGAAGTTTGTGAGACCTGTCCTCCTCTGCAGCGCCGAGATGGAGCAAACCAGTGTGGTGAAGCCAGAAACTTTAGATGAGCTGATAGAAGTCCTGCACAAAATCTTCGAGAGCGACCACATCAATGTTGAGGAGGTCCAAAATATAATGGAATCATATGAGAGCAACCCTCTGGAATGGGGGAAGTTTGCAAAATTTGATCCATTCAGGTAAATTATTTTCTTTCTAAAAAAAAAAAAAAAATTGCTTTCAGCGACTGTATAATCGACAAAATTCCTAATTTTGGCACTAGAATTTGATCGAACTTTTGCCAGTTGGATCGTTAAAATCGAACTTCTACAGATGATTGTTTACTCCTGCGTGTTTTCGATTTTTTTTTTCTCCTTTTCCCCACTTTGGTCTTACTTTCTAACTCAGTGAGCACCATCTGCTCTGGAATATATTGAGTTTTTCCAACAAAAAAAAGTTTATCTGGGGGGGGCATACGTATATTTTTTACTTAAGCCAAACACATTGTCTCCATTTAAAGAGCCACCTGTAGTTTTATTTGAATACTGCGTCGCTCACAATTGGAGGAAGACTGGCACAGTTTGTGTTTTTGTTCTTTTCTTTCTCGTTGGGGTGGGGGCCTATTATTATGAGATCTGGCTGTTCTTTTCCCAAATTGATCTAGAGCGTCACCGAGCAATGTTTTGGTGGACTGGATGGAGGGGGGGGGGGGGGGGGGGGTGATGGGGCCGTCCAATCACCGCCGCGGAAGGATACACACCCGCCGAGGGTTGCGCTCTGACGCAGCGGTGCGGCCCTCGTGACGGAGTGGCGAGATGGAAACGTGCTGGCACGTTTGCAGAACAAACAAATTCTCATCCATGGCTATCAGAGCAAAGTTTGTCATTGACCCCGGCCGGTATGGTCCCGATTGGTCTTGAATGCAACTGATGCTCTGCAGTTTGAACAGTTTTCAACAGTCCAGTGACCTACTTCTCACAGCCCTCTTTCTGTTATTGGGAGCTAGTTGAAATGTAGGCATACCAAATAGAAATGCAGTAATTGCGTTCATCCATTCTTTACTTTAGCATTTTATTTCACATTTCATTGATAAATGATATTCACTTTATCAAACCTTCAGCTGACATTTTATTTTAAGCACAAAGGTTCCACAAATGATATTCCAAAGTACTATATAATGTGTCAGTTTTCTATATTCACTCAAGAACTTTTTTTTTTTTTTCCCCCCAGGTACACAAGAAACTTGGTAGACGAGGGAAATGGAAAGTTCAACCTCATGATTCTCTGTTGGGGTGAAGGACATGGCAGGTGCGTTGGGGGGGAAATGAAAGCGATAAAGCATGGTGCAAAAGTCATGGAAATCATTTGATATTTACATAAAGTATAGATATAATATGATTTTGTGCAGAAAAAAGTCAATATCAATACAACCTCCTCATGTTGACCACTCGACTTAATCTAAATTGAATCGATTATGTATTTAAGTTATTTCTCTTATATTATCTTAATAAGAAAGTCCAAAAGTTAGTGAGTTCACAGAAAGGTTGTGTAGATCAATGTTCTCAAATTGCATTTGTAGCTCTATTTAAACAAAATGATCACACTTCATTTGAGTTTGATCATATTTGGGTGTGCAGAAAACCCTGTTTTTAGCTACATATTAGGGGAGCACAGATCAGCAGATGTCAGGATGCTGCAATGGGGAAAATGGTTGACTGGTGTGGTTTTGCCATTGTTAGCTGCTGGTTTTATCCTAAGCATGTGAATTCATGCATAATAGCTCATCACGCACAACTTTGGTGCTGTGGAAACTGTGCTTTCCACCAAAGACATCAATACTTCCCAGCAAATCTGACCTATGTGATGAGGAGGCAATTGTTTGACGTATTCTGACGCAAAACACTTGTCTGTTTTTAACCCACTGCAGTAGCATCCATGACCACTCAGACTCCCACTGCTTCATGAAGCTGCTGCAGGGGCAGCTGAAGGAAACGCTGTTCCAGTGGCCAGAAAAGTCAAAGGGAGACATGGTCCAGAAGTCCCAGAGGATTCTCCAGGAAAACAAGGTTGCTTACATTAATGGTAAGAAACTGTTAACTGTGTCATCTTCTATAGCAGATAGTAATGTCCATCACAAACTTATAGTGAGATGTAGATTTTTAATTAACATTGAAGTCCTAACATCACTGCTGAGTTATTCCCTAAAGCCAAGAGAGGTGTAATGTTTGGCATCAATTGCTGGTTATTTAGCGGCCAGTAACTGTTTTTAAACCATTTCATACCATTATTGTGTCATATACTATGAAATATGTTTTTTTTTTTTTTTAAACTTATTTGTTTCATGTCTGCTTACTTGTTTTAGACAGCCTTGGTCTGCATCGTGTGGAAAATGGTAGCCACACAGAGGGCGCCGTGAGTTTGCACCTATACAGTCCCCCATTCAACACCTGCCAGACCTTTGACCAGAGGACAGGCCACAAGAACAACGTCAAGATGACCTTCTGGAGCAAATATGGAGAGAGGACACCATTTGTAAGCTACTTTTTAAAGACTAAATCATACCTTAATGATTCAGAGACCTGAAGCAAATACGCTTGAAATGGTGTTATCAATCTTTTAACTCTAGGATTAGCATAGTCCAGTCAGAGGTAGAATTTGTGGGACCTTAATAGTAGGAGATTAGACACTGAGATGTACAAGGTTGTAACAAGATAAATGCATTTTAAACATAGCATTTTGTTAAAGGTAAAAAAAAAAAGTTTTTATCGATTGCCATTAAGGTCTTTCTTTTAGTAAAGTAGAAAATCAAAGAAAGTCTATGAATGCCATGTACAAGGGTTCTGATTACCCCAATTTGTGCTGCAGATCATGCAGTGTTGGCACTTTCTACATATTATCTAACACAAAATACTTCAGGGCATTAACTCATGATTTTTCCATTCCCCCAACTTGCCTTGTGTGCAGGAAGTGGGGATTTTTATTGTGTCTGGCTTCTCTCATTAAACCAAGCCAACACGCTAATTAAAACGGCAATCTTTGAAAGCTTCCACGTGTGTAACAAGACTTTTACCTTGCTTATGTCATCAGAAAAGTGTTGTTTTAGCAGAAACCGACGGGATAAAACGGTTCGAATTTGACTTCAACGCTTATTAAAAATGTCATTTTAGAATATTGAAGATGAGGTCTTTCAAATTGAAATGGAGAAGAAAAAATATTCAAATAAAACAAGAACAACCATTTCCTTAAGCTATCCTGCCACCATAAGCCTTATCGGAGGTCCACATGTTGTATAAGCATACCTCGATAATAAAGTTTCACATTTGTCCACTAGATTGCAACATCAAATGGAGATAAGATTAGTACGAAGGTTTGAGCACACAATGAACTTAATAATGACCTTACACATATGCAGAAGTTCGCGATGACTGTGGCAGTCAGAGGGATTGTGATATTGACTGTCTTGACTTTCGAAATTATTTTAACTGTCTTTCTCTGTCATTTCACCCCCTTTTTGTAGGAGACAACAGTTTCACAAGAAAACAACTAGAAGTCACCAAAGGAGGCTCTGGATGATTAAGACTTTTGCATTTGAAATGGCATTGCTTTGAATTTGATTGAAGAGATACCGCTGGAAAAGGCAAAAACTGGGCCTGTTATGACTTGGCAGCCCATTTTTTAAAATCAGGACTGGGCTGGTTCCAAAGGACAACCCGCTAATTAGAATGGCTTTATCGCTGCTTAGTGTGAGCTTGGCAAATACCGATGAGCACAGAACGAGTACATGAATAGGCTTGGACGTGGATTGTATCTGCCTTTTGTCTGCTGGGCCTGAGGAGACCCTTTTCCAATAACAGCATTCCAGTCTATCCACAACCTGTGTAACCACACTTTTGTAAAGTTATGGCCCGTAGACAAAGAGTAGAGCTTTAGCATTTTAAAGAGGAAATATTGCTGTTGCTGAGCTTTTTTTTTTTTTTTTTTTATTGTAAGGAAAAAAATAACAAAAAAGGAAAACTGCAATCACAAGTTTTTGTTTGTCAGTTATACTTTTATAGCTGTATTTTCTGTTGATTTATACCACTCAATTCAATAGTCTTAATACCTGTTTAAAATGGTCAAGGAATGTGGCAATATTTGTATATTTCTAACTAAAAGTTTTTTTTTTCTTTTGTTTTTAAAATTTGGAGTCTGATATGTAAAGCTTCAGAGTTGTGTTGTTGTTAAAAGTGCAGTGCATGTAATTTATTTGCAGGTTATCCTGTTCATTGAAGAAGTTTTTGAATCACCACCCTCCTCAATGTGTTCATACATCATATTATGGAGGGATTATTTTGTATTATTGGAGACTAGTATGCTTTAGATAAGACTGATGCTTTTTCTCAGGACATACATTGATTGTAGTCAATATTCCATAATCATTTGTAGTTTTATACATTACAAACATGATTTCTGTAATGTGGTAATAAATCTTGCCATAACTGTGGACAATTAAACATCACTATTCTTTCTCATAAAATTGTTGTGTTTTCGTCTTTATTTTTAATCTTGGATGGATTGTTTAATGACAGCATATTCAAAGTTAAACGTAGACCAGTGATGCTAAAGTTTCTGTATCAAACAAAAGACAAATTACTTCATTTATATTATGTATAAATATGAAATGATTGTTTGATGGGTTCTGAACAGTTGGACAAAAAGCATCACAGTGGTGCGGCAGTTCGTTAAAAGATAAGCTGTACCTGGCACCAGGCTCACATGCAAGCCCAATATTCAAAGTGCACTTTTATCTGTGGTGTGATAGAACTATTGATTAGCTTTTACCTTGACCAATGACTAGATTACATTAATGGCCAACTGATAACAGGATGAGTGACGGACATTGGTACGCTTAAAGAGCTGGCATGGCTCCGGTAGGCTATGCTGTCAAACTGTGACCGAACTACAGACTGGATCAGAGAGGTGAAGTACTCCTGAAAAGAGTGTGTGCTGAAAGGTTTATCTGGAAACCTGAATGTTATGACTGACATTATTCCTTGTCTTATGGGGTCTACAATGTGAGGGATAAGATTAAAAAAAACTGACAATTGCTATTACGATTCAACACAAGGTGTGCAGCGATACATTTGCATGATAATAAAAATAGATTGAATTATTCTAAACTTTGCTGGATTTTGGTGTCCCATTCATGTCCCCTAGTAGTGGCCGTCCCTCAAACGTTTTTGACTCAAGTCAGCAATGACCACTTCTATTTAGAATAAGTTCATAAATCTTAATCATTTACTTTTGCTTACAGCATACTGTAGTGATTAATTGAGGTTATCAAAATCTCTTTAGAGTTTCTATGTACCAGGTCAACCACTAGATGGCTTGCAGCCAAGGTTATGTAATAATGAGGTGGTAATCTTGATTGCTCTGGCAAGAGACCAGAATCCCTGACTGACCATTGTTTCCCTCACATCCCTGTTAGCTACATCAAGCAACACGTTTTTTTATTCAAGCATTTGCTGCTCAAATTAAATAGTTTTCTCACATACACTTTAAACAAGTAGCGTCTTCTAGAACTACCACTTTAACCTGTCACTCATTAAAAAACAGTCTCACAAATGTGATGGTGTTATTCATGACATGATGTGTCAGATTATTTTATTTGCCTGAACATAAACAAGTACTGTCCATGTCCAAACTTTACAAAGCTACTGTCTTTCATGCAATCTTTTCATTTCTTTGGATTCATTCACTTTTGTCTCTGATTAATCCTAGCAGACCTAATCAGTCCACAAAGACAACAGACAGTGAGCCTTTTTGATGCGGTGAATAGGACCCGACACCATTGACATCAAGAAGATCTCGTGGGAAATTCTGTCCCTTTACAGAGATCAAGAACCACAAAAACAAAGCAAACGGCATACTGTCTTACTATAACGTGATCTCGATGGTCTACATGTTGACAATGTGTGAAATGGTTGCTTGCTCCAGATGAAAAAGAGCTTGCTATGTCGCAGCAACAAATTCTGACTGACATATTTTGTAAAACGTGTCACTGATTGCACAAAGCAGTCTTTGTTTCCCTTTCCTCTCAGCTCCGTGCTCCTCACCTCAGAAACGTGTTGCTTTATACGCTCTGCTTCAGTAGTGCTCATATCTGCACTAGGACTGAAAGTGCAAAGTAGAGTCTGGGACTGTGTGATGATAACAATGGCCCGGTGATGTAGAACTTTCTATAAGATCATAAGAAGCGGAAGAGCATTGATAATCGGCTTATCAAGGAGGCCTCGCGACGTTGATAGGGAATTACTCATTTATTCCACTTATTGTTCATAAGCTGTCCTACGTGCATGTTGGCCTGTTTTTTTCAATCAAACACTGATAAAGGATTTGGCTTGCATTGTCATGGCCTTGTAGATTATCAACTGAACCGAGGAGGAAGCCAGACTACCTGGAAAGAACCCACACAGATGCAGGGAGAACATGCAAACCCCACACAGACACGCCCCGGTCCCCTGGAGAACTAGGAACTAGGAACCCTCTTGTGAGGCAACAGTGCTACCCATCACACCACCGTGATGCCATCATGTGGAGTGAAGACTCCTAAATCTACGTTCCATTAATACAAATTATAAATAAAGACTGAACGCAGTTCATAATTGGACCAACAATTACCTTTTTCTTCACAGGCTGATTCTTTTCAGAATCAGCCTGTGTCAGATATGTTGCGCTATCTACATGTGGTGTAGTAAGATGCAACATTCTTTTCATTTGCAAAAGTATTCCTTTGAAAAATTGTTTACTGTTCTTAATGGCTACACTGGTCGACTCTCGCAGTCTATAAACGAGCATCTTGGTTTGGAATTGGTTCTAAATTCACTGTAAGCGTGAATGTGTGTGGCTGTTTTCTCTCCACAGTAAAGTAGCCACCTGTCCAGGGTGTCCCCTGCCTCTCTCCTATTGGCAGTTGGGGCAGGTTTCAAGCCCACCTTGATCTTGAAATAGACAAAAAGGGGAGAGAAAATAAATTTATTATTTGCTCTGGCTGCAAAATTGCTGTCTGAACAATCTTTTGAACCTATTACAGAGGAGTTTAGAGAAAGTTGGAATTGTTTTTAAGTAGAGTTTCAAATCATTAAAGACACACAATAGCATACATAAAGTCTGAATGTGAAGATAGTTATGGCTATTTGCACTTAGTGAACTGGACAATATACAGTGTGTCCCTTTTCCTTTTCAAAACCACCTGGGACCAACGTCATACTGTCACCACTGACGTCAGAAGACAAACAGATCAATTCTGTTGAGCACCCACCAAGCTTTCCCGAAGGGACAACCTTGGCTCAAACTGAATTACTGGAGTTGGCAAAAAGCTTTTTACTTTGACAGATGCCAACAACTACCATAAAGTCCTCCTTCGTCCTAGGAAGAATTATTCTTCGTTCCCTTGAGGATATATCGTTCGTCAATGACAAGGGGTTCATTTTGTTTTCAACTGCTAAAGGTGAACATTTTTGTCTGCGCTCACTTGGAGTCTGAACGCAGGTCGTAATTGGACCATGAATTGCCTTTTTCTTTTTAGCATATAATGGACATATTAGGCAGATTTGGTCAGAACATTTGACAAGTCAATAGAAACATAAAGCCTACATGGAGACTAAACAAGACGTTCAACTTAATTGTAGATTTTAGCCATTAGATATGTTGGTGAATAAGAAATGTATATGTCTGAGTATGAACAAGGAAACCTTTGGATAAAACCAGCAAGCAGTGTGTTTATGTTGGTGGGATCAAACTGTGTGCTGCAAGGTTCCATTCTGGAACTGCACTTGTGCATTGCTGTAAATGTTGAAGCAGTTTCATCATCTTTGGCAGTTTCCATCTTGTTTTATTTTTAGGCACGTTTTAAAAAAACATATAAAAATGAATGTCCTTTGTTTTGTTCAGCATTTCCATCTCAGGATTAAAGAAATCCTGAGATTGATTTTTATCACGTAGCATTTCAACATAATTTGCCATAGAAGTTTCAATGCACAGGATCAGTCATGTGAAGCCAGTCAGGAGACATTTAGCAACTGGAATCATGCACCTATCAAGGAAAAACATGATATCAAACATTTATGCATTCACTTTCTTTTTTGGAATTATGTGATAAGTCCTGATGAGCCAAGCCTATCTATCAAAACTGAATTATTAGAATAGATACTGAATCAAACTGAAATGAAAATTTCACTTTTACTTTAATGGATCTTTCTTTTCTAGTCTTAGCAAATAAAAGTCTTGCTTTAAATTAGATTCATAAAAAACAGTCTTGATAAAGTGTGCTGAAAATTCTGTTTTATCTGAAATTTAATACATGGTCCTTCATTCATGGCGGGGTTTGGTATGAAATCATTAGAAAAGTACAATATGACTTCCACATACTACTGTGTACATATTTAATACAAACAGTACAGAAACAAAGTGAACTTTACATGCGACTGAGTAAAGACTACATTTTTCATACCAGTCTCTAAAACATCACTAAATAAATCTGCAGGACTGAAGTCAGGAGAAAATGCATCCCAGAACACAGATTTTACAATAACAACTTAAGTAATAGCTAAAATGGAACGTTTTGGAGAATTCTTGTCACCTCTGCTGAGATGTGTTTTTTTGGCCTCTGTGTTCTGCGGCTACAGTCAGGGAACATGCATAATCCAAAAGAACACTGTGTTCTTCTCCCTCCCACAAAAATCTGGTTTTGAAACCACTTTCCACCAGCAGATCATAAACATGAAAGCGTAGCAAACACACCTTGTATAAATCTTTCCGAGAGTTTGAAGGATCCACATAAAAGGATCTATATGTAGGATCAATTCAGACCCAAAAAGCACTTTTTGACTTTTTTTGTCTGTGAGCGCAGACAAAAAAGTTGGGAGGGGGGGGGACAACTAAGTGATGAACTACAAAACTAAATGGCTAACTAAAAAATGCATTAAAATATAAATCTATTAATCTATTCTTTCATAAAGATAAAAAAATCTACATTTACACACATTTGGCAATGAAAAAAAGCCTAAAATAATGTGCTTTAAGGCATTAGCACACAAATTCAACATGAAGTAACGGAGGTTTCTACATTTGCGTGGTCATGAAATCAGAAGGAGTCATCTGACTGACCTCCCAGAGTTCGGATATGTTCAAAGGCGCCTCTTCCAGGATAGGCTGCTCTCTCTGACCCTTCCGACCCTGACTGACCGACTGTCACTAACCTTTCCTTTCTACTGTTCCTGGATCCCACAGATCCCACTGACTCTGCCCTGTCACTTATAATCTCACTGACACTCTCGGACGACCCTTTATGACACCCGTTGCTCTGCGAGGCCTGACTGTAGGCCCGGCTGTTGTTGAAGCTGTAGCCACGTGAAATGTTGCTTCTGTGAGAGCTGGCTTCACTTCTGTGGCGTTGCGATTGTTTCTGGAAGGGTTTTCCAAAGGACAAATGATCAAATGATTTTTGGCTTTGGAAACTGCGCTCTGACCCCGTATCAGGCTGGACGTCAGGCCGGAAATACAGATGCTGTTCCTCTTCTGCCGCCTCAGCAGGGTTTTCTCCATGCCCCACAGTCTGACCAATGGTTTCATTTAGAAATGTTTCTTTACTCAAGGGGGCACTGGCAGGTGTTGGAGGTCTGTGTGTGATAATATTGGTGTCTCCTTTGCACATATCGGGCCTGAGGTCTCCTGCCTAAAACACAGAAAAGGAGACATTTGCTGTAGCTTCCAGCAATTAACATGCTGCAGACAGTTTGATTGAAATTTTTAACAAAAACACATCCTGATTAAAGCCTTGTATAATGCAGCAGAACAGAATGAAAGTAAGGATGTCTCATTATAATTTGAGGTAAAGCGTCACACGTGAGCTAAGATTTTAACACTAATGAGTCATTTTTAGCAAATTGAATATGAACAGTATACAAAGCACTTGCGATTGGAAGACATTTCCAAAAAATGTGATGCATCTTCTTACCACAGATAAAGCATCTGTCTTGGCAAGCATATCCCTGAATTCTTCAGTGGTCCGTGATGCTGCGGCGTCTAAATGAGGTCCTATGGTAGAGGAGAGCTGGGGCCTTCCCAAAGGCTGGAAATCTGATTGGTCAATCCCAGCAACTGAAGCTAGCTGACCTAGGCTACAAATAAACATGTAAATTCATTAAATCCAGCTCCAGAGTTAACATGTGCACCTCACACAGCAGACCAGCAGCAGATGCAGGAAGAGAAAAAGATCAGAAACATTTGAACAGCAGTCCCAGACAAAAATAAAATACATTACTCTTAATGTTGTAAAGAAAAAGGGTAACATATTGATGTAAAGAAAGCAAATAGAAAAAATGAACAACCAAAATCTGCATGGTTGAAGACTAATCTAATTTGTCCTTGGGTGCGGTTTTGATAATACATCATATTACACGGAGATAGAGACCGTTAATGTGCGGCAACTTTATATAACTAAAATGAAAGTTAAATAAAATCCAGATCATAAAGATTTGGATCCAGCATCTTAAAGGATGAAAGCAAAAAAGAGAAAAAGAAATCAGCCTCCAAACACATATGAATCTATCTGAAAATAGATGATTTTTAAAACATGCTAAATGTTCAGGTATTTGCACAAATGTTTCTTTAAACCTAAATGAAAAAAGATAAAAGGATTACATGATAAGACGTCCCTCCACAAAAAGAAATTACGGCCAGAGATGCATAAAATAATAATAGGTCAAGAAAAACTTAGAAATGAGAAATAAATATATAAATGATCTAACTGATTCAAAAAGGAACATTTTAAGGCAATGAACAAAAAGAAGTGGGCCAGATATAAGAGTACCCACCCAGCATCTTTAAGGAGATCCAGAAAGGAATGGAACTTATTAAATGACTTCTCAATGCTCTCAAGAACTTCCTCATCTTCGAGAGCACTGACACCAAGAGGAGCTGATGCAGGGCCAGTGGCTGCAAGCGTTTCTGTCAGGGAGTGGTTAGCGTCCCGAAGTCGGGCGTTCTCCAGCTCGTACTGAAAAAGAACAAAAAGAATGCACATGAAGCACTCCATTTACATCTGCTGACTGCAGTTTTCTGTGAGATGTGCTATAACCCAGCTGCATTATACAGATGGGCTGGGGGCTTGTCAACTCGACTGTTGTATGTGCAGATTTGAAAGAGAAAAACAACAGGAGTCCAATTGCCAAAGGGAAATAGATGTGCATAGTCTCACCTGAAGTGGACATGAGTGGAGGAGTTTCAACTCAGCAAAGCTTATAGACTAACAAACTAACTAGTTATTACAGTTAACTATTACTTAAAGGTATATTTTAAAATGTTAAACTGCACGACATTAAAATGCTAAACAAAACAAAAACATGATTTTAAAAAAAGATTTTTATATTTTTACTGAGGCTAGACAGATAGTTTAACGGAACACATTGTATTGGGGGGCTAATTTAAAGCTCACCCCCATACAACCATGTTTCAATGCGACTTTTTTTGTGACTAAATATGAACAGAAGGAACAAACCAAATGAAACAGATTGAAACTAATTTTACAGCTAGATTGTAAGGATTCATTTACCTCCATGAGTCTTGATTCTGCCTTCAGCCTGGCTCTGTGCTCCACTGCCAAACTTAGACGACACTCTTTCAGCTCCATCTGGAGGACGCACAAAGGAACACACACTCAAAGTGAACGTCTTCAACTGTTAATCGACTGCTGAGGTTCAAAATTTAAATCTTTGAAAGCATTTCACTCAGATGTGGCCGACCTGGACACGATGCAGCTGCTGTGAAGTGATCGTGTCTTGCAAATGAAGAGAGGATGGTCTCTGCCCCATCTCTAGCAGCACTTTTCCTTCTTTTTCTTCTTCCTCATTATCATCATCGTCGTCATCAGCATCGTCATTGTCTGATTCTGACTCCATGATGACTTTTACAGTAGCTGCACCCTATTGAAACATACATACATTATAAAAGCCTTAAAAAAGATACATTTAGAATATTATTGAAGGGGCTCAGCCTCGTTTTCTTGTCCCAGAAAAATCAGTTGGGTAGATAATTAGAAATAACATATAGAAAGTGTAATAAGGATAATGCTTTCTTTTTTCAGGTCTGTCCATCAAAAAAAGAAAAGCGAAAAACAGTGTATTATTTCTAGGTAAAAATAAAAAAAAACACTCACCTGAAATCTTTGGTTTGTCACAGTAACACCAGGAGGCAGACCTCTGAAATAATTAAAATGTCACAGTTACTAAAAAAAGGCAATAAAAACTTAAACATGGAAATTTATAAACCATGCACATTTTAACATTTTGTATCTGAAGACAACGTCAATCATAACTTGCCCAAAAATTAAATTAAACAAGAAATCAAACAACACAATCAAACCAGTTTGTTACAACCAGAAGGAAATAGGTTGGCTCACATCTCCTCACCTCTGGCGTCCGGCCCGCGCTGCAGCACGCCATGGCACATAGCGGGAACTGGATTTCTTTGTCTGAGCAACACCTGAACCGCGTCCTCCACATGTTGCTTTATGAGTGGCTGCACCAGAGGAAGAGAGAAATGCAGAAAAACAAGACTTGCACGAATGAGCTTTTTCAACGGGAAACATGAATTCATGCACATAAAAGAAAACTAAAAACAACCCAAATATATGGAGACCGGTCAGAATTATCACTGGCTTTTTTTTATGTCAATGAACTGTTTAGACAATTGATCGTCTGAAATAGGGATAAGCGGTGTGGGCAGAATTTACTGGTAAAATGCATGCAGATGCCTCTAAACCAAAATGATATACTACAATCCGATTTCAAGTCATGGCATTTCTTCATTTGCACACCTGGAACTACGAGAATAACCGATTTAATGGATAAGCCTGATACTAGTGCAAGATTAGACATGGGAATTTTCATCCCTTCTAGAAATATACATTACATGCCGATCATTTTCTGGAAAAACGGAGTAATCCCTCTTTTGTTATGCGAGAGACAAAAAGAGCACACATATACCTATCTTAAAAGCAGGTTTTCCTCTTAGTGCACTGGGTAGTTGCCTTTTCGGTAGTGAAGCTCTTGGAGACTCTGTGGTTGCAGGCTTGATCCAGCAGTACTGCAGCAGAGGATAAAGTCAGCATGATCCATGGGCACAGCTTAGACCAAACACGGAGCTTATAACTATATATACACTCATTGTGTAGTTTGTTTTTGTTTCTTTGTTTTTCTGAACTTTTAATTACAATTTTAGCCCAGGATACTCACCTCTGGTGACTGTCCCCGAGCATTCATGAGAACTTTCTCTATGACTGTTTTAATTAGGATGTTATCTGTAACGGGGAAAATAGGTTCAGAGATATATTCACAGAAATGTGTGCTTTCTTTACCATTTTAAAAATAGAAAGTTATATCAAATAGCTTTTCGATAATAAAAAAAAAAAGATTAAAATTCAAATCCTTTGGGTTAAATAGCTCAATCAAGATTAAGCAATGTGCCACCTGGAGGTTGCTTAAGGGAAAGAACATACCAGTGAGTCTTACCAACTAAAGGGTTACTACGAATATCCAACACACAGAGCGAGGAATTCGTTTTCAGGGATTCAAGCAAACGGCGAGCTCCATCACTGGACAGACCACACCGCTGTAGATCCACAGCTGGTCAAAGATTTCCAAAACAGAAACAGACACCGTGAGCAAAATCTGGCAAAAAGTACAAAGACAACAATGAAAACTCTTTTCATTTTGAATCCAAAGTGACCGCTGACCTTTAACCCAGAGGTCGTCGGCCAGCTCATGCGCAAGAGCAGCTGCGCCACGGTCCCCAATCAAAGTGTTGCAGTTGAGAGTGACACGACGGAGACCCGACATCCCCTCGAACTGTGGATGTCGGTACCTGAGAGACTCCGCCCATGCGGTACCATGCCTCTGCATTCCCTGATACTGAACCAGGGTGAGAAAAAATGTCTATTCAGATTTGAAGTGGAATTTGAAATAAACATTCATTCCGAATCATCACAGTCTGTATTTATGAACTGCTGGGCAAATGAGAACTGATTCCTCTCAAAATGAACAGTTAAGTGCCAGCAGACCAAAATAGTGATGGAATACCATGACAAATTAGCCTTTTTCCATTCATTTAAGTTGATCGACACTACATTTGTTTAATTAAACAGATGTAGTACTATTTGTGTCTGTTAAAAAAAGGTTTACAAAGAATAAACAAATGAATAATTTTATTGTTTTGTAGTGTTTATAATACATCCCAACTTTTCTGAAAATAAGGCTTTGTAGTTGTTATACCTTGATGATTCTGGCTATATGCTCGGCTCCTCTCCATGTAATACTGCATCCTGTGAAGTCTACCGCCTTGATGGTTGTAGAATATTTAATACTTTGGCAAATGACTGAAAGACAAGGAAATAACAGTTACAGACACATTCAGTTTGACGCATCCAGACAGATAATGATGTTGTAAATAAAAGAATATCTGCACTAGAAACAACTATGTGACATACACACCCTCTAGGCCCTCATCTGATATTGGACAGTTAGCCAGAGATAGACTTTCCAAGGAAGTGCTCTTTACCAGTCCCTGTAACAGGATAGATCATGTTGGCTCAATTCTTCAAGCTTTTAAATAATTCTTGTCTCCAGAAGTATTGTATTACCAATCAGGTTTCATTCACACATCAACCATAAAGTTTTGCCTTTACGAGAAAACATAACAGTTGTCATGCTGCTGATGCCCCAAGGGCTCAGCTTAGAAAATGCCTTTGTTAAAACACAGTAATAATAAATACATATCATATTTTATTAAAAAAACAGCTCCTGATTTGTGACAGTCCCTATGAGAAGCAATAATTTAAAGCAATAAATCACTTATTTACAGTACAACCAGTGTTCTTTGTAAGTTCTCACTTTTGTCAGGGTGATGAGGTCCCTCTCCCTCAGAGGAAGTCCATTAAGATGAAGACTTTTGAGACTGGGAGACCCAGTAAGGCACTCTCTCAGGGCCTTGCACAGCTTTAATGTCATCTCCTTGGAGCGAATGGTGGGGATCTTCCTTCTAAGGTTCGATCTATAGTACCTTCGATCTGAAAGTGGCGGTGACACTCATAAATCTCTCAGTAAAAAATTTCAATTTCACTACTCCTGCACTCATTTGAGAACACTGGAAAGTAGGCCAGTGCTCATATTTCATTGTTAGTCTAAGACTGACCTGTATCTCCAGAAGCCGCAGTAGCTTGGTATGTGCTGCTTATTGCAATGTGGCGCAGGTTCTTGTTGATGGATATGCAGAGGAGAATGGGTGGCCAGTCAATCAACTTAAGCCTGTCTCCATTAAAGTCCAGCATTCCTTTGTCCAGGTTAACCTTAACTGCAGGTAGAGGGACTGAATCCTGCCTGGCACAGGCAAGGTCATACTGTGGCTCAAATTCATGGGCATCCTTTCGCCGAGTAGGAGCATTTTCATGAACCATCTTTCACCTTGGAAAACAAAAACCATTAAAAGCCATGAAACTCACAAATCTCAGCAGCAAGTATTCGCTAAAGTGTGTGTGGCATTGTGGTACGGTGCAAAGGTCAGTAACCAAGTCCATAAATTACTGCAAGTTTGTTTTGCGTGAAATGGTTGTCTCAGCTCAAACCATAATTTATGAAGATTCAAACTAGATTGTTAGTAAGTAATGGCCTTTCTTAAAAGGTTACTCAACAACTTTACCCATCAAAAACACAGTCCCACACACTATGAAAATTGTGCTCTACTTTATGCCATCAACAATTCTAACGTCTGAAATTCCTAAATGATTAATAATGTGATGTTTTATTTCTTATTTGCAATGTCTGTCTATCTCTGTCTAACAGTCAATAAATTCTCATATTCCTGTGACAGCTGGTAAACTGAGCAAAGTTTACTTTTACTGAAAAAAATGTAGCTAAAGCAAAATTTCATGTGTAAAAGTTATGGTAAAGCAGTATTATTCAACCCGTAACACAGCTTTAGCTCCTTAAGTTTAGTGCTGTTCTGTGTCACTAAGTCCCTACGAGTAAATCCATCACCCTAAAAAAAATAATGCAAAAGACAAAAAGATTTGGTCTTAATGACAAGTGCCAATTGACGGTCGTAAATATTTTTTCTTTGTAAATAACCTTATCACTTGGACTGTCACTGCTCCACGGACAAATTACAAGAGGTACAAACTATTTAGCAGGTCACATTTTAGTTCTTTAAAATAAGTGAATGGTCGATGGGCAAAAATTAGAAAGTAAGTCGGTTCCCTGGAAATATTCATCACTATCAAAGTCTGACATAAATAAACAAGCTTGCTCACACAATGTTTAGGTTCTTTAATGGCTGTTAGAGACAGCTGAGCCCCTGGCGTTAGCGTGCTAAGCTCAGCTCCTAGCAACCATTGGTAGTTAGGGGGGGCTGCATTCGCTCGCGCTCATTATCCCTGAATACTCTTCTTCGCCCATTGTTAAACAACAGAATTAACCTCACGTTTAAAATGGAAAGCTCTGTCGTCAAGGCATTGGCGTGGAATTCTTGTCGAACTGCTGTTCACAACTCCCGTGGCTTGTTCACCATTGTTTAACAAACACTCAAAAGTGGCGCTGTTGTGCGGGCAAAACCGCGCCCACGTCTCTACTTCGGGATGTCAAGTCGCAGTCTAGGCAGTGCTGCCACCTACTGGCAAGGAGGGGCGAATGTATCTCCCACTGAGACATCGATTTCAGCTGACTGAAAACTCCACGTAATTGTAGACCTTCGTTCTTCTAACCCCGTCTTGCTGGCTCATTATCTACCAGCTTTGAGTCCACTAAAAAAAGGAAGCCCTCCTATGTAGATCCTTGACTGTTTTTGGTCGTCTGTGGAAAAAATGTGTGAAAATATCCACTTCAAAGGCTCCTGTGTCCTTGCCTTTGCTTGTTTTAACATGCAGTGCCAATGATGGGACTTAATTAAGGAATTGCATATAGAAATGAAAGAGTTAATTTATCACAGGATTTCTGAATAGGTAGCTGAGTGAGGAAATCCATTTTCCACACATCCACTTGGGGGCGCTAGGCCTCTCCAATCTGAAATTTGGCAAGTGGAAGGTGAGACCCTGGTGGGATTTACTGTCCATCACAGGGCCAACACAGTAACAAGCAGCTGTGCAAAATTCCCTCACATTCACTCCTGCTAAAGCATCAGAAATTTACACGCCACCATTGTGAATGGAGAAGGAAATTGGAATTCCTGGAGAGAATGCAAATATGTATATGCTGATCACAAGGTTGGTTGTTTCCACAACAACACGTCAAAGTATAGTTATAAAAGATGCTGTACTTCCTTGTTGTCTCTGATTTCTCTATGAACATGTAATAGGAAAAAAAGATGAAGCTTGTTATCCTACCTAACTGCTTGTCACACAAATTTCCCAGTCACTGGACGATAGTTTTCCCATGGTACCTCTATGCTCTGACCCTACACTTTACCCACACAAATGACTTCTTGTGTACCATGACTCCCTCCCCCTTTCCTGTCTGTTTCCAGCAGTTACGTGAAGAAACAGATGGGGTGATTTTGCTCAAGGTACTCAAGACCATTTCTCAGCTCTTCTATCATCGGCTGAGCCTAAGGAGTTCCAGTCCTGTGAGAGAACTTGATCGAATACCTCAATAAATTTTATCTGACTAGTCTCATGTCTATTGACCAGTACCATTAGTTTGTGTAATTCCTGGTGTTAGCTGACCAAAGTGGTTAAATAAGCACCTTCATGAATACCTATGTAGGTTGCCGATGCATAAGTGCTGAAGATGCCAGGTTGTGTGTTGCGAACGAGGGGAGCATATTAGGTGGTATGTCTTCTTTTCCCCTGCATTCTTCCCTGTTCACCCCAGACCTTCAGTAAGACCCACAGTCTTGTCATCTGCAGAACTACTTGAACAAACCTCAATATGGGGGAACTGATGGACAGCTGTAAGGATGAGCACCTCATCTTAAACATGTTAAAGAAAAAGGCGTTGAAAGTGAATATTGGGACAATTAAGAACAATACTATCCTTAAACAGCCGGCAGACTAGTGTGTGTAGGGTCAGAGCAAAACACTATGTATCGCACCTTTTTATTCCTGCTTTTTTTTTCATTCTTACATTTTCTAAAACTACTTCATCAGAAAGTTTATTGGCTTTGGATTCTATTAAAAAAATTGTCTGTCTATTTGACTAACTATTTCTTTCAGTGCTGCAGACATTTTACTATTCGGAGGTCGTGGGTGTTAAGAAAGTCCTCGCCCACCACAGATGTCATTTTGTTGTTTTGTTTTTTTAAACGTGACATGGCAATGGAGAACCCGCCCTCCTGTTTTTATGTAAGCCTATTGGTTACTGAAGACGTCAGTCAAACTCATGTTTTTTTTCTCTCTATCTCTCTATCCCAGGAATAGCTCACCCTGGAAACGCTGGGATCGGTCAGCCAAACCACTGGTCTGTGAGGGTGTCTAGCTGCCATCAACCCCCACCACGTTTTAAGGAGTTTTATTTTTATTTTTACTGGATTTACAATCGAACATCACTGATAAGAAGTTTTTTCTTACCCCAGAGGTAAGTGCTGTCATTTTTAGTCACAGTAAAGCACGTTATTGTGTGGGATAGCCGCCGTTCACGCTAAATGTCTTTTCCCAAACATGAGTGGCCTGTTTTCATGTGTTGGGGACGACGTGCGACGTCGACGTAAAATAACTGTCAGCTCGGTTTACCTGTGATTTGACAAAGCTTTTTTATATTGAAAACAAGTTGCGAAAAACCATAGCTGTTTTCCATTTAATAACGGGTACTCAAAGGCTGGTGTTGAAAGTACTTGTCGTGAGCTCAGTTGCTAATGCTAAAAAGGCTCCAGTGGTGATGTAGTTTTCCCTTTGCGAATATAATGATACAAAATTATGGCAAAACGATTTCTACACATATAACGGTGAGAGGAAAACGAATAAATAGCAAGAAAAAAACAGGTCTTAAGTGTGTAGATATTTGCTGTGTACACCCTTTGGTTGTTTATGTCTGTATTTAGGACCCCCAAGGGGGAATGTCACCGGAATGACAAACATTTCGTCATCGCAGTTATCTTTCTATCAGACTGTTTTGGGGTGAATTTTCTCCTCTTCATTACTCTGATCAATTAGCTGAGATATTGTGATATGCATGAAATATATACAGTTGCCTATTTTCAGGGTTTACCAACGACTACACAATGTTCTTTTTGACTCAAAGCTTTAAAAAAAAAAAAAGTGGGGTTCTGCAGATGCTCTTCTCTATGTCAACACACAGCCCAGAAACCAGGGTGGGAAAGATCTAACTATCTGTTGTATCTGATATTTGTTTGTTCTCTACAGCTGTTAAATGTAAACTGTACGGGGATTTGAATGTCACAATTTTCTATGTAAATTCAACTGTAGTGGAAAGTTTTAAGCAGGGACTGGATTACAGAAATAATTACCATGTTGGAGTTACTCCGTTTTTCTCTGGTAACAACAGTTGTTATTTAAGAAGCCTTATAACAATAGTATTATAATTATCATTGTGAAAAATAACAGCCACGTATCAAAAGTCAGTCAACTCTGGAATAGTTGAAAGCAGCGTGGAAAGTTTGACACTGTTTTTACACAGCGCTATGAGGATAATTTACCTCACATAGTTGAAAAGGTATGAATAGTTAATATCTCTGATAAATGTATGGTAATTCATAATCACTAGTGCTGAAACTGAGACAATTCGTCATGTTTTTAAAGAGCTGTTGCTCATTTTGGACGTAAATGAAATTGAGTCAGGAAAATAAAAGACTATAGAAGTTGTATAAAAAGGGTAAAAAGGAAAAAAAAAAGACATACTTGAGTGTTTCAAAACTAACAGGTTGATATTGATATGGGCAATGGATAAAGCATCCCATAGAGGCATTGCTTATTAGAATTAAGATTGATGAGGGGTTCACCACTGGAACAGACATGGGTTAGAAAATAAATAACCATTTAAGATTGATATCTTCATTCAAAATTGTATTAAGATGTTTCAGAGATGATTCTATCAGGAGGATGAAAGGCCTTAAAACTAATATTGAAAGGCAATGATCTTTGAGGCTACCCCACATTAGCTGTCTTGTCTTTACTTAACAGACATTTTAGATAATTGGAAAAGGATCATGTTCCACTTTGAAGTTCCATTTAACATTTAATTTTTCTCTAAATATTGTTGTAATAATTTACCCTATTGTGTAGTAGTATTGGTAGTAGTTAATGCAATAACCTTAGATACTTTTACCGGAAAGCTACTTTAGGGCTATAAATATAACAAAAACGCAAACAGATAATTCAGGTTTAAATCAGTCATCTTTCTTTCTTTTTTGGGTTTCACCTGAATCGCCTGGGGAAAAAAAGGAAATTGAATAATTGTACAATATTTCCTCTTTTGAACAGGATTCATTTGGTTTAGAACTGTTGTTGCTATTTTTAATCCGGGTGTTCCTCAGCATTAGTCACCATTGCGATGCGGATAAATAGAATGTGCCTACTTGTACCTGGCAGAACTTAGTATGAATAATTGAATAAGTTTGTGATCAGAAAAAAGCGATTTGTGAACGGCTCTGTGCATACTGCATATCTTTCATTTTTCCTTTTTAAAAGCAGGTGGTCAGTTTGAAGGTCAATTGTTTTTAAAATGAGTTTTTTTTCTCACTTCCTGCTGCTTCAGTGATTTGCATTCATAAAAGGTTAGTGGGAGGAAGGAAATGCTGTTTGGTTGAAGTCCAAAAGCTACGCACACAGGACTGAATGTCCTTTTTCCACAGGGGTCAGAGCCCCGGCATTTCACATGGACACTTTTGTTTCTTAACTTTCTCTGTTTTTCTCTTCCTCTCACCAGCATCCGATCTTCCTCTTGTAACATCCTGAGGACAAACAGAGTTCTCAACAATTCTACCTCTTGATACAAAATATATCCATGCTTATATAGCTCACCAGAACCACTGCGCCCGTGTGTTTAGTTCTAGTGGCCGTGGTTTCACAGCGTAATGATAGCGTAGCTGAGCGGAGGCTGAATGCTTTCCTTGTGCTTTTCTAAAAAAAAAAAAAACTGTCATAGGTTTTGAGTGTTGATTCAAAGTATCATTGTAATATCAAAGAGCTTTTTGGGGAGGTTATTGTCTATTTAAACGATGGAATGTAGGATGGCTGAAATACCTTCTTCTTGGATGAAATGCACAAATAGTAGCTCATATGAAATGTTTCACTAACTTTTCAAAGATCATTGTTGGTTTTCCGTGCGTATTTTTCTTCTTCTCCAAGTGGTGAACATTTAGAGTAATTTTGGCTTTGGCTTTTTTATTTTTGTCTTTTTCGTTTCTGATCTGGCAGCTCTTTGTTCAGTTCAAGTAACGGGCCAGTAAGTCAGGTCAGCTGGTCCAGCAGCACGGACTTAAAGTAAATGTTGATTTAGCGCTGCCTGTAAATGTGTACCTGCCTGTGCTGTCCCCAGAGCAATGGGGAAGGTGTATGGATTTCATTCACATTGACTACATTTGAGCTGGTCTGTCAGGACCAGGCAACCTGGGGATGTTTTGTAATTATAGATGGTAAACATGGTTTCAGAGAAATGAGTTGCATAATTTTGCCAGTCAGCCCTGTGCAGCGTGTGTTGTGCAGGAGCATACCTGGACATTCTCCATCATTTACTCTGCAGGATTCTTATAGAGCCGCACAGTCTTGGAGTGAAAAACTTCAGTGTAGAGGTAGCAAACTCACAGTTTTTTTCTCTTAAAGGTGAGTCTCCTTTTTCCGAAATGGAACTACTGCAGGCACTCAGACGAGTTTCTGTTTAGCGTTTGAGTAACGGTGTTATCTTTGTGGTTTTGTAGCTTGTGGTCACTTCTTTTTTTTTTTTCTTTACCGAAGCAAGGACAAGGACCAGAGCCCAGTAGATACTTATTGATTTGTGTGTTAGTGTGCATTTGTAGCTATCAGTTTCTTGATGAGATTTCCCAGAATCTACAGCATTTTTTTTCCATCCTTCCCATCAGAGCACCATGTTTTTCTCCCCCTCTTTCCAATCTAGGCTGGAAGGGTTTGAGAATATATGGTGTGGGTTGTAAAGCTTCTCAGCCTTTCAACTTTGTGTGAAAGTATGAAAAAAGAGACACATTTTCCTCGGAAACACAGCCGTGTCTTTTCACGCAGGACCCACAGAGGCAGTTTTGGTCCTTTCACATATGTGTAAGAGAGACTCTACACAGCTGTATTATATTGAGCTTTACTGCTGAATTTCATGTGAAAGTGGTGTTTTTATGCTGGATTGAATAGATAGATAGATAGATAGATAGATAGATAGATAGATAGATAGATAGATAGATAGATAGATAGATAGATAGATAGATAGATAGATATTTTACCCCTATTAGATAGTTAGAATGATTTGCTTGAATTGCGGGCTGTATTAGTGATCTTTCTTTTTTATAAAACTTTGTTAGATAAAACCGGCTTAGCTTGTTGGGCGCATTTGTGTTCAGGTTGTGTTGTTGCTGTAATGGGCTTGGTAGGTTTTAAGAGCATTATTTTTATTGTGCAAAGATTTAGATTTTTTTTAGGCGTGTTCCAGCTTGTGAGAAAGACAAGCAGTAGAGCGTTTTAGTTCTAGAGATAGTTTTAACAAACATGTACGTGCATGTTTACCTGAACCACAGCCTTAAGAACAGATTTTTTGTATTTGACTATATGAATAATGAAAGAAATTTGATTAAACAAGTTTACTGAATTTTTTGAGGTTTTTCTTTTTTAAAATATTTACCAGGGTAAATATTTTTTAAGTCTTTTTGTAGTTTGCAAGGGCTTTTTTGCCTTCATCACATTCACCTTTGCTTGTAGATGTATTGATGTCATTCTGTATAGTTCATTTTTTCTATGATAATTTACAATACTTCAAAGCCGTCTCAAATTAGGATCAGACCAGTCTTCCCAGTGGTTATGTCTCATTGGTGACTTTTCATGCTTTCAGTTTCCAAGACCGAAAGTAAAGTAGTGGGCCAACAGTTAACAGAAAGCAGGTTTGGACAAGGCAGCCTTTATCCATTGAGCATCCTGAGGGAGGAGGTGTTTTGACATTACCTTTACTGTGCCTTGGAAACAGGTTGAGCTGGTGAGGATATTTTTCCCAAGAAACTGGGGGAAACCTGTGAGTGTAGGGTTTGTCTAAAATATGGTTTCTATAAAGCACCACAAGGTTGTATCTGTGAGACACTATTTTTACCACTGCTCTTTTGAGACAAATCAGTGCCACAAGTTTTATATGATATCTCACAGAGGTCTCAGACATCTGTTGCAGAGATACTAAACCAGTTCCAGACTGCAAGAACGGAGTCTTTCACTGGTGCCAAGTCCTCTTCTTGTATCGTGCTGTCTCTGATTTACAAAATTAGTTCAAGCTCAGAGATGCCTTGTGTGTCCAGTTGGCACTGTCTTAATTATGTTGTCCAGTCATATGCTTTTCTTAGTTCATCATACTCTGTTACTCTGATCTCTGGTATCGGGTGCTCCGAAAGATTAATGGGGTTGATCTTTATGTGAACTGTCTCTTTGTTGCTTTTGTGATTGTAGAATTAAACCAATCATAACTGAATGTCAAGTTTTCATTGAGTGCTGTTACTGAAATGCCACCAAAAGCAGAGTTTGAAGTTGCTTCAGTTTTTTGGATTTGTACTTTGATTATCCTGTTGAAACTTGTTAATATTTTCATGCTTATTAAAATATAACATTTGTAGTGGATGGACAAATTGGCTATTAGAGCAGCACATGCAAGGAAACGGCGTTGTCTGATTTGTGTATTGTGACATCTAATCTGGCAACGGCTGCCAGAATGCTGGATGTGTGTTTTACTGATCCTCAGGGTTTTGGTATTGATACATGAGAAACCTCTCAAAGATTTGAAACAGTTTAACAGACAGCAGGCCCACACCGTAATTCAATACCGAAGGAGAAACTCTTACACACCTCTGTAGATTCCTACGTGTAACTGTGTTAAATGTCCAAACGCACAAAGGCAGAAATGTTCTTGTGCATTCTTTTTTGGCAAACTTCCTCATCCTTCTCACTTGAGCTATACAGACAAAACTAAGATTTAACAAAATGAGAAAATTAAATCTGTTCATTTGGTGGTCTCAGTTTAGTATCAGGAACTGGGGGTGGGGGGTTTGAGCCTGTACTGTAGCAGAAAATGACTGTCTAAGCTCATGATGATCAACTTTTTTCTCTCTGCTTTTCTTTCCCACAGGGTTCCACTTTCTGTGCCTCTCTTCTCAGGATATAAAAAAATGGTGAAACTTTAGTTGAGACAACCATCTCAGTCATGCCTTTCTTAAGTGTCAGTCCTAATTCCAAGCCGAACCGGAGGTTCTGGCACATCGGTGTGCTTCTCTGCATCTGGGCTCTGAACAGTCATGCCGAGATTGGTAAGAACTCCACTACATTTAGGAGAGATTGCACTGTCAACATTTTTATCAGTCTTATAAGCCTACAACTCTTAAGTCAATGTGGAAATATTTGATTATATTTCATGCTGCATGGGTAATGCATGAGCAGATTTAGTTTTCAGATTTGAACTGTGAGTACTCTGAATCGTTCCCTCTCTTTTTCCTCAGTCCTTACTGTACCCCACAAAGTGAGCCTTTCAGCTGACACATCTACGCAGCAACTGTCCATTTCCTGGTTCGGAGGGGAATCCAACACTTTTGACATCCTCGTTTTAAGAACGGAATTCAATGAAACTGTCTTCTATGTAAGCAAATTTCTTCTTTTTATTCTTATTTTTTTAGGTTCTTTAGTTCAAGCCACCTCAGTGTTCTGAGGAAGTTTATGAGGAGAAAAAGAATTTCAGCCTAGAAATGAATATTTTGTTTTTGTATTATATATTGGTTGTTGTTAACACATGTTCTAGTATCATCACTCTTAAATTTAGCATACATTTGCTGTGTGTCATTTTCAGGATACAGTGTCTGCTACAATGAATCAAATAAGCGGTCGCCACGAGTGGAAGTGGACCTCTGTTGAACCTCTGGAGTGTACCTCCCTATCAATCAAAATCCGATCAAGAGATGGAAAAAAAACAAGTGAATGGAGTGAGATTCAGATTCTTCAAGGTCAGTGGGACATTTATGAAACATAAAAGTTGTTTAGAACAGTTTATGGTATATATAAGTAGGCTTGGAAATTTCTGCATTATCTGCCATTTTTGGGATTTTTTCTTTTTTTTGTCTAGCATGTCTATCTACCTTTGAGCTGTCTCTCATCATAAATTATTCATTATATTGTTTTGTTGTTTATCTAGGAACTGTTCTTTGGAAATAGCTCTTAATTGTAGTTTAACAGCTACCGGACACTGGTAGCTGTTAATCCTCTTGGCCAGTACAGCCTCACTGACTCAGTGGAACAGTTTTGAAACGTAGAAGTTGTAGAGAACAGATATAGGAAGGCTTGGAAATTGCTGCATCATCTGCCATTTTGTTTAGTTTTTTTCTCTACCTACCTTTGAGCTGGCTCTCATCATAACTTTTTTTCCCCTTTCTTTTCCATTTTTTCCATCCTTTCTTCTGTCCAGGGAAGGATATTCCTGGCAATGGGGGCCTCCAGATGTATCCCCAGGACAGAATTGTTCTTGTGGGGACCAACACAACCTTCTGTTGCATTGTGGAAGAGGGCAAGGTCTTCGTTGGCATGACTTACAGCAGCACAGCCATGGAAGTAAAGCGACTGAGTCGACGAAGTTATGCCACAACAGCGGTTAATCAGGGACCATCACGTTTTTGGGGAACCAACGTCATTTGTCGTGCAAAAAGCGCAGCGAATCCAGTGAATGGGGCAGTCATCTTTGTTGGATGTAAGATGAATTACATAGAAAACAGTGTGACCCGTTCTCTGATCTAACGTGTGGTTAAAATGGCATTACGCCCATGAAAGTTTGATTCAACAATTTTTTTTCAACCAAAAAGATTTATAACTTTCAAGCCTCTTTGAATTAATGAAATGTCACATTAATATTGTGTGCTGTCTGCCAGTTTTTCTGCCTGGTAGAACTCGTCTTCACAGTAAAGAATAATGATTCTTAATTGCTCTGTTTTGAGTATGATTAAGCATCTCAGTGTTTCATGTGTTGACCCTTTTCCCCAGATCCACCACAGCCCACCAATTTTACGTGCGAGACTCATGACTTAATCTCAGCTGTGTGCTCCTGGAATATAGGAAAAGACACTCATTTGTATGGAAAAGGACGACAAACACTCTATTCTGTGAACAAAAGGTACCCGTTCAGAATCTTAAGAAATGTGATTTAGTAAGGAATTATTTTTGCTTCGTCAGAAACCAGTGGAAGTCAATCTGTGCACGCTCTCCAATTAACATGACAGCGGGAAAATGTTGCTGCCATAAGGACTTGTGAGATCTAACTGAGACATGTTCAAGAAATTAACACTTTAATCTGATTTCTGTAAACTGAAAAAGTGAAGTATACTTAGGATTTCTGTGCAAAGCCCTTACGAGCTATTACAAAAGTGGTACTGGCTACTTTGTGTTGTTAGGTTTAGCACAGAATTGTTTATGATTATCCCAACTGCCTTTCTCTAAAGCAGGTTTTCTGCCTAGGGAAAAAGAGAAGAAGATGAGGAACATAAAGCACTTAGACTAAATAACAGCTTGCTTCTGTGTGCCGGTTGCTGATAGCTGATTGGCTGCCTTCCAGAGCTTTTACAGGAATGCTCTGAAAGCTGGCCAAACAGGGCCCGTGTCATCCGTTATAGCTCAGAAGTGATTACGGTTCATTTTTGTGTGATTATCTGGCTTTAATTGTTGAATTCTTTATATTGTTTTGTTGTTTATCTAGGAACTGTTCTGTGGACAAAGCTCTTGATTGTATTTTCCCTCATTGGGATGGTAACTGGACACTGGTGGCAGTTAATCCTCTCGGCCAGTACAGCCTCACGGACTCAGCTGAAATTAGTCACAGAGGTAGGCACAACCTTGGCTTATCACCATTGCTCCATAAACTGTGTAGAATAAAGCTCATGTTGTTGTTTAACTTTGTTCCCCAGTGAGTCCAGTAGCACCAGTTAATCTGAACTCTGCTGTACAAGCTTTCAATGCCACTCTGGTGTGGAAGTGGGAATATGATGGCTATTCCTCCCTGCCTCTAGTCTGCCAGGTAGAGCTAACCACAGATGGGCACAAAACCAAGGTGAGTGGTTCTACACGTGTGTGTAATGTGGGTACTCAAACGGTTAACCTCTTTACATTAAACTCTTGAATCAAAATGCTTATCAACATCTGAAGTAAGTGTGATGTGTGTGTGCAGCGTGTCTTCTCTGGTGTGGGTCTCCATTCTGTGGTTCTGTTGGACCTGCAGTCTGATGAGGATTACAGTGTTAGAGTCCGCTGTGGAGCTCAGCAGAACTTCTGGAAGTGGGGGAAATGGAGCGACCAGTTTCACTTCAAAACCAAAACCTATGGTATAGAGATTATTTATTATTTTGGAAAACCCTTTTCTCAATGATAAATGATAAATTATAAATATTCCCCCAGTATTTTGTAACGGATAAAAAGCTTGACCATGTCCAGGTTGCCCTTTAGTGTATTGCGAGACTATTTACATTTTTGGGATTTTTAAAAGGTCACGACTGCAAAGATTAGAACAGCCTTTGATACACAGCAGCACTGCCATGTTTCGATCGTTTTTTTATATTTTCAGTTCCAGATGCTCCAGATGTGTGGGTGTTCATGAACGGAGACAACACTGGGCTGATTTTATGGAAGGTAAAGCTCTTTCATTTTTTAATTTAAAATTCAAAATGGTCATGTTTTATTAAATTTCTTCATGTGATCTCTCTCAGCCTCTAACAAGACAACAGAGCCACGGTCAAATCACTGGTTTTGAACTCACTCTCTGGAACCTAGAAGAAAATGTACAGCACACAGAAATTTTACCAGCAGAAACACATTCTTTACCAGTCAATCTTGCACAGATGACTTCTTTGAGCAACGGCAGCAAGGTCATAGCAAGTGTCATGGCAAAGAATGTGGAAGGGTTTTCTGAACCTGCAAGTGTACCTCTGCATTTCATAGGTGCGTATTTATGATGATCACCACATATAAAAAGTCTAGATTTGTTTATTGTCGATGGTTCTGGGTCATGGGGACTTTATTGGCTTTTAGAAAAGTCTTGATATTTTCCTCTTTTCAGGTGTGGAACCGCATTCTTTGTCGAGAGTAGTTTACACGGATAGCGGTTTCCCTCTTTTCTGGCAGCAGAGTGCCAACAGCACATGTAGTTATGTGGTGGAATGGCACAATGTCTCATGCTCGCAAGATTGCCCTGTAGATTGGATCAGAGTGGCTGCTGGAATCACTAATGTCTCCATTGAATCAGGTAAATCAGGCATGCAAGATTGGGAAATCTGACTGCTTTAGTAGATGCTGATGTAAAATGACCTCTTTGTCACATTTCCACAAATGTAAAAGTCTTAATAATCCGTGTTTGTAGATTTTGATCATTTACCTAACGATCTCTCTTGCTTCGTCTTTTCTTTTGTGACGAAATTTCTCCTCACCAGTCAACTTCCAGCCAGGTGTGAGATACAACTTTTCCCTCTACAGCTGCCCTTCTGATTCCCCACAACTACTGCAGCGCTGGCAGGGATACGTACAGGAGCTGGGTACGGGCAGCAGAGCATGCCGGATACTCACTCTTTTTAGAGGAGAAATCCTACTCTAAATACTCAAAATTTATTTTATCCCACGTTACACCACTAATCCTTCAGCTCTGACTTTGATCATTGATTTGCATTGACCTCCACAGTCCCGTCCAGCTCCGTCCCTCTGTCAGTCAGTCAGCAGGACTCTGATGTCATCCTTACCTGGGGCGAGATCCCACTGGCTGACAGAAGAGGCTTCCTCCTGGGCTACAACGTGTACATAAACAATGGTTCCCAGCTCGCACTACTCGGTAAAGATCAGTGTAAACGGTTGATCCATCGCTCAAATTTAAAGGTGAATTTTTCCTGGCCATTTTTAGACTAATCTTTTCTGGCTCCTCTCTGCTCCGTTTGCATTTGAAAAGCAAATCTGACAGATGTAGGAAAAAGGACGTACACAATGAAGGGTCTCTCTGGAGGTTCATATAAATTTACCGTCAAGGCTTACACATCAGCCGGCGAGGACACGGGCACTGCTGCTTACATCACAGTGGAGTCCTACAGTACGTGGAGGCTATCTTTTGTTTTTATTAATATGTTGTTACAGTTTTTTCTATTTTTTTGTTCTTACTTTTTTTGCATACGTTGGGGCTCATAGTTATACTGTAACTTTTTCAGAAAAACTAAACTGATGGAAAATAACTTAATTTCTCTTTTTTTTCCTGCAGCAGATGGCTTGATCCTGGAAATGCTGGCTTCTTTGGGAATTGTAGTCATTTTACTCGTCATTGTTATCATTGTTTGCTACAAAAAAAGAAAATGGTGAGACTTACTTGAGTTGATATCTTGTGTATCTATTTCTTCTTAAAATAATATAACAATACTGGTGAAAATTGTATGTATCCTCATAATCTCTACGCGTTGGAAATAGGAGCTGTGGAAGCATTATTTGAAGATTTGTGCCAGTAGATAACAATTTGTAATGAGTAATAATTTGCTCTTAACAGGGTAAAAAGGGCATTTTATCCAGACATACCTGAGCCCAAGCTACCAAGTGATTGGTCCAGGACACAGGTACAGTACCATTCTAATCACATTTGATATTCCACCGACATCATATTTAATTGCATGACTACAGGCTTTATTTCACTTTCAGACTGTTTACGTCTACACTTTTCTCTTTCAGGGACCTTTAAACGTGAAACCATCTCCACACAGTATGGTTCATATTGTAGAGAAGCCTGAAAGAGATTCTAGTAAAGAGGCTCTTGTTGTCATTCTTGAAGAAGAGGAGGATGATCAAGGGCAAAGGATAGGAGATGAGCCAGTCGACACGGACGAACCCCAGTCCTTACGCTACTACGACCAAGTGGTCGATGAGCGCCCCATCAGGCCACGTTTCCCAGACTCCTCCGTTTCTTCAGCATTTTCTTTGGATTCAGCCAGCACCGATGTGACATACACAGGGATCCAGACCTCAGGTTCCTCTCTGGTGTTTCAGCTCGATCCACCAGGCTCCAGTGAGATTCACCAGCCTCAGATGGATCGCGCCGTCAGCAGTGGACATGGAGCCGGGGGTTATCGCCCCCAAACGCATCGTATGGCCCTGAACGATGACATGGGCTTTGCTTCTTCAGAGCCTTTACTAGAGCCCGAGGCTGCCAATGGTGGGGGCTACAAACCCCAATGTTCCTGGCATCTGGACTCTCCCACAGAGGCCAGTGAAAGGGGCAGTCTGGCCCCTTCTCTTGGATCGCCCATCTCCGTTGCCTCTACACAGTTCCTCCTCCCTGACGGAGAGGAGCATGCACAGGAGAAAGGACAGCTGTCTTCTGCAGCAACCTGGTTCACTAACCTGCTGTCATCCACAAAACCCTGATATCAGCTCCTGCCTTTTTTTCTTCCTGTTCACAGCCAGGCCACAGGGGGTGACCCACTCATTTCTGTTACCAGTGTCATTTATCATCTAGTCCCACCTGTCCATTGTCTTGATCATAACCATCTCCTACGTAGCACTAAATTGTTCCTCGTACATTTGGACCACAAGTTAAAAATCCTTTTTAAGGTGTTTTTACCAAAAATATTAAAATTACTACGTAGTTATTTTATCTTCCATGGGTACTTGCATGGATAATTTAAATCTGTATATTTGTATATGTAAAAAAAAATCTATAACGATGGCAAATCTCTTAAGGATTTGTTGTCTTTGATGGTTCTGTTTATTGCACCCTCTGGTGGCTGTGGATTCCCTCACGGCCTTTTCTGTTGCAGTTTCACCTTTCATTTGTGCTTTTTCAGTGCAAAAGAAGGATGTCCTGAATAACCTGCTGCTTTTAAACTGGGGTCATTCAGAGATCTGACTCAGCTCTGTGTTTACACACATTAAGCTGATGTTACACAATTAGCTGAGAGACAGCGACAGCTCAGAGGCTCATTAGTCCAGGTATGAAAAACAGCCATGCGACGCAATGGAACCGACATTTCAGTTTTTTATGTTTCGGCTGAGTTGGCCAAATTTTTAGCCTGCAATTCATTGTTTTATTATCTATGGAGTTTCAAAATCATTGATGGCACCATTAAAATAGAAAAAGAGTATAAGAATAAGAGTGGAGACAGTTTGATTTAAAAAAAACACAGGTCAGAACAATGTCTTTCCCATCATAGCAAACAGGATTTCTGTTGGGCTAATGTTGGGAGAATCTTTCCTGCTGACAGCTGAAAAACCACTCTGAGAAAATATGTCACATGGCTGTAGATGCCTTTTTTGAGGTATGATCTCTTAGTTCACTGGAACGCTAACATCCTCAGTGATGTTACTGACTTTCGTTTTTGTTTCTTTCACTTGGAGTGACTGCCAGGACAAAGATGTCAACATAACGATGCACTTATGATAGAGAAAATTTATCATTGTACAAAGACACCGGAGAAGAGCTTTTCATCATGGTCTGGAATTTTGGGGGTGATCAGCCCATGGACGATACACTAATATAAGCTGGACATCAGTGCAAACTGAGGTAATTTTTGAACAAGCAGGCTATTGTTACTTTTGAGTGTCTTTGTTTGATCTTCCTTGCCAGAGTCTATTTTTTGCTTTTCTTTCTTATAAAGACATATATGTTACTATCAGGCCAGTGTTTTTTCTTTTTTTCTTTTCTTTTTTTTTACTAAATGATGCATTAAGAGGGTTACTTGTTATTGTATGGGTAATTGCAGTGGTTGAGTAGCCTTGATGAGAGTATGCTTCCAATAACTTTCAGCATATCAATTTTTACATACTTATCTGAAATGTTTTAATATCTTGTTGTTATGGAGTTCACAACAGATCTAACATGCAGAATCCACTGGAATACTATGAACTAGGGATGTCCCAACTGACAGGATTATTTTGAGAGTGAGAAAGTCTGTCTTCTTCATTTAGGAAGTCATTAATTTTATGTTGTAGATCTTGGTTTAGATTTTCAGTATAATTCTCAAGGCGAAAATCATCTCCTGAAATAAATGGTTTGGAAAGGGGACCAAGGGGAAAGTAGAGAATGTATGGGGCAATGGGTTTTTGAATAATCATTTAGCTTTTGTTGACATAAATGTGGAGAAAGTTCTTTAGTCCACACATGAGAATCTTTATAAAAGTGATGGGCTTCTAGTGGGTATTCTGCATTAATGTGGCCTTTCAAAAGCATGTAAAATATGCAAAGTTTACTCTGTGAGGTGCAGTGGTTTATTTTCCAATTTTGGAGTCAGTCAGAGCCGATGTCGCAAATTGTGTGATAACGTTTTTAGTGCCTCCAGCCAACAAGCTTTAAGTATAACTACTGTGACATTAAAAAATAGCTTACTGTCAACTATACGGGATTGTCTTTACAGTTTAACTGATAGAATTCTGTCTTCAAGAAAAATGTATCCACCTTTTCTTCTCCTTGTAAAACTGGTCTGAATTTTACTTGTTTAATTGGAGTGAGGAACTTTGGGGCAGACCATGTAAATGAAGGAATAAGTGAAAGAGATCATCCACCATTGATGGTGGATGATGGTGATAACTGCTTTGAAGCAGTTGTAAAGGTTGCTTACACTTTAGCGTGTTTTAGAAGTGCGCTTTTTCTAAGGAGAAAATCTGAGTTACATGATTTATGTTGATTTATTTGGACATGTGGCACCTTTTTGTTTTCCTTGAATTTTTTTTTTAATGCAACTAACTGTACATAATTGTAATGTTCGTGTTTTCTTGCATTCGAGAATATTACATTGTTTCACGGCAGATGGGATTACGTTCCCTGCCCTATAACACTGACTAACCAACTTTATTGACAAAAACATGTTTGTGTCAATGACACAAGATAGAGTTCTATGTAAATGTATGTTTCTGAAAAATCAGGTATAATAAGTTACAAGTGCGGAACTTGAGCCTTCTATCTATTGCTATCACGTTTCTTTACTGTCTCTCTTTGCTGGAGACGTTTGAATAGGGCCACAAATGTCACCATTCATAAAGTCCATCATTCATTTCTTTTTGCATTTTTAGACGCAAGTCTAACATTACACAGGGTATGTTTTCAGTCTACCATGTCTCCATCTCTGGCCCATGCTACTTTTGTGAAACTGATGCATGCTGTGTAAACTATTACTACAAAAACCATGACTTGTAAGCCTTTTAAAAATATTTGGTTGTTACACTATAGCTTTAAAACACTAACAATGACTAATGCATTGCATGATGAAATGACAAAAGTGTGTGCACTTGAAGTGATATAAAATTGACCATATTTTGCAGATTATTTTATTACTTAATAGATTAAGCAGCTCACAATTGCCTCTGGATGAATATGGCATTATTAACAAAGTGATGTACTTGTTTAAAGGCAATAAAGTGATTGGTCTGGCTACTAAACTACGTGTCAGTGTTGTCAACTGTATACTTTAGGTGTGTTCAGTTAAACACATTCGGCTGTTGTCATGGCAGCGGTATTATTCGATCTCGTATAGAGGGGTAATTGCCACATGGACATAGACATAAACGCCGCAATGAGGGCTGCATTGTACGTCAACGTCGCCGCCATCTTGGATGTGGCAAAGTGGAGAATCGATGTCAATGATCAGACAGTGTGTGTCTGTCTGTCTGTCTGTCTGTCTATCTGTCTGTCTGTCACGTGTCGCTGCAACTGAACAACAGGCTCAACGCGGCGTCTACGTATATATGTCTATGGTAATTACAGTCTGGGATGTGTACTCCTGGATGTTATCAAATTTGTGTTATTCAATTGATTCTAGTAATTTATTATAAAATCAAACCTTTACCTGAGTTTTTTTTAATTTTTTTATTTCTCGACTGCCGACGCTCTTTTCCGGTTTTCATGATAACCTGACGACACACTGTCACCATGGCAACGACTCAACAATTTACCAAGGAGTTGCTTTTATATTCTAAACAGTACGCTTAAATAAAAATAATGTTCTGAATTAATTTGACGACAAATTTTCGTACAATGTCGGATATATTGTCCAGATGGTTGAACCAGGAGCTTCGGTTGTCCAAAATCGTTGGTGAGTGTGGCAGAGAGTTTGACATTGAAGGGGGGCGACCGTTTACCACTTTCCACCGGGTTCTTTATTTTTTTAATTTAACGCTGACTTTTTTAGCGTGAAACTTTCCCATTGGCCCAGTTATAGGAAGTTAAGAAAACGAGGGATAGGAGTGTTAATGTATTCTTTTTTTTTTCTCTCCAGAAACTACAGTGTGTTTTCAAATAGTTAATGCCGTAGTTGACTGTGGTTTACATTTCAGCTGATGGCTAGTCAGCAAGTTTGCGTTTGTTTGCTTACTCGTTGTTACGTTTGCATTTACAGACCCCAGAACCTTTGCCAAGGATTTCTCCAATGGTTACCTGTTCGGGGAGGTTCTTCATAAATACCAGATGCAAAATGATTTTAGTATGTTCCTGAAGAAAGAGTAAGTTGCCCTCTGTCAACTTGCAGAAGGCTGCTGCGCAAAAATCCATCTTCTTTGTGCATTTCTCTATAATGTTCTTCTAAGTAATCAGACTTTCATTAAATCTTTTTATATGATCCTCCTTTGAACATTTGCTGCCTTTAATTTAGTCTTTTCCTGTTTTCCTACTTCTTTTTTTAATCTATGAGGCAATTCAAAAATGGTAAATTAATCATTCAAGCATATAATAAGAGGTTTAACTATTTATGTGTGAACGCAGAACTTGGCAATTTAATATTTTTATCTCACAGGACAGGGCAACATGTCTTTAGATGCATTTATGAAATGTTGCCAAAAACACGACTTGACAGAATATATTTTTCATTGATAAAAATCTATTACAAGGTAATTAAGTTAATTCACAAAGAGCAATAATCTAAATTCCTGGCATCAAAAGTGAGTTAAGCATCTGGCCTTTAAATTCCATTCATTAACTGTTCTCTGAAGTCTCATCACAAATGGTCCTATTAAAGGGTTTAAAGGGAAGGAGGAAGCCTTTGGTATGCCAAATGAAAAAAGAACTGAACTGAAAATCTGTGGCAATAGGTCTGATGGATGGATGATTTATCCCCAGAGCCTGGATCTCCACACATTTGACACAATATGGGATCATTTTAACAGATAAATAGAAATGATACGGACATCTCAGCCCTCCAGGAACTTCTATAGACACTTAAAGATACAGTCAGCAAAAAATACCTGACCATATCACATTTACCTGTCCCTTACCATTTGTTCAAATTGTTATTTAAACTGTCCTGTTGCGCTGGGATACCAGGTTAAATTCCTGTGTACTCTGAACACTCAATTGTCCGTCCAAAAGCCTGGAGAATGAAGCCTGACAAAGGATAATCAGGAATGCCTAATAAAACTTGAGCTGTCTTGAAGAATAAAGGTGCTTGTTTAGATAAATCTCCCCGCTTTTTCTAAATAGTTTACATCCTTTTGCGTTTACATGTCTCAGCAAATATATGCAACTGTTTGTCATTTTCCAGTCAACAAATAAAGTATTTACATTTGTAAGACTTTTGCACAGTTGTCAAAGTATTATTGGTCTTCTTTTATAGTTTTGACTGAAGTTTCTGCATGATTTATCTAATTATTTTGGTTTGTGTTCAGAGTCATTAAAAGTTATACCCACTCTTTGTTATAGCACCGCCATCTCCAAAGTGAACAACTTTACACGCCTTCAGCCGACGCTTAGGCTATTGGGGATCTCCTTTGACATAAACACAGCGCAAGACCTGATGGATGAGAAGCTGAGTGTTGCCACACACATTCTTTACCAACTCTATGGTGCACTAGAAAATAAGAAGAATTCAGGAATCAGCAGGACCATGATGGAAATGATGCAGCCGGCAGCCAAAGCAAACCTGCACAAAAAGGAGCATGAGATATTGTCTCATGTAAGAAGCTGTATTTATTTCTTTGTAATGTTTACTGCATATGCTTGTGATTAGAGATATCTCTGTATGGCATAATTTGTAGAAGTATCTTTTATAATGTCTCCTACTTTTATCAATAATACAAGTTGACTTTATTTGGTGTATGTAATGATTGGTATTTAAAACTAAAATGACTGTTCAAATATCTTTTCATTTTTGTAGCGGCTTCCCCAGGTGGTGAAAAGGGATATAGAAAAAAAGCTTCAAAAAGTTTCTCAGGACAACAGGGTTAAATTCCAGCAGCTGACGAACACGTCTGTGGTGACGGAAGACATCCAACAGAAGAAAGACCTCAAAGTCCAGGATGTGAAAAGGACAGACAACAAGAAAGCCCGTCAAACTTCAGAGAGTAAAAAAGTAAAATATTTCACCCATATTCCTTTACTATAAATGCATGTAAAGGTGACTGCGGGGCAGCAATATGATTAATTGTTAATTATGCACAAAGTAACAAATCTTTTATAGTATTTTGGTATTGAACATCACTCTTTCGATTACATAAAAGCATAAAATAGAAAACTCTTGTTACTTTATTTTTGGACAGGCTGTTGATTAAACATGGTAAACTATGTGTCGTGCAGGTATTTCATGCTCATAAGAGGTTCACTGGTGTGAAATATGACCTGGGTCTTAAAGCACCAAAGCTGGCCTCCTCAACAAAAAAGCAGCAGCACAAAGAACGCCGAGCACAGGTATGACCAGAATGATTATACATTCACCTATGACATATCATGGTCCGGCATATCGGGCACATTGATTTATTCTGATTATTTCTCAACATATAAAACCATACAAAATAATTCAGCTAAATGTTTACCAGAATTGGTGAAGTGGAATGTTTTTCCAAGGTAACTGTAGGGCAAAATGAGCCAAATATTGTGGGGGAAGCTGACAGGACAGGATGGGTTTTTCAATAAATGGGCTATATTTCTATCACTAATACAGTATATCTATCTGGTTTTTGTTTATTTTTAAATGTGTTATTTTGTCAAAGATGTTGTTTCAGTGATGTTTATTTAATTCAGCTTCAGTATTTATCTGGTTTTATTCAACCATTTTGGCGAAGATAGCAACTTAAGATTAAAAAAAATTATATTTGATGTAATATTTCAGAAATTAAATGGGACCATTTGTAAAATGTATTAAAAGATTTAGATTTAAAAGTATGGACAATTTAACTTCAGACAGGTTAATTGCCCCATTGATCAATATCAACTTGCTATGTTCTGATTTTCTCTTCTCCTTGGGATCACAGAGGTAAAAAATTATTCTACTTACCTCACTCTAACCTACTGACTGCATCTTTCTGGTGATTCTGTTATTATTTTTGTCTGTTTTTTCCCGTAGATAATTCAGGCTGAAATTTCTCTGTTTGAGACAAACAAGAAGAAACTTGTTACTTCCGATTTTGGCTTATCTTCAAGGTGAGATAGAAAGAAACCTTTACCAGTATACTACGTATTCACCTTTGTAAAACAATCTCTGGCTATTCTTTCTGTTCGAGTAGTCAGTCCCTTCCTTCAGGAATTACCATAGATGGCAGCAAACAGGACTATGAAGTCTCAGTAGGTGGGACCAAGCTGATGTTACTGTCCAACAGCAAGTATATACAGGAAATAAGGCAGAGGCTGAAGGAAAATGCTGTTATCCATGACCAGAGACAAAAAAGAATAGACTTATTCCTGGTGGAGCAGTTCAAGGCTCGTCAAGCTGAACAGGTTAAAATTCCTATTTGCCTATTTTATCCTTTTCTTTCATCCTCACATGGATAGATTCTCACTGAGGGAGAGTAATATCATAACACTGTATTATTTCATGATCTTTTAATGAGTATGTTTAAATAAAGATTACATATCCTGTCTTATCTGAGCCCAAACAGTCTGTTATTTCACACTTAAAAGTTAAACTCCTCATCAGCTAACATCTGTGCTTCCTCTGCCTCAGGACATACAGCGAGATGAGCAGTTGGTAAAGCGCCTGACACGTCAGTCTAAGCATGAGCAGCGTTTGGCTGTGCAGTTAATGCAGATACGTAAGCAGAAAGATGTGATTGTGGCAAATTACCTGGTCAGAGAGCAGCAGATCCAGCTGCGAAGAGAAAAGGACTTCCAGGAATCTCTGCATAGAGAGGCGGTGAGATAGGATTAATTAAGAGGAAACATGGCTGTTGCAGCATCGATGAAGTTTTAATTGGCTACAATATGAGTGTTGTAATAGAGACAGCAACAACATTTCTAGTTTAGGTAGGTGAATGGTTTGTAACTTAGAACATGGTTATAATGAAAGAGAACAAGGACATTGAGGGAAGGGGATACAAAAAAGATCAGTAGCAGGACTCTCAGAAGGCACAGTGAATCCTTAACCTTTTTGCCCGGATTCCTTACCATGACAGCTGGGTAACTTTCTTGAGCCATATACCTAATCCATACCAAGATCTTTTTCACACCTTGATCCTAAAACCACTTTTTGGCCCTAAAACGTCTTTTCGTACTCAAAGGGCACAGAATATCTAGAAAAAAGTTAAAAAGACACATACTGAGTACTTACCCTTTCTAATGAATTATAACTGAAGTCAGAAGCAGAAACAGTTGAGCTTTTCTTTCTCCACTCATTCCATATCTCCGTGTGGGCTCAATGTAGGTTTTGACACAGCAGTCCAAGTTGGCCCGTGAAGAAGAAATCAGAAAGGAGCTTGAATTCTGTGAAAGAATTGCAGCAGAAAAAGCTCAAAGAAGACACAAAAAGCACTTTGATATCTGTAAAGACATTGTGACACAAATAGTGGATTTGGCGACCAAAGTTGGAGAACATCGTTTGCTCACGGGGAAGTAAGTATCATCAAAAATGTGAATGTGTTATAGGAACTCAGTTAGGACCAACCTCTTTGTTTTATTGTCAACAAAACTGATCGTTAAAATACATTTTATGAGTAATACATTTTAAAACAATAAAGACTAATAAGTTAATCCAAATAGTCTATGAATTGGACAAACTGTCTGGGAAATTACAGATATTAGAAACATAATAATGATATTGACTTGGTCAATGCAGTAAGCATATATTAATATTCTGTCTTCTTTCATGATTTATTGCAACATATGTTAACATTTAGTTTGTCATCCTATTAGGGCCTGCATGGGATCTGTGTTCTCTGTAATTTATATCAGATAAAGTAGTGTTCAGGTGTTCAAGTGGAATTAAACAGCACATAAGAAGAAAATGATCAACTACATGGCATGTTACTGACTATGTGTGATTTAATTTCAATTGCTCCTTTGAATCTAGTTTTGTTAGCTGTATTTTCTTTTGGTGTCATGACCAGCCTGATTCCAGCAAAGCTGTTGAGACAGTGGAAGGACTTGCTGTTTAGAGGTTTGCCGCTCTATGAGTCGACGGAAAGCCAACAGCCAGATCTTGAATCTTCAGCTTTACAAGACCCTATACGGCTAAAGAAAGAGGAGACACTCAACAACTTGGACTATAATGAATATACTGTGAGTTTGAAACATGATTTTACATTTTAGTTTACATGCATTCTTTCTTACACTTATATGTAGCACATCTGTCAGCTTTGAGAGGTCTGAAAAAGTTTCATATTTGAATAAAAAACCCTTAAATATCTGAAAATAAGCATGCCAATGATAAGAGCTTGATCTTTTCTTGTTCGGTGTCAGAGTATGGTAGGTGAGTGGGCATGGCCAGAAGAAGCAGAGGAGGAAAAATTACCTCCAAGTGCCAACAACATTCTTGGACATATTATCCAGCGCCTTGAGAAAATTGCTCACCCACCTGTCGTGGAAACGTCTTCCGCTTTCTTTTCTAACTTTGCTATTAAGGCCTGTGTCCTGGGCAAGTGTTGCACAGGCAAGACCACCTGTCTGTCCAAGATAGCTGAAGGTATGCTCGCTGAACAAAAAACAAACAAACATTTGGCTCAACATGATAATTACATAACTATTCTAAGATATTCAAACTAGCAGTCGATCATGTTTTTGAATTTTCTTGCTACAGCACTTGGCATCTGTGTGTTATCAGCTGACACACTAGTTACAGAAGCACTGCAGGCTAACAAGAAGGAAAACGACAACAGTGAGGTGCTATACGATAACTTTGAAAATATTATTTTGATTTAAGTTCTTTTCAGAACAATGAATTCATACAATTCATTTTCTTTCATGTGTACTTTATCCAGATGTCTCTTGCAACTCTGGGAGCAGCTGCAGAAAAAAAGATGAGTACAGGCCACAGCATTCAAAATGAGCAGCTGGTGGACATCATGGTAGAAGCCATAAGGTGATAACAGAACTTATACACTAAAGATACACTAAAAAATACAATCTTATTTCTAGACATAATGTGGATTAAACCTCTTGAATAGTCAAGACACTGAAATAGTTGTTGTGTGCCTACTAGTCACGTTCCAGCTGAGGCAGGTTGGATACTTGATGGCTTTCCATATGACATCAACCTAGCCCATCTGTTAGAGAAAGCCCTGGGTGGGTCTGTAGATGAAGGCTCTGAAGTTTTAAATGACTGGAAGATAGTTGAAGATCCTAATTCATCCAGCCCTGCACCAACCCCCTCACCTGTGCTAGACCTGGTCATCCTGCTTGACATCCCTGATGAGTGTGTGGTCAGACGTGCATACAGTCATTTGGGTATGTCACACTTACTTGAGCTTAATGTTTGGTATATGGGAGCACTGTATATTCTGTTTATGGACATTATTTTCATGACTATGAATTTCTCTTGATTCAAAAGATGATTTGGAAACAGATGCTGCAGCCACAAGCTTACATCCCAAAGACAAGATCTTATATAAGGCACAGATTCCACACAGGTAATAGAGATGGATTAAATGGGAAATGTAGATAGGTAAGTTGCCTCTCCTGCATAATTATAACCCTTACCATGTAACATTTCATTCTCAAGGATATCAGCTTTTCAGGATAATTGGCCAGCATTAGAAAAATGGTTTGGTGAAAAGCAAAACATTTTGGTCTGCATTGATGCTGATATTGATGAAGATGAGCTTTATAGTAAGGTCAAGTCTGTCTTGCAGAGGGTTTTGCAGGAAAAACAGAAAGGTAAGATTCTCGCATTTCCCTTTCAGAAACAATATGTTGAATCTTGCAACTGAATGTAAAAAAATCACCCAACATTATCGGAACATATTCTACCACCAGCTCCTTCCAGTCCACCTGTTGAAGATGTAGTTAACGACAGTACAAAAAATACAGACACTTCTGTAACACCGACTACTGATGAAAACCAACATCCAACTCTCAGTGAGCAAGAAGTTGATGCTACAGAATCCCAATCCTGCCTTAAGAAGGAAGAAGTACAAGGTGAGGGATTACTTTCCAGATCCAATATGCACATTATTTTTTACTTAATCAACTAAATGGAATGTAAATGGCACATGAGGATTGTTATTCTAAACCTGATATATTTTTTGCCTCCTTAGTAGTGACCTCTGGGAAGGAGTCCCCTTCCTCGTTGTCAAATAAGGAATCTGAAGAAGTCCCCCAAGAGTCATCCTCCTCAGAAAAGACATCAGGCAGTCATGCCTGTGTGGAGCAAGCCCTTCCTCCGGTAGGAAAACACGTTTGTTTCATTGATGAGATTTTTTTAGGGCTTTAACTTAAAGATATGTAGATTTCTATCACAAATTAATTATCATAGTTTTTACAGCTTTACTTTACACTGCCCTCCTCTTGTTTGATACTCCCTCCCTGCACCCCTACTTTGTTAATATTTCTCTCCTTGTCTGTCTTTAGGAGATTGCAGAGCATCTGTACTCATACTGGGACACAATGTGTGATTCTTATACAAATGATGTAAAAAATGTTATGCAACAGATGCGTTTACAACAGGAGGTGATTGACCATCAGCTGTTCAACATCAGGTAAAGCGCTGACCTTTTCAGGTAACATTAACATGCTTCAAGTTTCACACCAAGGTTAATCAACACACAAATCATATATTAATTAAGACACTTTTGAACCCAGAATCAACTTGATTATTCTTTTGTGTACTGTAATTGTGGTTCAATATTTTGGTCCAGTTGTTCATGGTTACAGATTTTACTAAAATGAGCAGGATGTTTGTTTTCATTTGAAGATGTTATAGGATGAGTTGTTGTCCAACATTTTTTACAGTTGAGTTGCTAATAAAACTGTTTTTTTGTTAAATTTCATGTTTTCATGTTTCTAAATACAAGTGTATAAAGTAGTTTTCTGGCTCCATAGAGAGGGATACAAGCATTTCATCGGACGCCCAGATTTGAAGCAGGAGTTGGTGTCTGAATGGCAAAAAGACTTCAATAATATACCTGACGACATGAGAGAAGATGAAGATACCAAAGCAGAGCTACATCTGAGATTGGATGTAGGATTTATAAACTAATAATTTCATCCAGAAATATCCTAAAAAAATTCAATCTCGATTGCTGTTCTGTTATTTACACAGGAATTGTGTGAACGCTTGTGGGACATTAGTGACAAGCGGAAAGAGGAAGATGAGCAAGAGAGGGACGCTCTCATGTGTGAGGGGTGGTTGGAGGACCACGCCATTATCCTCATCAATCACCACTCGATCCTAATGCAGGTAAAGTAGCAAATCAAGTAGAAGAATTTCTTTTGGCCATTTCAAATCCAGTGTTATCAATAGTTCATGACTTTCTTTTAGAACAATATTTTCCTGGTTCCCTTACTGTGACTTGACTATTCCATAAAACATTTTTCATTTTGTCTTCTAGGCAGAGCTGAGCCGTTTCCAGCAGACACTTTACATCCTGAAGGTTTATTATTGGAGCATGCAGGGTGATGTGCCACTTGAAAGACCCTCCATATTTTCATGTATTCCTCTGTTGGAAAATCATGAAATTAAAGATCAGGACGAGAGGCAAGAGACGTGCTCAAATAGGAATTAATACAATTAAATCAATGGGGAAAAAATGTGTTTGGCCTGAGGAAAGCAAATTTGAAAGATAGGGACACTGTTAGCACAAATGTACGAAGTCTCATAAATAATGGAGAGAAAGAAAATAAAACTGTAAGGGCTCCCATTGTCCTTAGGTGTTCTCTGCCTTTTATCTGACCTCATTCCAAATACTTTTAAACAGAAAAACATGTCAACACTGATTTTTTTTTCTTTTTCTACAGCACTTCCTTCCACAGACAGCCTGACTCCCAACAAGTGACTAATCAGGCTAAGGCAGAGCCTGAGAAGGTCAGACGGAATGCTGCCTTTAACACACTAAGATATTCATTAAGAACTTCTGAGATGTGATTCAAGCAGACATCTTTGCTTTAGCTTTCAGATGAGAAAATAATTTCTGACTACGAAGAATCCATTAAAGTCATCAGCGAATTGGTAATACCATTTACATGAGTAAGAATTTGTGTGGGAATACTAAAGAGCTGTTAAAAATATTATGTACACCCTGAATTATTATTATTTTTGGACTTAAATGCCAAAAATGTATTTAGGTGTCAGCAGAAGCCCAGGAGAGGATGACAGACCAGCAGAAAGAGATGGAGGAAAAGAAGAAAGCAGAGAATGCCGCTACAAGTGCAAAGAAAGGCAACAATGAAAAGCAACCATCAAAAAAACAGAAAGGCAAGCGTCTTATTAACTGAAAACGGAAGGATTTCTATCTCGTGGCTATGTTTTCAGCTTACATTCTGTATATTTATTACCTTTTTCTTCTCCACAGACTCAGAGAAGCCTCAGATAAACACAGAGAAGTCTCCGGCAAATGTAGAGCAAGCCCATAATCAGGAGAGAGGAGAGAAAATACATCAAGAAAATTTAGCCGTGCTGTATCAAGAGGGTATTTTCAGATCCCATGTCCACACACAAACACAACTATTGTCCTTTTCACACATTTTACGTTATTAAAATGCTTTGACGTTTTGAACCAATATAAGATATAAAACTGCTGGTACGTTCAGTACGTCAGTAGGAAGTAACATACGTGTGTGTGTTTCTGATATGTGTTTATATCCTTGTGTTGCTTGTGTTCCCTAGAGAATGCAGTAAAGATGCGCATTGAGCTGGTCAAAAATCACGGTCTGATGATGGTCCAGGCTCTGCAAAGCAGGGCACAAGAAACTTTTAGCAAAATGGAAAAGTGGTTTCAAGCACGTTATCTAACAGAAATGACATGGTATGATATACATAATGAGGCATTGCGGTGCAGATATGGAAGAACGATTCAGCTCTCTTTTTTATGGTTTATGATTAGATATTTTAAATCAAGAGAGTTACTCCATAGTGACTTGTTAGGAACATAACTATGGGGTGACTGGGATTTTGAATGAATTAATTATTGATATAATCCATAAACTATGCATCTGAAATAATATAACAGAAATATTTTTACATCGCAGGTGAAAAACATTTTACACATCTGTTTCTCTTCCTCTAGTATTGACGAGTTCTCAAAGATGGTTCGCCAATGCATAGAGGCAGGCAATAAGCTACAATATGAAGTGGTGTTGGTATGTAGAAACTTTCCTGAAAATGTCATCTCTGCCTTGTATGCAGATGTTAAGCACCAAATTGCACAACATTCTGCATTGTCGTTATTCCAGGACGGCTCAGATTTTTATCTGAACGGAGACTGTTTGTTTGCGAAGGACCTGCCTCCTCCTCCCCGTCCACCCCCTTTGGAGAAACCTTTACCGTCAACTCCAAAGATCACTCAGCTGGAGTCTCTCCACCGTCAGCTGTACACCATTGCTCCAGCAGGTGGATAAAACAGAGATAACATCTGTCTTTCAATTCCTCCATCCATGACTTTATCCGTCATCCTTTTACCTCTTCTCTCTGACAATTAGGTCTTATGTCCACCTCTGAGTTCAGCAGTTTGCTCAAAGATTTGGTCTCTGTTAACATGGGCAGAGACACGCTGCCGGTGCTCTGGATGAGCATGAACACAACACAGGTATGAGCTGCAAAGCATCCCAGACTCCAGTCAGAAAGTTCCATGTCAAAATACTTCTGGCCATGTTTAGGGACCTCACAGACATGCCCCAGATGTTCTATCCTTTCTGTTTTACCTTTGATGATATGCTTTTCTGTTGTTATATTTTATTTTGGTGAGAGCATGTCACACACAAGACCAACCTTATCTTACCTCCTGTTCCCAGCTGCTAGAGATTGTGTCACTGCTAACTGATGAATATAAGCTGATAGACTGGAGGCAATTTCTGCTGAGCGCAGCTCTCCCCTGGCCCTTTCCCTCACTGACACAGCTGCTGGATGTTCTGCGTCGTTTGAAGGAAGCAGATGTTGATAACACAGGTTATGTAGACGAGGAGCAGTACTTACAGGTAAGTCCCTAACCAAGATTCTGATTCAGTAGGTTTTAAATTAATCAAAATCTTTGATGAACCCTTTTACAATTCATCTTTCCACTCAAATCCTTTGAAGTTCTCTTTGTTGCATCACTGTGTATAGAGACCTTTTTGAAGCTGGCCTTTGCTCATGTTAATATGGCAACATACTTAAATTTCTGCATATTATAAACTCTATGTCATATGTAGTTGAATACCGTAAATAAGGACATTTCAATTGAAAACCATAGTTTCTCAAATATCTAACACCTGTTTTACACCCTTTGACTACAGATACAGTTGTGGTTTTCCAATGAGATTACACAGACTGTTCCAGAAGACCCCTCTGAGCCTTTGCCCTATAACCGCCTGGCTTACCTTAGCAAGGTATATAGCTCTCAATTTCATTGCACCAGCAACAAACACAACTTGTAGGATACAAACAAAAATAAGCTGAATAATGAAAAGTTGAAATGGCAAGCACATAAAGATACTAAGTAAATAGCATCTAAAAATTTTTTTAAATTTCTGTAAAATCTTTTAAAAACAATTCACAAACTGATGTGAAACACAGGTATATCAGTTTTAAACTAAGCCTCCCAGTAATGTAAAATTTTGGTCAAAACTGCATTTACAATTTCACAGAACATCCCTGTGAACATTCTCATTCTGTCAGCAATGATGTTTTTGTCTGTTCTTTCCTCTTAGTTCTTTTTCCAGTTATTTGCCAACCACACTGTCTCTCCTCCACGACTGGATTATTTGTCCATGCTGCAGTACTTTGCAGCTGATCCTGACCCCAGGCAGGGATTCATCAGAGCCCTTAGTGTTGTTTTGGGACAGTGCCTCACGCAGCCTTCACAGGGCCATCTTATCAAGGTGATGTGTTAGAAAAGTTTTTTTTTTTTTAAGTTTTCTATTTCCAAATGCATAATCATTGTTCTTATTACCATTTTGTTGTTCCACCAGATGGTTCAGAAAAATTCAATAAACCAGGTCAATCATATCAGCATTTCTAATGGGTTGCATAACATAAACAGCCTTTCTCTGCTTGATAATTCTGAAGAAGTTTGTCGTATCTGTTTGTTGTAGTCTATGCCCAGCATAGAAGAGGCAACAGAAATCCCATTTCTAGAAGTTAACAGAGACCTCAAGGAAGACGACACTCAGAGTGCATCAAGCAGCTTTTTGTGGGAGCAGGGAGTGTCCATTCCTCTTCTCCTTAAGGTCGTCTGCCACAAAGTCACAAAGCTGAAAGACAGCAGCAACCTTCCTCCAGGCTGCTTGAGTCAGGAAGAGTACACAGAGGTATTGCCCAATGAAAATTACAACTCCTTAAGCTAAATCTATCATAAAAAATTACATTTCTGGTAAGAATTTGTTTGCAATTCATGGAAAATTCGAATGATTGATTTTCTAACATAACCGTAACCAGATCAGTAAAACTCACCTGCCCTGCTATAGTAATATTACTTTTTTGCTGGCCTCTAGCACCTGGCACACATATACACAGAGCTGGGATATGAACCCGACGACTACGTTCCGTTCTCCATTCTCGCTCGGCACCCTCACATCCAGACTCTGATGGAAACTTCAACGCAATGCAAGCTTGTCGTGAGTTTGTATATATGCTCATCTGTTTTTATTTGGTCTCTTATGTGAGTGAAAGGACAATTGCAGAGCTCTTTGCTGATACCTAAATCTGTCAAGTATACTCATACCCATGCTGTGCTTCTTTTATTTCCACCATTCAACCCTCATATATTAAGAAGTACTTTCTCTGTCTGTCTCTTAGAACATTCATAAGGTGCTACTGGCTGGTCTGGATGAGTAACACACTGACGAACTGTACGAGTTTCAGCTATTACACTACAAGTTTCTCTATGCAATAAAGAAGTTTCACTTTTGAAAATGTGATGATTTGTCCTTGTTTGTTTCAGAAATGTTTATGTTACTATTTTGTGAAGCTTTTCTAAGGAACTTTTTCTAACAGTGAGAACAACCGCGATGGCTGCAAAGAGAGCACTGTCCAGCATAACTGACACAAGAAATATAAGAATATATGTAGAACAACAAAGTACTGCCGTCTTTTCTGTTACTGTAGAAAGCGCAAACAGTTAGTGTGTCCTTAGTCCAAAAGTAAGAACAGATGTCACAGCAGATGTGATTCACATGATTTTTTTTCTCTCTTTCGGAGGGAATTGGGTTACTTTTGAATGGATGCCTTCAGAAAAATGTTCTCTTAATGCCAATTATATTTGTCAAGTTCCATTTGATGAGGGCATGGGGAACTTTTCAGTCTCTGTCACACATTTAGTTCTTGCTTTCCATTCCTTTAAATTAATAAAGTAAAATTGACTGATTGAAAAATGTATGGGACCCCAGAAAATGATTAATAAGGTACAACTGATTGATGTAATTAAACTGGACAACTTACATGTGACATATCCACAGAAACAAACTTGCTGACTTGCATCCAAAAGTCTCCCCTGGTAAAAAGATATCAGTGACTTCATGTTGGACCCTCTCCACTTTTTTGCTAGAGAGAGCTTGCCAGGTACATTCTCCATTCACTAAGGACAGATTTGGTGTGTCACCCCTGTTGCCTTGAGCCAGAAGTCTACTCTGAGGATTTAAAAGCGTAACATTATTTTCCATAGAGAATCATGTGTCCAGCAGACACATCATCAGTATATATCAGTTCCTGTAGAACTGGATGCATGGGGACTGTGTTTGGATGCTGTCTCTTCTGGCTCTTGCACGGTGCCTTTGTCTGCCAGTAGTTGTTTCATACATTTGACGCCGCTCTCATAAGTAGTATCCTTACTCTCGAGTTATTAATATTGAACGTTTTAAATTTCTCATGATGTATTTTTCTGTCTGAGTTTAGCTCCAAAAGCAAGTGACATCTTCCAAGTGTTATGTTTTTAAATCATTATCTTAAGATATAATTTAGCACTATCTGTTTCTACTTTTCGAACACAACAACAAGAATGTGTTGTGACCGTGCATTTGATACTTCACTTTGAAGTTATCAGTTCATGCCTGTTAAAATGAAAATACAGATAATACGGTTGATGTGACAGGTGTCTTCACTGTCCATTTTTAGATATCTCTCTACCTTTTCTCACTGACCTTTGACCCAGCTTGACTTATTTGACATTCCTTTTGATTATATCAATTTCTTGTTTTTTAAAAATGTATTCCAATCTTATTTTTTTCTCGTTTGTTATTGAACCTATTTAGATTTTTAAAGTGTATATTATGTGCATTATTTGTGTTCAGCACTTTGGTCTGATTTGTAGAGTACTTAAAGACAATTAACTTTTGTGGTTTAAATTGAAAAAACTGTTAGTTCTAGGGTATGGCCCACCCCCCAGTGGTCTGACTGAGTTATAACCTTTACCCCTGCATCTAAATGTTTGCCATTAGAGATGTTCTTAATAACCTGCAGAACTTCTTCTGTTCACAACAGTCACAATCTGTGACACAACAGTTCCTTATCTGTCTTTTCTTTCCTTCTGGGCTCTTTTTCCTCACCACAGCACATTAGTCTGAGTCTCACCCTCTCTTTTTCACATATCTGAAGGCCACTGGGCCTTGACCCAAGGATACCCTGTGTTTCTTTCATTTCTATGACTCTTGAACCATAGATGACTTTAGTGTTGATTCAGTGTTAGTATGAGGTAGATCACTTAAAAGTGAATTGTACTGACTGCCTGGTAGAATGCCAAAATACTTATTATTCATTTCAGGTTCTGAACCGCACTACTGAGGAGGGTGAAAGCTAAGTCTGTGTAAGCCCTGAACCACCTCTCACTCCTGTCATCTAGCACCAATATTATTTTTCTTGCTAATGATCTGTTTGGACACTAGCCTGATGAAATAAATCAAGGATGAAATAGAGGGAATTATCAGCCCCTCACACACACTCTTGATGATGATAAAATCTCTTGTGGCCCCCTCACCGAGTCTCCTGCTTTTTTCTAAACAAGACAAAAGCTCACAGCTCTGTTGAAAGGTCAATTCTCGAGTCGCTGTTTTTGTAAAAGCTTTAATTTACCAAATTGGTTAAATAATAACAAGTAAAGATAACTTATTTTTTCCTTTTCTGATGTGGGCTCGTCCTCCCCTGCCCTCAGTTTATTTGTCTATTTTATCAGTTGAAGGGGGACAGAAACTGTTCCTCTGTCCCTGTTCATAAGGATTATGAATATTCAAATGATCTCAAACTAAAAAGGGATATAAAACTCGACGTTTTAAAAATGTCATCAGCTGTGAGGGCGCAATTTTATTTTCTGAGCCTTGGAAAGCCCTGGACACAACTGTGATTGGCTGATGCACTGCAATTTGATTGGCCAATCGGACAACGGGGGCGTGGCCGAACATCAATGTTTACGTAGCCTACAGTCCGCCCGTGTATGTAACTCCACCAAGGTCTCTGCACCGTGATGTTCTGACGGGGCTTTGCTTCCATCCATGTCCCTCAGCTCGTCGTGTTCACCGCATTCTAAACACCGGCCTCCGACATGGGGCGCCACTAAAGGCTAAAAGACGGAGGAAACCGAGGAAAAGGCCAGTATGGCGGGCGCCTTTGGGTTGAAAGGCTGCCAGAAAATCCGAGGTCCGCAGATCCGGAGTCTCCTGGAGGCGAAGGACTTCTTCCTCTTCGACTGCGACGGGGTCCTCTGGCACGGTGAGAACGCCGTCACGGGCGCGGCGAAGGTGGTCAACGCGCTCATCCGCCACGGGAAAAACGTCGTGTTCGTCACCAACAACAGCACCAGGCCGCGGGAGAAGTACGTGCACAAGTTCTGCCGGCTGGGCTTCACCGACGTGGCGCTGGAGCAGATCTTCAGCTCGTCGTACTGCTCGGCCCTCTACCTGAGAGACGTGGTCAAGGTCCGCGGGCAGGTGTTCGTCATCGGCTGCGACGGGCTGCGCGCGGAGCTCCTGGAGGCGGGAATCCCCTGCCTGGAGGAGGCGGACGACCCGGACGCCACCATCTACAACTGCCCCCTGGCCCCGGACGTCAAGGCGGTGCTGGTGGGACACGACGACAAACTGACTTTCCTCAAACTGGCCAAAGCGTCGTGCTACCTGCGGGACCCGGACTGCCTGTTCCTGGCCACCGACACCGACCCCTGGCACCCTCTGTCCGGCGGAAGGATACTGCCAGGTACGGCTGGGTGTAGTGGGGCTAGTGCAGGTTATAGTGCTACACAACTGCCTGTTTTTCACGATGCGTTACTGCCTCACAAATGACTGTGAGGACCACATTCTTGTCCCTCTGCCCCCCCTCCCCTCACACACACACACACACACACACACACACATAGTGCGCATACAGCAGTTCATAAATGCAGCTCCATTTTACTGTGTACAGTTGAGGGCCCTAACTACAACAGAAAATCAGCTTCTCTCAGGCCTGTTGGCCTGTTGCCATGTTTGTAAATTAAGATTAATCGATTAAACTATGTGCATCATTGGCCACATATGAGCTGATTTAGGAAACATTATCTTTCACAGCCAAATGGTGTACGATGTTCATTCATTTGAATTTGAATCATGAAAAAGATGAGGGGCCTCTTTGCTGGGCCTCTTTCTATGGCCTGTGTATCGGGATTGAATTGTGCCACGCAAATGTAGTCACAAATGAGTCCAAATAGGCTGTACAAAGTGAGTTAAACCCTCCCAAGTCTTCACAAAGGTTTGGGTTGCTAAAATATTGTCAGTTTGGCACACTTACTATTCCGTTAAGCCATCCGAAAGGCATGAAAGTAGCAACACACTGCCGGCTGCATTCACAGTGCTCATGTTTGTCCAGGTTCATGATGTTTTTACTGTTGTCCTTTTGTCTTCAAAAGGTTCCGGGTCCCTTACGGCGGCCCTTGAGGTTGCCTCGGGTCGCAAGGCCACGGTGATCGGCAAGCCCAGCCGCTTCATGTTCGAGTGCATCTCCAGCCAGTTCAGTGGGGTGGACCCCGCCCAGTGCCTGATGGTCGGGGACCGCCTGGAGACCGACATGCTGTTCGGCTCCAACTGCGGCCTGGACACCATGCTCACTCTCACCGGCGTGTCTCAGATCGAAGACGCCCAGGAGTACAGTAATAGTGACCTGACCACCAACCACAGCTTTGTGCCCAATTACGTGGTGGACACCATCGCGGATTTCCTGCCGGCTTTTGAGGAGCTGGAGGAACAGAGCAACTAACGCGTCAGATCACCTCTCTGCTGCATTTCCAACGCAAGGCCGAGCCCTGCGTTTGGACAAAAGGTTCCAATCAACAGTTATGAAGTTTGTTAGGATTAAAGGCGCTGCTTGTGTTGTGAACGAGACAAAGAATAATCACGAGTAACGAGTGCATTCCCCAGTGTCTCCTCTAGTGTTGTGGCCATTTTGTGACTTAACAAGTCCTTGTTGCTGTGTTAAATGAATATTCCACATGTTGTTCATGCGGTCCATAAGTAGTGTTTAATCTTGCTTTTTGATCTTACTAAAAGGTATTTTTGTAAAGCCATTATTGTTCCACATACATCTCTAGATTATTACTTTAGCCAGAAGGCAGACATGCTTACAGAAAAAGAACAGTTTTTTCTGGTGTTTGCTTGGGTGTCCCTTCAAGATAAAAAGGAGGGAAAAAACAAAACAAGCGAGCAGCTTTTCTCAGCTCTGGAGGAGAGCAAGCTGGGGAGGTGAAAAGTGATTCACTTTTCCACTGCTATGTCTGTACTACTTGTGCCAATATCCGACTGAGTGATAAACGGCTTACTGAAGCTAATAGTTAGAAACACATTAACTTGGCTGGTCTTGCTGCACTACTGTGAAACTTTAATGTTGTGAATGTTTACCATATAGAGCATGCCAGCGATGGTAGCCACAATGAATAGCTGAAAGTCAAATTAAACAGTGATCAAACCGTGATGGCTCTCGTTACTAATGCCCCTCTTGTGTAACGACATCAAACACGATATGCACACAAAACCATCAAAACGCAATATTCTTTTAATCATTTCAGTCCAATTGTTTACATGAACGCAGCACAGGTTAAGGACCGGATGTGACCGGGTGAAGGCCGTCTTTGGACCGGCCATCCCCTGAAAAAAATAAAAAATAAAACTTTGCTGCTGGGATGGGGGGGCCTGGTGGCACTTTCTGGAGTTTGAACATAGTTGGCAGAATAAAAAAAAATCCAATGGATGGTGAGTTTAGATGGCAAAGCTGTGAGAATAATTAGCAAATGAAAACCCGGAGAAGCTGTAGTCATGCCTTGTCAATGTGTAATACAATTAAATGTCCCTTAATGTGAGCTCAAATTACATCGCAGAGCCCTAAAAATAAACATATGTACATTTCAACAGGATTCATGTAATACTTTATTCTACATGTCTCGTGGCATTGGGCCATCTTGTGCTGAGGAGCAGAATAAAGATGCAGACTGATCTGCGACAGGTAGGACTTTGGTTGCAGTGATGAAGCCGTGCTCTGGGTCACTCTGGTCCACCTCGCTGTGCAGAAGAGAGAAATCAGAATACAGAGCAGTTAAAGCCGGAATCAGTTCAGCCAAATAAAGCGAACCGAGGTGCATCCGGTACACATCGGCATGGTCAAACGACACAATTAGTGAGTCTTTCCTGGAGATTTCTACTAAATTAAAGAAGGTGGCGTAGTTTTGAGTGATAAAAGACTGAAGCACGTGCTGCTCTTGGCAGGTGAACGCACAGATCTCAAACAACTGGGCTGTGATGGGAAAAAAGCTGCTGGAATCTTCCCTCTACTGGTGAAGTGGTTCCAGTGTCACTGGCTGGAAGAAAAGCCCAGGTAGGATCCATCTCAGCATGCCTCAACAGCTGGACACGTGTTTTCTTAGTCAAACTTTGAACCTTCCAGCCTACCTTTACTCACTGAAGATAAAGTCTATCTGAAGGTTACGGGTCCACAGTTCATCCAGCAGTGGGACCATTTCTCACTTTCTGAGTGGGGATTAACTAACTCTCAGAGTGGCCTGCAGCTGCTTATAGTAATTTTGGAAGCAGTGTTTACAAAACCTTGAATTTTCAAAAAACCTTTCAGACACTTTTTTCCCCATGACCCCCTTTTGCCTTATTTTCACTCTGTAAAAACACCACCCTGAAACAAATCTCTCCCCATTACCAGGCTGTGTGTGGTGGCTTGAGCCCTCACCTGGATGAAGTCCATTTCCTCCGCTGTTAGCGGTCTCCTGCGGTATCTAGCAGGAAACAGCTGGATAGAGGCCAGGGTGTCTGGCGTGCCGGGGATTGGGGTCACAGGTACGTGAGGTCTCGATACTGGCGGCGCTGCTGCAGCTGATGGGGAACTTGGGGCGTTGTGTTCCGGAAGGTTGACTGCTAACATTTTCAAAGCCTCTTCGGCTGAAAGAGCAGAAAAGTAAAAAAAATGACATCTTCACATGGTAAAATACATTTTGAATGACCATTCTGTTCTGCGATAATTTCCCAACTTTACTGTTTCTCTGTTTGGAGCATTCAGACTATGTTCCCAAACGTTGGCAGTACATGCTGCCCACTTATCCTCCACAAACCAATCCCCCTGAACGACATTTTGCTCACTAACCACAATGTTCTATGGGTCTCACGCCATTAATGGTTTGAATTTATTGAATCCACTCACCGTTGGGCCTTGCTACGCCCTGTCTGTTGGGGAACTTTATCAGAGGAGCGTGTGGCCGTACAGCCTGGGGAAAACAAACAAAACACAAGGTGAAATAGTTTGTCTGTACTTCTGGAAGAGTTCAAAAGAAAAACCTATGCATCTGTGCATGTCCATGTTATATATTTCACTGTTTCCACCTTATATTATCAGATGACAGTATTTCCGGCAGTTCAATAACAGTTACAGTTGTGGATCCGTTTTTTTCTTTTTTTTGTGGCTTATTCTTAAATGTTAAGCATTTCTCAAACCTGTAACCTATAACCAATAACTATTATATAACTTAACTAAGAAATTTAATAAATGTTGGAAATCATTTTTGTACCGATTAGTTTATGAGACCTTTCCTTTGACTGAACTGAAACGATACAATGAATTTCAGATTGATTAACTTAGTAGTGTAGAAACATATTATAACGGTTGTTTATTATGGAAATCGATCAATAGAAGTTAACATTATGGTCGGCGATTGTAAATCTTCAATGTTAGTATGGATATGGTTAACTTAATTAGTCACTCTTGACAGAAACGACAGGGAAAACGTAACAAAGATGTCAATTAACCCAACCACGATTTTAAAGAGTAAATTATGGATTCTCGACACGATCAAAAACATGCCACGAGTGTGTGTTTGTATTTTAACAAGGACATTAACAAGGGTACGGCGGATATTTGCCACCCAAAATCCCTTGCCGACACAAGTGGATAACTATTCAAAACCCCGCAAACACTGCACTTTAACTTCCAGCCATCGAAAAGGCACACCGTGCATATGGAGAGGGTACATTTAAGATTTCAAAAGCAACATTACCTGAATTACTCTGGCGGTAGGGGCTGCCATTTTGGAGCTGACTTTGCTCCCCATGACGACCTCAGGGGTTTACTTCCGGTATGGAAGACTCCGTGTAGCTGCGAACAGCCGCCACAAGAGGGCGCTGCAGTCATTACAAACACAACGTTTTGGGGTAAATGAGTGGTCCAGAGGAGGATGCAGTTGATGAAAATGATACAGGGGGAGACGTGAGATACGTAAAAGGATTAGCAGCAAAAATCCAGGATGGATGTCAGACATATTATAAAAAGTATTTCCTAGCAATTTTAGCCTTATTTACCTTTTAGTTAAAGACAAGACTGAACAATTTGACCTTAATAGCAAACGCCATATTAGCTACCCATTACCTTTAGCTAAGTCTTTACTTCTTTGGTGATAATTATGAGCTGTCGACAGAAATACTGTCAGTGACTGTCCTGTTAGGTCAAACGGTCAGGCCATACTACAATCCTCTGTCATAAAAGGATAACCAAAGACAAACATAAATAATTTGGCCCAACGTTAAGCAAAGTCACTCAAGGTTCTGCATGGCCCCAAATATCTTTAGTACTGCTAAAACATTTAAATGCAATTTCTGTTTTATTACGGAAACACATTACAACAAGGTTACTGGGGACAAAGCAAAGACAAGAATCATACCTATCTTTAATTTCTCTCCGCCTTGGAATAAAACACGGCTCATGTAGTCACATGGTCAAAGTTCGTCCAATCATAAATAAGAACAGAAGTAGAGATCTTCTCTGAGTTAAGATGCATCACTAATAGAGCGTTTATGAAATACGACGAGCAGGCGAATTAAGGAACAGAAACTGGTCAAATTTAAAGCAACTTTTCTCACGGTGTCTTATTGTATACACAAATTGAACCGTTTTAAATGTGTAAATCTTGAGACATTTCTGTCTTTTTTTAAACTTACACAAATATGCAGATTGTAATTTGAAATATAATCACCGTATCTATGTAGTTCTTCTGATGATGGTTCATGTACCGGTACAACTCTCATTGTGTTCATACTATTTTTCCATTTCAACATGTTGGATATTTAAGCATACCCATCGCCATACTAACTGTAAGTGTGATGGTTCCAATGGTCCAAAGAATCCCCTCATCCCCACATGTAACTTCTGCGCGTTTCAAAAGAAATCTCAGCATTCAATTCACCAAGTTGCATTTTATTAGATCTCATGACAAATCGGTCCAGGCTTAAAGAAAACAAACAGGTGTCCGTCCGACTCCTGACATTAGCCATACTGGTTTATTAATTAACAAATGCAAAGAGGAGTGCAGACTTTAGAGAGAATTTGATACTGAGCATTATGTTTCTAAGGTACAGCATTGTGTAAAAAGAGATCACATCAATGTGTTCCAGTGGCCCCACAGCACAGTCATTTGACTCATATCTGCTGCCAGGTGCAAAGAAGACTTATTCACTGGGTCTTTGACCTGTCGAACAGCTGTTTGAGTTGGTCCTTGGATGTGGCCTCTTTCTGCTGCATGAGTTCAGCATGGCCCCTGGTGACACCCCAGCCATCAGGGCTGGACATGGAGGGACAAAGGGGACGGCCGGAGGCTGGCTTCAGGTTCTCCCAGTAGTCACGACGGGCCCTAGAAGAAAAGTAAACCATCAGTTTGTGTGGCAGCGGAGGAGATTCCGTGGCAATTTGAAATGAGTTCAGAAGGTGTTCAGTAACAGGATAAGATATAATTAGTTGCTTCTGACCTGGCTCTGACCCAGGGCTTGGTGTGCATCTCCAGGCCTGCACCCCAGTTGCCGTGTTTCTCTGATGCAGCTGGGAGGAAGCCCCTCTCAGGGGCCAGCTCCTCAGCCACAGCCCTAATGTGATACGGCTCAAATCCACAGCAGCCACCAATAAATCGAATGCCAGCATTGTAGGCCTCTCTGGCGTACTTGTGCATGTCCCATCGGGTCAGAATCCTGGGCTCCAGACCTGTGGAAAAAAAACAAGTCTCTTGGTTACATGTTGGTGGTTTGTAGTAAAAGTTACATTATGCGTTGAATGTTATCTGTTCAGACAGAATATTACCAAAAGGAATGTGTGTTTGGACTGTATTTTTAGTCAGGGATTTCACATACAGCAGCAAGGGAAAACATAAAACAGAGTGTATGTTTATACCGAATGGGAACTCTTGGAGATCAATGAATCCCTGACAGTTGCAGTCGGGGGTGTGGAATGCCAACGGCTGCACCATGTAGTGAGCCTTCAGCCCGGCCCTCTCCACTCCCTCCTTCATCAACTTGACAGCCTTTACGCATGTCAAGGGGTCAAAGTGGCAGTTGACTCCGACAATCTGGGCACCTAGAAAGAATGCAGAAATGTGAGCCGACAGTAGAGTACATTATGCATTTACACAGGTCCTACTGTGAATTGTGGATTGGATGGTTTTTAAATGTCGAATTTGTCAATTTCACTTTTTAATGATAAGTCTTTGAATAAAGCTGATAGTGCATAACAACTACCGGAAACTTTGTTGGATGGCTAGCTGAGCCAAGTTGATAATAAAAAGACAGAAATGTCATGTTTTATGGCTTTTACAAAAATGATTCTGATTTCTGACACATTACAGAACAAAACACATTAACACCCCTGCAATATGTAGAATGTTTAAGGCCATCTAACACATCCATTTATTCTTGGATTTGCTCTTCAGGAATAGAGTTGAGTTGGGGGTTAGTGACCAATGTAATGATGAATCTGTGTTAGGGTAGGAGCGTTTTGCTCACCAGCTCTGACCAGCCTGACTGCACACTCTCCAGGTGAGACTCCGTGCATGTCTCCCTCAGGTCCAATGCACAGAGTGGCAGCCACAGGTTTCCCCGTCTGCTTCAGCATTTCCACAGCCCACACGGCTTCTTCAACGTGCTCAAAGTACTGCGGGATGAAACTCGTATTCATATCTAATTTTTCTTAACATTTCCTGAATTAATATTGCACTCAGACCGAATAGCATCCTCTATAAATAAAAAATGATAATTGAATGATATTTATAATGGTTCGTTCACTTGTCTATCTTTACCTCAGCAATCAGGAAGTCCACATTTTTCTTGATGAACACGTCCAGCTGTTTCTTGAAGATGGCCTTCACCTCTGTCTCGCTCTTGCAGCTCAGGTAGGATGGAGTCTGGGACACTCCTCCTGCAACCAGAGCGTCTCCCTCATTGGCAACTTGACGGGCCAAATCACAAGCGGCCTCATTGATCTGAGCTCCCTGCAGAGCAAAACCAGATTATAGAGAAACAAAACACATCTCAAAGCATTAGTTTTCATATGAATTGAATGTTTTTTCACTTAACTGTAAAGGTGAGCTGGTTGCCCCTGTTCTCCAGCTTGTCATCACTGGCATAGAAGGTGAACGTCTGCATGACGTTGGCTCCAGCCCGCAGGAACTCCCTGTGCAGCTGACGCACTGAAATTCATGAACACAGCATCATGAGGAAATAAACCTATACCTACATACCTACTTGATTTGAAGCTTTCTGATTTGATTTTTTTTTTAGGTCTATTGTGTCTAAACCAGACCTAGAAAGCCTAATCTATGGATTTGTCTCCTGTAGGTTGGACTACTGTAAAGGCCTGCTCACTGGGCTCTCTAAATGAGCTGTAAGACAGATGCAGAACATCCAGAATGCTGCTGCTGGAGTTCTGACCAGAACCAGGAAATACGACCACATCAGTCCAGTGCTCAGATCTCTGCTTCCGGTCACTCAGAAAAATACACTTTACAGCTCTGCTTGTGTACAAGTTTCTTCATGGGCAAGCACCGAAATACCTTTCTGACATGTAATTGCGATTTGAATCAGCTCAGACTCTGAGAACCTCAGGTTCTGGTCTCCTGATGGTGCCCAGAGTCAGATTTAAACAAACAAGGTGAAGCTTAATTTCAGTTGCATGCTCCTTAAATATGGAACAGTCTTCCTGTCCTTCCAGTCCTACTTTATGGCATGACAAAGTCAAAATAAAGAGAAAACTGCAGGCAGCTCTGAGGCAGCAATTTCTTTATGGACTGGATTGTCCTTTGGCGTGCAAATTGAGGCAATGAGAAAAACCCAAATGTTATAGAATGAGCTCTTTGAATTTAAAGTTGGAGAAACAGCCCGTTTTTACCTGCTTCAGGGTACTCTGCGGCAGCCTCAGGGGTCCAGGGTCCGGCCTTCACGTACCCTCTTTTCTCCAGAGCAAACACAAAACCTCCATCACCAATGACAATCTCTCCAGCGTCAAGACGTTCCAAGATTCCCTGCGAGAAATATTCAGGGTGAGCTCAGTGTTGAAAATGTTCAGGGTATGATTACATTAGTGGAGTTGTGACAAAGCTGGGTGACCATTTCAACCAACACAAATGTTTCAATGTCATGCACACTATGAAAATACCAACTGATATACATTTATAGTTTATCAGGTGCTTGTTTCCTATTCATTGTGGAGTCCCAATTTGTGTGTCTCCATATTCCACCTCACATAATGTAGGCTGGCCATTAACAGAGGAGGACAGTTTGACTATTTGCATGTGCCCTATTTGATTTTAATATTCTAATCTAATGCATGGTGTGATTCAGTTATGTGTTCATTACAGATTGGATTGTGCAAATGGATTTGCAGTCATTTGTAGTGTAAACTACTGATTAAATAACAGTGAATGTATTGAGCATGACTCCACTACTGTTGCAATGGAAGTGAAACAATTCATTTATTAAATTCATATCTAAGAAGAACTCTGCCTCGTGTTCATTAAGTACATGGACCATCTTCAGCCCTTCCAAGGGTTGTGCTGCATTGACAGTCCCATTTTAAGGGCAGTAATTTAATAAAATGGCACTATTTTATCATTTAAGGGGAAATTAAATCTCCTTTTTACATATACTTGGGTCTCAAAAATTAAATACACAGCAATTCAACCTAATTCTAAGAGAAAATATATGTAAAACTCTTTTTAAGATGTTAAAACTATCATGGCAGTTTTTTTAAAGCTTATTTCTCCATCAGCATTTTGAATATTAAGCTGTCAGAGAAGTGCAACATAACTTTTCAGTTGCAGGAGATACCTTAGGATGATCAAAGCTCTCTGCTCAGAATGGCCCCCATGCAAATACACAGCAGCATGACGGACATGATCAACATAGTTATTGCACACAAAGCATAGCTGTAATTCCCTGCATAGATTCTGTACACGGTAGTCCTGAAGACATGTCAAGCTCTCGCACATACCTTCTTCGTTGGTGCCATTATCCTGCAGCTGCGTGGACCCCTGATAGCTCAGACTTTGAGAGGCTGAAGTGGCATTTCTGTGGAGCAGGGGCCCACAATAAATTTGTCTGAAGGATGGGAGTGGCCTACATGAGCGCATCTGTGATTGGTAAATGGATGATTACGCAACTACACTGTTTACTCCTTACCCTCCCCTTCTCAAATGAATGAGACCACTGTGAGACTGCACTACTGGTTTGGGCTGGATTAATTTAGGCTCTTGTTAGGTTCAATAACTTAGGTTTGTGTTTCATTGACTTCTATGAAACAACTTCTTCTGGATCAGTTCCTAAATGTGTAAAAATATAAAATGTGTGCATCATGTTTGGAAATGTTTGTTCGTTTTTCTACAATCACATAGTACAAACACACAGATGAATATATTAAGTTAAAGTCTTAGGTTTATTGTTTTGGGGTTGCCGTTATAACACTCCACCACTGGAGCGTTGCTGTTACAAGTGCTTTTATATCTCTGAACTGAACTTAGAAAGCTGTCACTCTTTCAGCCTCATCTCTCTCTTGATGATCGATGAGACGGCCGCAGTTGTCTTCGCATTGCGTCTTGCTCATGCAGTGGACTTGACCTTCTTCTGCAGCTCCAGGACATGCTTCATTTCCTGGGTGCTAGTGGCCTCCTTGTGCTGCATGAGTTCAGCGTGGCCCTTGGTCAGTCCCCAGCCCTCTGGCGTGGACAATGATGGGCACTTGGGACGACCAGACGATGGCAGGATGTTCTCCCAGTAATCACGTCGGGCTCTTAAGGAGACACAGGGAAGAAAAGATGAACTATATATGTCCTGAAATACAGTAGATCTCAGAACTTGGCTGCTCTCAGTTGTTTTACCTGGCTCTGACCCAGGGCTTGGTGTGCATCTCCAAACCAGCACCCCACATCCCGTGTTTCTCTGATGCACCGGGAAGGAAGCCCCTCTCAGAGGCCAGCTCCTCAGCCACAGCCCTGATGTGATACGGCTCGAACCCACAGCATCCACCAATGAATCGGATGCCAACTTTGTAAGCCTCTCTTGCGTACTTGTGCATGTCCCATCGGGTCAGAATCCTGGGTTCCAGGGCTGATGTTAAATGGAAAAAGAAGACAAAAGCAATGACATAGAACTCAAACAATTCTTTCATTTTTCCCCCTGTTACTATGACATGCAACTAAAACATATTACCAAAAGGGAAATCAATGAATTTATAACTGCGACCTAACCGAATGGGAACTCTGGGAGATCAATGAACCCCTGACAGTTGCAGTCGGGGGTGTGGAATGCCAACGGCTGCACCATGTAGTGAGCCTTCAGCCCGGCCTTCTCCACTCCCTCCTTCATCAGCTTGACAGCCTGTACGCATGTCATGGGGTCAAAGTGGCAGTTGACTCCGACAATCTGGGCACCTTGGGAAGATTGTGCATTTATCACTGAGTTTGTTCAGCTGAAGAGGCATTTGAATAAAGTATGAGCTTGTGTACAGTAAGCTGCGTACCAGCCTTCACCAGCCTGACAGCACACTCTCCAGGTGAGACACCGTGCATGTCTCCCTCAGGTCCAATGCAGAGACAGGCTGCCACGGGTTTCCCGCTGGTCTTCAGGACCTGCACAGCCCACTCTGCCTCCTCTACATGCTCAAAGTACTGAAATCACATCGCCACTAATGGGTCACCAATCAAAATTTCTGACCGTAGCACTTTTGAAATGACATTTAAAACCTAAATGTGCTGAAAAGAGAAGCAGTTTAATTTTACCTCAGCAATCATGAAGTCCACATTTTTCTTGATGAACACGTCCAGCTGCTTCTTAAAGATGGCCTTCACCTCTGTCTCGCTCTTGCAGCTCAGGTAGGATGGAGTCTGACACACTCCTCCAGCGACCAGTGCATCTCCTTCATTGGCTACTTCCCTCGCCAGATCGCAAGCTCCTTCATTAATTTGTTGCCCCTGAAAGAGCGAGGGAGGAGAAAATGCCATTCTTATTGTTGATAAGAATAGTTGTTTACGGATTAAGAGTTTACAGGTCAGAATTGTGCACTCACTGTGTATTTCAGTGTCTGACCCCTGTTCTCCAGTTTGTCATCACTGGCGTAGAAGGTGAAGGTCTGCATGACGTTAGCCCCTGCCCTCAGGAACTCCCTGTGCAGCTGTCGCACTAAAGAGGACAAATATTGTCAAGTAAATGATAAAAAAAACTAGTTTAACTTTGCTTTGGGTGTGAGTGATTAGATATGGGTTTCGAGTGAGTCTTACCAGCCTCAGGATGAGTTACAGCAGCCTCAGGAGTCCATGGCCCAGCCTTCACGTACCCTCTCTTCTCCAGGGCGAAGACGAAGCCTCCATCCCCAATCACAACCTCACCAGCGTTAAGACGCTCAAGGATACCCTGTGCCATTCAACACACTGAATGAACTTTCTGCTTTTGGTTAAGCTGCATCTAATTCATTTATCGTGAAAAAGTGGGTCGCATGAGCCAAATGAAAAATGTTGCCAGTCACAAAAGTGAGAGTTGACACAAGTTATATAATTTATGTATGTTAATTCGATTCTGCAACTCAGGTAACAAGAGATGAAAAACAAAACCATTTTTTAGATTGAGAATTCACATTAGATCTACACTGGTATATTTTCCAAAAGGTCAACTGTCCAGGAGAATTAGCTGTGTCTGTACATTCATGGATGTTTAAGACTTCTGTGCTGCCTCCGTTAAGCTTTTGCAAACTATCTGAGGAAACATAGATATTTTCAAATTGTATTACCTTTTTTGTAGGTGCCATCTCTTCCCTGTTGCAGTTGCAGCACAAAGCACTTAGTAACAGCAAACCCCTCTTTTAGCCTGAAGAGTACTGAGATTGGCTTCTCCCCCCTTTTATACAGGTGCACCGCAGTGGGAGGACTTCAAGTTCGTGCCAAATTCATGTCAAATTGCTACATCTTTGTTTGGACATTGTGCAACACGGTCTATCCCAAAGATCAATGAAAATGGCATGGGATGGAGCAGGTGGCTGAGGAAATGGAAAAGGGATTTGTAATAAAACGAACGATCTGTCGGTGTAATGATTATATTACCAGTACAGCCAATGATATTGCTGGTCTAAGAAAAATATTTCTCTCAAGCCACCACGTCCCGTCACAAACCATTTCCCTGTCACATTGTGGGTCATTGTTTGGCACAGCATTTGAAATAAGGCACCAAGTTCTGTTAAACAGACCAGAAATTCTTTATTATGTAACCGCTAGAATAAATCATTGTTCTGCTTTTGACAAGATTCCAAATGAAGTGTGCAAAGTGTTTCTTGTAAAATGCCAATACATGTCTATAATCTCCTCAACAAGCGTTAAATGAAAATGTTCTCCTGTTTGTGTTGTTATGGACTTACAGCGTTTCACTGCTGAAACCCTCTGTATGGTTCTGAAGAAATTAGTTTTTATTGTATTCTTTGTGATATAAGGTTGAGATCAATGCAGGGTGATTAAATGTTGTTGAATGAATTAATCTGACATTACTGGCATTAGTAATGGCATTGTTGGCACACATGTTTTTGTTTTGGTCAGAGCGTTTCTTTTGTGTTTTTTTGCTTTGCAGAAACCAGTATTATTCTGAGTCTGCAACTATGCTTGAGTGCACTGTAGATCATTGCATTTAACCATGTTAACCATTAACATTTCTTTTAACTGTCTTCATCCCTTACTGCATGCAGATGCAGTCCGAGTCATTTCAGCACACACATGCACACACTCGCACACAAAGATATGGGGATTATTGACCTTCAGCTGAATCGTGGTGTGTAGTTCTGCCAGTGCTGGGTCTATCCAGTTTCAGGGGGAATGTTACAGATAGGCCTTCTTCGTGTGTTTATCAACAGAGTCAAAGTTCAGGAAACCGCCTCCAGTCTATGGTTCATCATAGGATTTCATCAGCTTGTTAGATCCCTGATCACATCTGTTGTCACTAAAGTGTGTTGCATAAAATGAGAGAGTTCAAACACCTATTTGCTTCATCACCTACGGCTCCTGCTGCCCAAATGAGTGTTTTTCAAAGATAAAGCCTAAAAATAAAACACTAAAATGGTCTAAGAACATTTACGTATATTAATGGATATGATTGGGGTTGAATAAAAGCTTAAGTCTGACCCTGTGGTTTAGGTATTCAATAGAGCGTACAGTGTCTAAAAAAGGATGAATCCATACAAACAGCTTATTCATCAGACAGAAAACAGAGCCAACTTACAAAATGTGTACAGCTCATTTGCTGTTACTGTGTTTATAAAGGAGTGGTCTGTTTACAATATGGTGTAGTATTTTCACTGGCTAAGGCCATACCAAAAAGGAACCCTCTGAACTCCAGCATAATGTCTTGCTTGAAATTTTTCTCATGGTAAATGTGTGCGTGTATTTGCATGACAGAGCAGGAACGGTTTAAATAGACTTGGTGACACTATGGTTCTTATTCAGTTGCCAGATCTCCCTGGTCAAAGACACACCAAATTCCAAGTGCACAGCGAACCGCAACTCTGGTCTGAAAAAGAGCTCCAGATGCACTAAAGTGAGCACCGTGCCCATAACCCACATTACATCATGCTGAACGACCAGATGACTTCTGTAACATCTAATTAGGAGGCCGCGAAACCTCGGAATGATAGAATTTATTTTTCTTAACGATCAGCTTCTTTTTTATTTGCCATGGATCTTTTTCTGGACCCTCCTTTTTCTTTCCACCTTGTAGCATTGATTGACTCATTGTCGCTGCCTTGATCCTCTCTTTCTGGTTTCCTCGGCCTATCATGGAGGTGCCAAAAAAAGCACATTACGCTATACATGTTGACGTTTTTTTGTGTGTTGTCTGAAAACTATCTTTACGGTCGGTATCAACCATATCCGATTTCACTATTCCAGTGAGTGTATCGCAGTTTGACTACTGGCTGTACCGAGTTACATTCTTCTTGTGTAGCTGCAACTAGTTTTTGCAGGCTGGGGCTGGAACTGAGGCTGTCTGCAAATTACATTGACCGAAGGCAAAAGCCCAGGGTGAAACTGGGGACTGGGGCGTGCTGGGGGGGGGAGGGACTTTTCACTGTGGGCAAAAGCTGAGGTGAGGAAAGAGAGGGAGAGAGTGGATGGGAAAAAGACCAGATTTTAGACATAAGAAGACCAGAAAAAAACAGAGTGCACAAAACAGCCTTTCTGCAAGCCTGTGGGGGGTGCAGCAAGTTGACCTGTGTTTGATAAAGCAGTAGTTAACTATTGACTCATAAAGACCTGATCAGTGCTAGACCTGTCACATGCATATGGAAAATGCTTACTCCTCTAATCAATCACGAGTTGTTGATACTGTTAGGCTTATATAGATCAGTTTATTGCACGTCTATGTGCAATAAACATTTCTGTTTTCTGCACCAACATCTCACTAACATGAAAGTCCCTCTGTAGGATATGTATGTGACATCCTACAGAGGGGTCGCTGACCCATTTCTAAATGTCTTTAATGAACGTTCTGCCTTCCATGTTCATCCACTCAATGGGTTTCTGTAATAGAGGGGACTCCCTTTACCACCCTACCCCCATAGGTTCTTTGTGTACCTCCACCCCCTCTTCTCACCCAATCACAACTCATGCTGAGGAAGAAATTCTGCTGAAATCGTCCATTCTTTGTTGATTTGTAGGCCACAGAAAGACATTCACAGATGAAAACTCTGTGACCTTATCATCTCACAATAGCCTCCGTGCACCTTTTCTTTATCTCTCTTAAGTTGCATAACTGTAATGAAAATGCGATCTGGTCATTCCTTCAGAAGTTGTGAAATCTCCTTATAGACTGTAATGCTACTTTCAGACACAAGAGGGAAACAAAGGACTCTCATGGCTGTGACATCAGTGAAACAGGGAAAAATGAGTCAACTTTATTTTATGATCAGAATGAACAAAATGTGAAAAGTATTTTTCTTACATTTGATTTCTTAGCTCAAATCCTTGATGAGGAAACTTCTTACAACAGAAACAGTGCTGACAAAGCTTCTAATCTTCTTCCCCGGCGAGTCAGCAAAACATGCTTCGGGCTTCTGTGAGTCGGTTCAATGCAGAGAAGTGACCAATTGTTTCAAAATGCTAAGTTGCATCAACAATATTGAGCCCAGACATGCAACAGGACAGTATTCAAGTCTATGCAAGCTGTTTAAGTTCTAAATCAATTTATGTTCTAGTGATCCCTGCAGCACACAGGGAATTTAAAAATGCTGCTCAATAGTGTGACTTATAGTAATAACTCATTTTAGCCTTCAGCATGATCATTTTCCAAATTTAACCAAATGATTTTACTGCACGAACCCAGCCAGGAAGCAACGGACCTTTGTATGAGTTGTTGTCATGACAGCATAAATGGCTGAAAGCTCTTATTGTATTAAAAAAATTGGGGTGGCAATTTCCAAGACAAGCTCCAGATTGGGAATAATCGCGTATAGAACACGGATGGATTGGTGCATAGATAGATAGAAGTTGACACCCAAATGCCTGCTGCTTTTTGTGAGCGGGGGAAAACACATACCAAACGTGAGGCTTGTTAGAAGCCCTAAAGACACAGGAGCTAAAACAAACAGATAACACAGAAACATTTCTGAGATGGAACGACAGGAGGTACTTCATAAATTTAAAGAACGGAAAACCCTGTGTTTTTATAACATTAAAGTTTACTTATTCAACTCAGACCTCAAAATAGGTGTATGATTTTTTTTCAAACTGCTGCAGAAGAATGAGCCCCCTCAAACATTGGACTTAGCTTTTCTCCTGTTTGTTAGCAACCACAGATGTGCTGTCCAAACATAATTCATAAAGTCACTGACATCCAAGAGTTGTGTATATTTTGGCAAAGCAAGTAGCCGTGACACACTGTTGATGCCCAAAGCTTAATGTGATTTTATGGGAATGTGTCAGGAGATGCTGCAGTGTTTCAAATCATTCACAGTGTCTACAAGTCAGTTTCTTCCCTTAGAATAGTGGAGAAAAGGGTTTACCAGATAACAAAGATTTGAAGATGCAAGAACTGAAAAATGTTTCAAAGTACAAAAAATGACCATGTAAGGACTCTGGATTCTTGTATTTACTTGAACATTTATGAGTCAGACTCAGACTGAATACCTGAGTTTTTCATGATGGGGTGTGGGGGGGGGGGGTTACACAACTGAAACTTCAGAAGATTTTAGTTAGTTTCTTCTTCTCTCTCTGTTGTGTTTTACTGATACAAAGACGTGTGTCATATCCATGTAATTTTTTTCTATCTTCATTCCTAATCTTATGTCCGACACACAATGGAAACTGTCTGGAAACCCCCGTCCCCCCACTGCACACTGTTGTGTGCTGCATGTTTATGTTTGCTTAACTCCAGTGAAGTTTTTAAAGCCCTCAATAAGAAAATTCCCCATTCAAGTACCGGTCAGATGAAACACGGTGGAGGAAAATGTATCTGCTGTCTCTCTGGGGTTAAGCATCTCTATTCATGCCATCTTTCTTACTATCAAGGTAAAGTTTTGGCCACTGAAACAACTAACACTCACTCACGAGGACGCAAACAGTAAAAGCATGCTTAATATAGTTGATATCTGTGTCAACATGTGGACCACTTTACACCCAGTGCTGCTGTTCAAACAGACTTGCGACCTTTAACTTTATACAGCGTCTACTGTTCAAAACAAACAGATAACATTGTCGATCTCTTCCTGTTGCATAGGTTATGTTATGACTCCTAATTTTTATCTTTATTCATTCTTATTTTCTATCATGGAAATGGTCCAAAACCCCCACATTTGCAGCCTAGTGTTTGTGTTTGTTGAAGGTTTCCGGAGTCACCACTGTGAACATCTTGCACAGATCAGACACCCTTCACATATTTTCACACCGTGCAGCAAACAAAGACACACATAAAAAAAATATGTTCAAGATCATGCTATGGTCTACACTTCAACTTATTTATCAAAGATATGCGAGCTTGGAAATTTAAGTTTTAACCGATGGATGTTGTAGGTATTTTCTGAGCCAACAAACATGTGGCTCTTACTACAGAACAGGAAGCCATTTGAAAACAGGCAGCCACATTCAGAATGTAACTTAATAAGTCTGTCTCCCTTAAATAATTTGTATAAAATTTTAAAGCCTGTTGATACAATCTAACTTGTTAAAGGCATACAGGAAAAGACTAAAAGGATTACTTTTTAAAAAAGTCTTCAGTGTTGGTCTGTGCTTTTAATCCAGTTTTTTGTCTTTTTTTGTAAATCATCCACAAACGGTCACATGGATTGGATTTTGGTGGAAGGGTCATTTACAAAATGTTTTTCTATTTTCTGTTTTTTTCAAAGTGTTCACAGAGAATCAGAAATGCGTTGCTGGCTGAGATTCAAGAATGGGTAGATTTAGATTCACAATTACTTCTCAGTGAAACCACATAACTGGCAGGAAGGCAGTAATTCACAGTAATTTCCGAAAACTCAATAAGCATATTCTTTGAATAGACACAAAGGCCTATTATAAATAATCTAAAATGTCACTCTTATCTTGCCTTTTTTATTTTTCAGTTTGATGTCCATTGAAATGATCAACAAGCAAAAACATGCTTTTATTTAATTGGGTTTAAAATTTCCCTAAAACAACGTGCCTAAATACCTGACACAACTACTTCTTGTTTAAAACGTGGGGGCCCTCTAGACGACATTGGGTCTCACACAGGTACTTTCAGCATGTATGCCATTTTTTTCTTCCCTAACATTATCCATTTTGAATCTCTGAATTTTACATGCAATTTTAAACATAATTTATATCTTTTTTTTTTAAATACTCACTTGAAGTACATACTGATAGGTTAAGAAGAAGTGAAGATACATATTAACACCGCTTTGAGTACTACAACTACTCTAGCCCCTATTTTCACACGCACAAGCAAATCTATAAACCCATACACCAGGAATGGCTCCATCATATCTTCCTCCCCACAGCCAGGAACCATCTCACCCTGTTATCTCTCCAAGCGTCGCTTATGTCCTGTCTGCCTTTCCCATGGAGTTGCCCTACAGTTAAAAGTATCTTCTTGCCTTTTGAGACCACAATATTGTCCAGACCACACTGCTCTATTTTTGCAGAGCTTTTTTTTTTTGCCTCCCACAGTGTTCTCACCAGGAAGGCACACACAGACAGCGATGGTGTGTAAAGAGGATGTCCTGAGCATGGGGGCAAGAAAATGACACAGTAGGGCTCGGAGTCAGAGCAGAAATGAGACATCGCGCTGAAAAAATGGACCAGAGACTTGGTTTGAGGCTGTGAAGAATTTCAAAAGGGCGCCATGAAGGCCCAGCACCTAAAAAAGTCTCAGTGCAGCATCTCAGAGAGCAAATTAAAGCTGGTGTGAACAGACTGGAAAGAGGAATTATTGGCCATGTTGGTAGGTTGTGTATGTACAATAACACTAACAGCTTGCAGCTGGATTGTAGTAAATGACAATGTGGTGGGCCAAGGGTTACACAGCTGTAGACGGAACGACCAAATCAAGTAAGGGAATGTTATAATTACACAGGAAAAGCTGACCGGAATCAGAGGTGGGAACTTACACTTCACAATGTCTTACCTTAATCAAAAACTTTAGAGGATTAGCTTTCTGTTAGCCTCTTGTAGAGGTTTAAGGAACGTCTAGTTTTGAGCCATGTATTTATCATGTTAAATACTCTTCTAGAACATGTAATAAAAATGTGAAAAAAGAAGAAAATGTTTTAAAAAGTTCGTTTCACAAATATGCTTTGCAATACAGGTTTGTCAAAATGCTAAGGGGAAGCAGGCATGAATCTAAACTTACCATAAAGTGGTTTATCACTATTGCTTCTGGATTGCAAAATAGTCTCATCTGACCCAATGGCTTACAAACTCCACAGACAAAGACCCCTGCCTGGGTTCCACCGAGAACTGTCTTGCTGTGAAAAGCTAAATTAAATCAGGGCCTCAATAGCAAAGCGTGTGTACAGAGGAACACTATTTATAAAAACTCAGGTTTGTAGATGAAAGATCGCCTACCTTTCTCATGCTGGATGTCCTGCTCATCACTCACCAAAGCCTGACATTTTGACAGCTGAATTCCTTCTTAGTTGTTTTGGCTGTGATGTAACGGGTTAAACACAAAAAGGCCCGTACAAACTGTTGGGGGGGCATGTCACAACTTATCATGAGTTGCTTTCACACATACAGGAGAGTCCTGAAGGATTCCCAGGTGCGACCATCATTCATTCAAAACTTCTTGTGTTAACTTCTGTCCAAGTCTAACTTCTTAAATCTCTGGAACACAAGCAGTATAAAATAGTTTGTGCACATTTCTGACAATTGCTCTTTGCTATTGTGGATGAATGGCTGTGGCTGAGTCTGGCTATTTCTTGTCCATAAATAGATTTTTCCCCTGTTCTAGTTTACTGAGACAGGTAGATGGTCCAGCCAAGCTATGACTGTAGCTGTACCTCTGAATTAACTGTACATCGGTTGACGGTCAATGAAGCCAATCTGCAAATCTCATCAATAGATTAATGTCTGACATACATCAATATGGGTCTGAGCATGACCTTAATATCATATAGAAACAAATCTTTAAGTAAGATATTAAAAGCAAAAAACTTAATGTATTTTCATCTTATCATCATGTTGTGTTAATTCCCAACAGAACCATTTCCAAAGTGTTGTCCTAAAACCTGTTATTCACCTTTTTTCTTAAATTACCAAAACACAAAAGTGACTCCACAGAGACTTTTTCTTCTTCCTCTTCTCTCTTAGAGAAGCATGGTGGGGGATGGGAGAAGGAGGCGAGAGGAGGGAGGGAAACAGCAGCCAACGTCATAAGGCAGTGGGTTGTCTCAGTGGGAGGGAGAGGGGAAGAGAATAACCTCCTGAAGAAAGGAGACTCAGTGAATGAGCCTTTGGGAAGCTGGGCTGCCCCGGGAAAGGAACCAGCATTTCAAAAACGTCTTCTTTGCGCCTTCAAAGTCTCCTGACTTCATGTAAGTAGACAACAATTTGATGATAAAACATGTGGGTTGTCAGTCAGTTTGGGTCTTGAATGAAACATGTTTCCTTCAATAGACTTAAAGCTGTAAAGGCACATGGCAAGAAAGCTTGTTTAGACTGATCTTCATCTTACTTTTGGCTTTATTGATAAAACGCATGTTTAAAAAGGTTTACATGCTTTGTTGATTCCCATCTGAGGTATTTGGATGATAACTTTCTGCCTTGTCGGAGAGGAGTTGTGTATAAAAAAGAAAGTAGGCTAAAGTGAGCTGACGGTAGTTGCAGCTGGCTTGACCACAGTTCAGATGCAACATGTGGTAGCAGTTGTGCATCCCATCACTGCACCTATTAGAGAAATCAGCCTCATATAAACATTTTTTAATGGTTTTTACTTCTTAATCAGTCTTTCACACATGTCTACATAGCAGCCCCCACCCTTTCTACAAAACTTCATGTCCTTGAAGTGCAGGGAGGTGGTCCATCTCTGGGAGAGCCACCCATGGAGCTCACATTGTGCTAGCTGAGAGGGGAAGTGGTACTACATCATAAACTAAACAAAACCAGAAACATCTGTAGTGTTTATACAAGCTGAGCTCAAGGACAAACGTAAGAAAAAGATGAGAGGAGTAAACCTATTTTTTTTTCTTTCGGGTTTATCAGAGTAGCACTATTTCTTTTAAGATGCATTAACACTCGACATTAATAGGACTTTTAGCCATATCCATGGACTGTTACGGTTGTAATTTATACTTCTGTGACTGACCTAATGGGCCATCTTGTCTTTGACTTAGTAGTCTGAAAGTATAGTATAGTAATAATAAGACTGTATCACAAAACCAGATTGTAGGCCCTTAATGTGGAGTTTCAAAGTATGCATTACGCTGATACTGAGGTCAGCCCTATTCAAAGAAACTTCCCAGTGCGGAGTTAAAGGTGTTTTAATAATGAGTTGGGAATAATCAGAACCTCTCCCACGAGGATCATTAGTCATATTCACAGTATCGGATCCACATGCATTAGATATCCATGATTAATGGCCAGTCAAACAGATATCAGGTATCCAGAGGCCGAGTAAATACAAAAATATTCACTGCATAAATGAGTTTATGTCTGCTGCCTAACATGTTTTTGGAAGGGCAGAGTTCTTTCAGACAGAGGCTGAGGGGCAGGAGCAATGGAGAAGTAAGAGTGAGGCTGCCTGTCATGCCAGTCTTTGTGAAAGTGAAATGTGAGGGTCACTGAGGGTGCGTCAGTAACCGCGGGAGCACCATCGGTGTGGGGATTGAAAGGTCGGGGTGGAGCAGGGATTGAATGGGTCTTGGGGCCATAGTGGCCTGAGAAAGAAATAGCAAATTCTTGGCCGAAGGTGCAATGTCTTTAGGCGCTTTGGTCGTGTGAGGGGAGCTGCTGTCAGCATGTCTTTGTGCAGCCTGGCGTCTCACTAGATAAAAAGGGCGGATTTCATTCAGGCTTTTTTTTGGCTAATGTGTGCACACATTCATAAACACACTCACAAATTATCTCGGCTGACACTTTTCTCTTGGGAAGTCATGTGTTTTGATGTAATCATGGCCTGGATGAGTGAGCCCAGCCTGGCACCTTTTACCGTTTATGAATGTGTATTTGTTTTGGGCTTTGTGCGGTCGTAAATCAGCTCTGATGTTTTGGTGTGCTTGGGAAGTGTTTACTTTTTATTTACATTTTTGGGTCTTCATCGTGTCATCCAAACCATGGCGTAACTGGCTATAAATGAAAGTTAGAACGCCTTGTATTTCCCGTTTGTGCCTTTTTAGCCTGGGAATAACGTTTAATGGCTATTCACAGCTTTCATTCATTTACAGTGTTTTATTCAGAGTATTTAAAATGAAATCTAACTAGCTCTAGAGCATTAACAAGCATTTGATGGTGGCCATCACTCATAGGCTTAAATTATGAGGCATTACTTGTGGTCAAAGCCTATCTCGGGGAAATACATTCTCCTCTTACAGCTTTCCCTGTTTATGGAGAGCAACAAAAGTGGCAGCTCACATGGTTATAATTAGTGAGGATGGAGTCTTGAAGAATCTTATTGCTTCAGAACTCAGACAACTGAGAAAGTGTTATGCAGTCCAATAGAAACTTGTCCCCTTGCCTCTTTTATTTCATTCTCTTTGCTCGTCTTCTGTGGAACTCATTCTCTTGCTACCTGTTCATATTTGCATTTGATATAAGGAACGTTGTGAAAGCAGGTGGTTTGTCTCCTGATGGCACATATTTAGGTTTGGCTCTGACAGGAATGCTTAATCAATGGCTCATTGCTGTTGTTTCCATGTTGTCTTGTCTATTTCTCAGGTTTTGTTTGGTTTTAAGAGACGAAATTGCACTTCACCAGGTCCCTAATATGCCTTCAGACCGCTTCAGGCTTCCATGGCATGGTGCTGATTTGTGGTTGTTCAGCAGACAAAAATGAGAAGTTCTGAAATTCACAAGTCAACACCGCAGGGCATGAGTCTTTTGCTCCGATCTTGTTCCAGATCAGAGGCCTGATGAAGCAATGAGAACGATGACTGTCTTTACAAATGAATTGGAATTCATTTGAGAAAACAAGGGTGTTCCCTGCAATATGGGGGATGCGTGGTCACTGTTCAAGCAACATTGCCTAATTTTGCCTCACATCACCTTGAGCTAAGTTGCTTGCATTCTTTTATGGAGGGGGGATGTGTTTGGTCCTGCCCAACTCTGACTGGCATCAGCCTAGTCTTCTATCATGATTTTTTTTTGGGCTGCTTTTCCTTGGAAAGACAGAGGGAAATTTGACTCTAATTTGTGGCCTGCGATCTTCCCACTGCGTCTTACCTCTCGTTTGAGTAACTGTGCAGCCCTGAATGTGGTGAAACAGCCTTTTAATGTGGCTTTGGTTTGAGAGCCATCCCTTTGGTTTGTCCAGATGCATGACCAGACCGTAGTACACCAGTTAAAGGAACAGATTTTTTTGGTTTGCGGTCTCGGGTTTAGGATATATAAGTTAAGAACAATTAGCTAATTGAGTCCTTTAAGACTACATCAAGAAGGGGGTCATTTGACGTGGGTGGTTGTTTCACTGAACAGGCTCACCACAAAGAAACAAAAGCATTTTTTTTCATCACTTGCATTTTTTTTTCATGACTGTAACAAACTCTAAACGGCTCTTTCAAAAGTCTCCTTAATATCTGGGTCAACGGTAACTCAGACCGTCCCCTCCTCAGTTCAGGCTGCAATGGCCAGCACTCATTACCTCAACACTTTGGCATGCTCCCAGCACTGTTGCTGATATCTCAGACCAATTACTCTAGATTTACTCCTGAGCGGCCTCCTCTAACTAACGGCCGACTGACTGACCGACATATGACTCAAATCGGCTGATTTGTCTGAGGCTCAAACTGCTGTTTAGGTTCATTAGTCGAAATTTTATTGGGCATACAGTTAGCCTGGCCACAGTTTGAGCCCACATGACTGGCTCTTGGCCCATGAACTGTAGTTTTTGTGAATTCCTTGAGAGAAAGCGTGTCTCATGGCAGCACAGAGACTGTTCATGTTGGCTTGCCGAAAGAAGGATGGAAAAAAAAAACGTGTCTAGAATGGCTTCAGGCTCTCACAACATAAATCCTGTGTGGCGGGCTAAGTTTCAGTCAAGGCAGCGGGAGAATGAGGGATGAAGCGGGTCCAGATCAGATGTAGAACCACATCAATGCTGACTAGCTTTCATCTTGAAACATACCTACCATAACAACGGCCTCCCTCTGCATCGTGGATAATTCATTAGAAAGGCGTAAGACTCCAGGATCTGTCCGTGTTGGTCATGATACATATCTAAGGCAGTCACTTGTAGAGCTGCAGTAACAAAGATCTGTCAGTTTGAAGATGCATATCTATCTAAAACAACAGAATCCAATCACCCACAGAGCCTTGATCACTGGGCTATGAATAAGTCAGAATTCTGACTGTCTGATGTCCCATGAAGTGTAAAATACTCCTTTCTCAGCACTCATTCAAAGTCAATTTTGACCGTAACAAGGAAGTGCTGCTCTAGCACTTTCCCAGAAGCCAGTTCAATAACCAGCAAACAAGCGGAAAGTATTAATCAGTTTCAGGATGTAGTGACCTTTCTGCACACTAAAGAAACAGTGTTGCACACACACACACACACACACACACACACACACACACACACACACACACACACAGTATATACATGCATGCAACCACTGACACCAGCAGAGGCAGACCAATTCATAGGCAGTCAAAAAAAAAGAAGAGGAAAAAAACCCAGTAGACTTTACAATCAAAAAGAGGGTGTTCAACATATTTCTTCATAATAGTGTTTGAGAGCTGCTGTGAGAAAAAGTCACTTCAACTTTTTATTACTCTCTAACCGCAGTCTTGGGTGATTTGTGAGTCTTCATGAGATTCGAACGAGCATACATCCTGTAAGGGCTGAGGACAACACGGCTGACTGCCTCAACAAGGTATGTTTAGGCTCTGGTACTGTTTTTGAAGCGGTGGAGGTGATAATTTGTGGGTACTGTTGCTTTAACAGCAGGACCATGCCCAAGCTGTAAGACTATAATCTCCAACAACCATGAGACTCTGACTCCAAGAACTACCGAAAACCATAGTCTGGACAGCCACAAGCAAAAAATGAAAAGCAGTGTCTCACTTGTTCGGTATCCGGAGGATGAGCACAAACATGACCCATGTTTTCATTGTGGAGTGATCGTCTCACGTTGATCTGCCTTTGTGGGGAGTTGGAGCTGGAGTGTGTGCTGCTCTTTGAAACTATTGTAACCACTGCAGAATGGAAACTGTGATAAGAATAAGGAGAGCCCTGATGTATGAAGAGGGCTGAAGTAAACTCAAGGACTGTAATAGAATAGGGGGCACTCCCAATTCTGTGCTCAACCACATAAACGTTGTACAAGCACCTGATTATATTTTTACTCTGGTTTCTCCTCACAGCCACAATTCCCTGGAAGTAGAGTCACAAAGGCAAGTCTACTTCCTTAGACATTCCCTTTATATGTTTTGCAGAACCCTGTGTGAAGGGCGACGGTTTAGATGAAGGGAAGATAAATTGGCGCATCATCCTCAGAGGCGCAGACACTGTTGCTTCCTGGTTGCTTCCTGTTTATTTCTTCCACTTCCTTCTTGACTGACAATGAATCATGACGTAGCTGAACATTCTTTGTTCTGTTACTATAACTTAACTTGGCTTGGTTGTAATTTAAATCCACTCCCTCTGTTTATCTTCAAGCAGGGTAATTATATGCAGACACTAGACAGTGTATTTTGGCTGAGGTTTTGCGGAATCTCTAATTAGGATGCAAAATTGTAGAATAAGAGTAAGCCCCTGAAATTCTGCTCAGAGCAAGAGGATGAAATAAGATGAATGAGAATGTTGCAGATAGGAATCAGTTTCATACACAAATCAAAGCATACCTGTGTGCAATCCCGCATGCAGAGAGCCTCACGTAAGTGTGTAACACAACCGTGACCTGCAGACACAACTGAGTCCTTCTGCTCTGAGTCACATTCCCATCTTGAGTTTCAAATCTCTTTCCAGCTCCACAGACCTGGCCGTGGTGGCGACACTGTAATTTTGACCTGAACCTGTTGTTTTCTTGTCAGACCCATCCTCAGATAATCACATCATTCAACCAACAGGAGAGAGAGAGACAGATCTCGTTTGTATCCGTCCCATGAAATGTCTGATGTATTTGTTTTGAAATGACTCAGATCATATCATAAAATACACAGCGCCAGAGTTCTTTCCCCACAAATGTTGTGGAATGATTTATAGTCCTAAATTAAAGCTGGTGGGGCAGCTGTGCACAACCTAATATCTTATTTATTCCCAGTTGACTGTTTGAATGACTTACAGCTCTTAATGAATGTTTCTGAGCAGAACCTTCTTTAGCAAGAATTATTGCAATATCAATACAGAGATTAGACATTGTTAGCAGACATAAATCTGCTTTGTTTTAAATTAACTTGAAATCAGTTAAAGATTCTATACTATGCTAATTGACAGGTATATAATATTATCTTCTGTGGTGCACACAAATGGGTGCACGTGTGCTATTTGGGGAAATTAGGGCGTGATCTCAAATCATAAATGGCTTTTGATATTGTACCATAAAAGTGTTTTAGCTGCCAGTGCTTCACTGTTGTATTAATCTATCTCAAGCCTGATTGCATGGGCAAAATTTAAAGATATATCAATGCATATTGCGAGTTTTCTTTGTTCAAGTCATCACATGGTAGATGGGCCTTCTCACAGAAGCACGAAGAATTTGAAATACTAAGATCTCTCATGACTCAAGCAGCGAGATGAAGTACAGACAGCCATACAGAATGTAAACCAGAACCCACATATTTGTCTGTGTGTATCATAATGCTGGATCATGACGTAAGAGGCCTCTGTGAAACGCTTTTACTCGGTGAGACCATGGCTGGCTGTGGCGGGGCCGGTGTGGTCACAGCAACCAAGTCATAACATCGCAACAGTATCGCATTCATTTTGACTGGGACTGGAACGGCGCGTCATCTGCTGCGTGTTTCAAAGGATTCTTTTAATCAAGCCTTGATTAGTGCTGAATTTTTCATCAATAAAGCCAAAAGCAACTCCTTCTTCTTATTCCTTGCCATTCCTCAGACTGTAATTCAAAGAGTGAACAGTCAGACGTCCTGCTCATGTGTATGTTTGCCACAGCAGTGAGGATCCATCATGCTTCTCTGTTCATGTCAAAAATGGCATGCTGTAACAGAACTCTGCACTGATCTGTGTTAGCAGCTGCTCACTGGCAACATTCCCTGAATTCTTGATATATTGGCAATTAAAATTGAGCACCCAGAGGTCTATTAACTGTGAGTAAGATCATGACGGTATAAACTGAGTTGTCTCTTCAGGTTATGTGTGTGATTCATCATGACTTTGCAGAGGGCCATCTGGAAGTGATGCTCATGGTATACACACAGCTGGCTGATTATGAATTTCAAGTATCACGGGCCTGTTTGATAACAATGCTACAGACTGAGTATCCGCTGGGCCCTTTGAATAAACATAAGGGAGCTTGATGATTCAGGCTGAGTGGGAATGTTTCTTACACACTTGTTCCCACTTGTACACTTCACTTCCTTGTGTCTCTGTTCCCATAGGTTTCAGATGCTACCATGGCTAAGCGAAGCTGGCTCACCGCTGCGTAGCTGTTTGAGATGACCTGAACATCACCTGGAAGAAAGACCTGGTGGAAAAAGCACAGAAAAACATAGTGCTGAGAGGAGAAGGAACATCTGCTGTGAGAAGATAAGATCAGCTGTCCTTGAGGGTCTGAATACGAGACCTATCTGACGTTTCTGTTTGGGGAGAGAGGAATTCAAACTATTCAATAAGTCTTTTGAGTCTTCAAGGAGATAGAGGGCATTTTATTATTATTTTTTAAGTGCTTGTAATTTATCTTCTCAAAGCCAGCACCATGTGCCATGTTATTGTCACTTGCCGCTCCCTGCTGTGGACCCTTCTCAGTATTGTGGTGGCTTTCGCTGAGCTCATCGCATTCATGAGCCCGGATTGGCTGCTGGGATTCCCGCGGCCGGGAAGTATGAATGGAATAGATTTCGGGGAATACCGGCCGTCACTCGGTCTCTACAGCCGCTGCCTTCGTGTAGGGTCCCGGGGAGTTGGTGTGAGCTGTGGGCCGTACGCTGAGACATTTCAGGATGTGGCCAGTGGCTTCTGGCAGGCCGCCATGTTGTTTCTGGCAGCCGGGACGCTGCTTCTCGGGTGTGTGGCGTGCATCTCCATCTTCAGCTTGTGCTTCCAGAGCATCCTGAAGAAGAGCATATTCAACATATGTGGACTGCTTCAGGCTATAGCAGGTGAGGCATCTGTCTCAGTCAGCCAACGTGATTGTTTGTGGTGCAGAAACACACATTTTGATTTTTCAATATCTTTCAGCATCACTCTTATAGAAGTCCACGAGACATAGAAAAGGAATGAGAGATATAAAATGAGAGTGAGAGAAACTATCTCTTTCCTTCTCTTAAATTAGCTCATTACAATCGTATTATACCATATTGATATTGGAAATAATTGGCTTTATGTGGAACATGCTATACTTCCCAATAAATATCTTATGAGGATTTACAGATGGTTTTTACAGGATCTGATTCTTATGGAATGACGAATCCATGGCTTTGCAAGCAAGACTATGCAAGTGCAATCATGTGTATAGCCTTGAGCAAATTTCACTTTTGGTATCAACTTTGGACGTAAAAATGTCAAATTGTACATGTTGATATCAAGACATTCCATTTAATTTTCCATAAAAATACCTGTCATCGAAAACTTCTTTCGATGACAGGTAGACTCAAACGTTTAGCAGGACAGATCCGTCGAGTAGGTAGCAGATCATTTGTGACTTCAGAGTGATGGACGGTTGGGCTCGGCTGGGGTGACATAAGGTCTTTCCCCTCATCAAATCAAATACTTGTCAGTTGAAGAATAGATGTTATCTCTGCCAGAGCTGAGTCACCATGTTCCAGCCTGCTCTGTGATTTATACTTTCAGATGTTTACGTGACTAAAACCCTCATCCCTCACCATGCTCTCTCTCTCTCTCTCTCTCCCTCTCTCTCGCTCCCTCAGGCCTGTTGCTGATGGTGGGGCTCATGCTGTACCCAGCTGGTTGGGGTTCAGAGAAAGTCATCAGCTACTGTGGCCCTGAGGCCTTGCCCTTCAGGCCCTTTCTGTGCTCACTTGGCTGGGCGTTCTACGCAGCAATAGGAGGAACTCTGGGTACCTTCCTTTGTGCTGTCTTGTCTGCGCAGGCCGAGATTGCCACCTCCAGCGATAAGGTTCAAGAGGAGATCGAGGAGGGGAAAAGTCTTATCTGCCTTTTGTGAGCTCCTCTGAAAAACAAAATGAATAGAAACAAGAACAGGAAACCACCCTTGATGGATGTGCTCAAACATGGACACCTTCCCATCTCAGTGGAGGGGGACAGACACCTGTCTAAAGGTTTTTCCTCTCAATGGACTTGATAAAGAGGTTGTTAAAAATTGGACAGCCTTTTCGTAACTTTTGCTGAAGTCTACCTGATGATACAAAAGGCTTTCCTTTTTTCTATGTGATCAGGTCAATCTGAATCTGTCCAAAACTTTTTTTGTATTTTTTTTCCTCAACAAGATGTATATTTTTCTACGACCTCTCTCCTTAAGCAAACCACTGTGCTGTTAAAGTAGATTAATTTAAGAAAATGGTAGTGACTATGTTAATAATGTTATCATGGAAAATTTAAACACTGCCAATAAGATGTTTATGTGTGTAGCATCATCATGATGTTCATTTGCATGGTTCACCTGCAAACTCCAACAAACCACTAACCACGAGCATTTGTTTCCATGAAATCCCAACAACAGCTTGCATATGTTCTCTGTGGGCGATTAGATGCTAACTGTTGAGGTTTCCAAATGTCCATGTGCTTGGATTCTGTTGCACAGCAGGACCTTGGGAGTTGTTTTGGCTAACTTTAGATGTGCCACGGAAGGCATTGCTCACATCAAACGGAGCTCCTTGTATTAAACAGGTTGTTTGTGGACGCACTGCGGCATAACAGCTGGCAGAGTGTGTGTAGAGAAAAACTAAGACTCTTGCCAGATGTTTGACAGCCTCTGGCTCTTATGAGGGAATATTTTCTCACGTATAATGCATTCCATTTTTAATTAATCTTTTTTTTCTTTTTACATTTCTTTTACCACCGCAGTATTGTTTGATCCTTCTTTTTGTAACGTTGACATATTTGCATCCACAAATTGCACCTCATGATGTTTTGCACTTGGTCTTTGCTGCATATTAGTTTGCTGCATGATGTTTTACCTTTCTTCCTTGCTCCATATGTCATTGTATATGTTCCATTTTAAGTGTAGATGAGATGTGCAATAATTCCTCCATAGTATTTTCAAATGGGTGAGTGACTGAGAGAATGAGCCTGGACGTGAAATCCTGCCATGAATCTGCACCAAAGAGCATTAATAGCCCCTTTGTGCTGATTTTCATAGTTACTGTCAGCTTTTTTTGTTACATTAACAAAAGAGTAACAGCACATGTGGCATGATAGAGGATGATATGTTAAGAATAAGGTGATATGTGTGTGGAAAGATAATATGTACCTAAATTAGTAAATATATGTGAAAAATGTCTGAGTGTCTGTTTTGTACTTAATCCATCTGAAGAAACGCTGACACCTGCAGGTCGAAAGAATAAGAAAAAAATACCTTGAGGTAAATAAGGAAAAATCTTAACAGGATAAACAAAGAGGAGAGAAGAATGACATCATAAGTTTCAAAAGGAAACAAGTGAAGTACGCAAACATTTGCTTCAAATTTTATTTCATGTTAATACCATAAATATACAAAACTCAAACTATTTCACATGCGACAAAGGCCAGACAGAAGTGCATTACTTTTTTTTCTTTTTACATGTTATTGATAATGGGGATCAACCTTTACAAAATATACAAGTGTCCCTTTTGAATGACTTTCTTCTCTGATTCAGTGAAATAACACGGTCACAGATCAAAAAACACGGTTTTGTGTTAGCAAACTTCAAAACATATTCTGTACTGCAGACCAGTTCGCCACATACATCGAGGAAACTACCCACTGCAGCATGGCTTAAAAAAAACAATGGTTTAAAAGTAGAGATAAATGGTCATCACAAAGGTGTATGCAGCAAAGTATCGCAATAACTTAAAATAAGACGGATGGGAGCACATCACAATGCAAGATTTGAAAACAAATCTAGATGGACATTTGGTAGATTTCTCACAGCTTTTCAGGACATTGAATAACACTTGGAGTTTTTTTTTTTTTTTACTTTCACACCAATTATATACACACATCCTCATAAAAGTACACCTCTTTCAGGGTTGCAAAGTCCCCGAACTTTTGCAGCCTAGCTGATACTATGACCAAGTCGTTCCAAAACCATACAGACAAAAAGAGCTACAACAAAAGATCAAACCAAAGGAAACTGAAATGCCGAGAAATTAAATAACACCATAAATAAAAACACATTTTGCTGTAAGTTCAAGGTAAAACAAACGATGTGCAATGAACTGAAATATTTCCAAAGAAAGTAATACTGCCCAGATGAGAGCTTATTGTTGTGAGACCCCCTTAACCCTCAACTTCCTAAAATTTTAGGGAATAATTCCTGCAATACCTGCAGATATCATTAATCTATCATTCGGTTCAGACAATTCACTATATGAAGTGCACAACAAAAAGCCCACATCCAAATTAAACTTCAGTCACTGTGGTCTGTACAACTAATGCGCTGGGTAACACTATTATACTGTTTATAAATAAATGTTTAGTGGTGATATGGCTTAAGGTCCAAGTCCAAATCACCCGTTACTGTAATGTTCATGTAGGCTACAAAATTTCACTCAGAAACTCCAGTAATCCTTATTACTGATGGGAAACTGTATGGTAGTGGGTGGGTAGAGAATGAGGTGTACATATACACAGTATCAGTCTTTAGTTTTTTCTTACATATGCAGGTTAATCTCTGGAAAAAACAAAACAATCTGTGGCTTAATCACTTTACAGGTGACTCCCTGTCAGGAAAGGCATCTCAGTTCTCCATATGTGTGATGGGTTACCTTCTCTGCAGGAATAATGACAGCAGGAGGCTGTGACCAAACAGCTCCAAGTTATATAGCAGCGTTAGTTTCAAACCAAGTGTGAAGAGCTACAAAAACAACTCCGGAAGAGCCACATACAGCCACATAGTTGCGTTAATGCCATACCCACAAAAAAGAGGAAATAGATATTTCACTTTTTTTTTTTCCACACGCTGAATTAAGGAGGCCATTGAAGTCGAGAGCTGAACCGTTGCCATTGATCAGAACGCTTACGAGAACATGCAACCACTTCTCACACAAAACGGAGAGAGAACAAGGTGGCGGACATTCCCCCTTAAAACCAGTCACTGCTGTAGCCTGAAGAAAGGCAGAGGGCAGATTGACCGTGCTGAAGATTCTGCCAACTTGCGTGTGCCAAACATGCATGTTCCTGTCATGCTATCAAACCTAAAGATGCTGAACCAACCCAATCAAACTAGCACACAGAGCAGGAGTAGTTATTCAGCTGAGAGGTGTTGCTGCAGACGGGTCCTTAATAATTAAATACGCGTTTCTATAAATATGATATTGTTTTTATCATATAAGAATGGCATTTGTCTCACTACACAAGCACAGATATAGAACAAGGTACAGTTTACCTTTCAGACCTCAATTCCCATTGGATTATTTGGATTGATGAAATCAAAATAAATAAAGACAAATAAAAACCAGAGCCACGCTTTTCTTTAGGAGAAGTACAGCTTCGCACAGAAGCCCACCGAATAAACAAACAACCAAACACTGTTCTCTCAGTAAGTGGGCAAAGAAACAGAACTAAGTGCAAACCACCACGATCGGATTTTCACTTTTCACGACTCTACACTGAATTTGTCAGGCAGGAGGCTGTTTTGAGGTCATCACCACCACAAAAACAAGGTATGCTAGAGCTGCGACCTCCCCCGGATCTGGGTTCACCTCAGAGGGGACGGAAGGACAAGGAGAGCCAAGGGGTGTTTCAGCGCGTGGGAGGGACTCCCGCACGCCCAGAGCACGCCCTGCAACACTTGGTGGATGTTTTGAAGGATGTGGGTGAACAGTCACCTGGCTGCAAAGCAGACAGGGTGGGTGTGTTTTCTATTGTTTGATTCTAGGTGAAGACGAGCAACTCTGGTCCCTTGTCCATCGTTTTATTTTACACTTCATGTGAAAAGTGCGCAGGGCAAAAACATTCATAAATATAGTCTGTTAGGTAAGGGGCTAGCCGGGCCAGAGTTGTCCCTCTCCATCTCCTCAATGTGTGTGCATCCTTATCTATGTGAGCGTGTGTGCCACGTTGTGTGTCTGTTTACGGCTGAGGTTTGAAGGCCCCGCGAGCGGCGTTGGTTGCAGCGTTGGCGGCGGCGTTTGCCGCGGCGGTCTGGACCGTCTTATTAGACATGACGCCGGTCGCAAACTCCTGCTGGGCCTTCTCAAAACTAGCACCAGTGGTACGATACAGTGCGTGCACCTGGACAAACGAGAAAACAAAAACGGGTGACAACTAGAAATAACAGAGTAATTACAGCAATGACATTTGACTCTCCACTACACACAATAAACAAACTCTTTCTACCAGCTAGCAAGACTTAGGCCTCACACATTTATTGGTGTATTGACCGTGTGGTTGGAGTAATTTGAAATCGATTGAAATGTGTTACCTTTTTAAACATTATGAGTGAGCCCACAGACAGTGCTGTGAACAGAGCAGCAATCAGTAACATGATGATGCCCACTGGGATACTGGTGTTCAGACCAGTCAGAGCTGCGATCCAGCCACTGGAAAGACAAAACCACCAAAACAAGAGTGAGCATAACAACACGCTCACGGGGGGGGGGGGGGCAGAGACACAGCGCTGATGACACTCACCATGTCCCCCAGCCCGTGATGCCAATAGTTTGTAGAACATGAACTCCAAACTGACAAATGTAGACGAAGAAGAAGACGAAGAAGCGAAATGAACTGTCACTCCTGCAAGACAAGGCAAAGAAGAGGGTTTGGACAAATCAAGGCAGAGGCTGTGTTTATGCTCCATTAAGCATCAGGTCTTCTATGATTTCAAATGATTGGAAAACTCTGACTCAACAGTTAATGCCTATGTGGTTTGAACATGAAATGAGATTAAAAAATGATTTCTGCTTCAAAAATGGGTTCCTGGTTGGATTCACTGAGGGACCAGGAACCTTCTGTGTGGAGTTTGCATGTTCGTGGGCTCTATCTGGGTACTTCCTCCCCCACAGTCCGAAAACATGCATGTTGGTTAAATTGAATACTAAACTGCTTATAGGAGTTAGCTTTTGCATCTGTGGTTGTTTGTCTTTGTCCGACTCTTTGATCAGCTGGCAACCTGTCTGGGGTGTACCCATTGACAGCTGGGATAGGCTCCAGCCCCCCGGCGACACTACTCGGAATAAGCGTTATAAACAGCGGATGGATGGATAGATGGATGGATGGATGGATGTGGCTTCTAAACTATTTTAGAAAGAAGCAGAATTTTAGCCAGCTGTCCACCATGTTTCAGATGTTTCACACTTCTCATCAGTGTATGGTGGTTATTCATGGTTTCTGCTTCTTTCTACTGATTCACACAATAGAATAATATGCCATTGTCTGCTTACCTAAAAGCCCCATAAAGCGGTCTGTACCAGCAGACGAAAGAACACGGGGTAAACAGTAGAAACCAGAGCATGGCTAGCCCGAAATCTACACCACGAGTTGCATCCACAATGAACCACGCCAAGCAGCCAAACATGTTCACAAAGAGTGTCCCTGCATGAACTGATCCAAGGAAAACAGGGAAGTTAATGCTTCTTTAACATAAGAACACATTATACAAATAAGGTTAAACAAAAAAAACCCTAGGAAAATCAGTCTTTGACATCACTGTGGTACAGTAAATGAGAAATCCCCATCCCATGATGTGTGAGAGATTTAAACAAAGAATGCTGCAGAAATGTTTGTGGTGTTTGAGCCAAAAAGGCCACTTACACATCCAGAGGTTGTACATAATCTTGACAGTCTTCTGGAACTCCACAGGAATGTCCACGGCAATATCGTGATAGAAACAAGGGCCAACAGGGGACCGTTCTGGCAGTGGAGGCCAGTTGTTCTTTCGCCCTGAGGGGACAATGTAAACAGAGATTGGATTATTAGTCATGTATCATTTGAATGCTAATGATTCGGGGAAAAATATTCTTGGAAATGAATGCCAGAGGTATTAGCTGTTAGGGAAATCCAAATGTCTGTGACTTATTTCATTATTTCTAACCCAGACCCAACTCCGCATTTGTTTTAAAAAAAGTGACACCAGCATAACATCTCCAGAGTCCCAACTGCTTTACAAAGTGCTTAAGGTCAACATCCGGAGGCCAAAGATAATTTCCTCAAAGTCTTCATTTCTCATGGTGACCTCATGTCCAACATCCATCCTATAAACTGTCATCTAAATGCACAGAGGTTGGAAAAGTTTTCCTTACAAATTACCTCCAGAGCCAAATTCTGCCTGCGACGTTAAGGAGCGTTGAGCTAATAAGGTGTGGGTTGTTGGACTGACTGACCTCCTGCTGCTCCATGCGACTGTAACTCTCTCTCCCGACGATCCAGCTCCGCTGCTTTCTTCTCAAGCTCCTCCTGCCTTCTCAACAGCTCAGCCTGAGCACGTGCTTGGTCCTGAAACAGACACGGAACAGCTCTTATAATTCAACTCTCCACATCTGACCTCTGTTACTGTTTCCAATAACACATGGTATTTTTCCACTCAGGTAAACTTGCCCATGTTGGTATTTATAAGGCGAGAAAGGGGATTACAATATGAAGGGCAATCAGGCACAGCAGTTCACTCACGTCTGTTGACTTAGGATCAAATTAGCTCTAAAATGATACTCTAAATTGAAATCTACACGAGACAAAAGGGAATTAAATGGATCTACACTGTATGGAATCTGAGATGAAGCGGTAATGGAAACACCAGATTAAAGACAGTACCTCATTACGCCGCTGTTGGGCCGTCAGAAAATAAAAGAATAAGAAACACAAACCAGAAGCAAAGGTGAGGTGTCTCATATCATAAGAAACTTTATAAGGACATTTAGAAGTTCTGTGTCGCTGGGTGTAAAGTTCAGTCCTGTCTTACTGCTGAATGATGACTTGGAATCAGTACATTTGCATGAACTGGACAACACATATTGCTGATGTATTTAATGACAAAATAGTCAGTTATAGAATAATTGCTTACGCCCTGTTTTTTTGGCTTTGCAGCACTGATTTTGAAAACATTGATGCCTAAGCTTCTATCCTCTGTAAACTAAGGAATGGATCAGCTTCTGACTTAAAATCAAGCTCTATTTTCTGTCTTATTTTCTCTTAAAAATGCAAAATGTAAAATATTTTTATGTTAGCAAATCCTGGTGAGTGCACAAACTAATACCAATATATGACAGAAAGGCAGATTTTGGTGGGTCATTTGTTTTCTCTTTGACATCTTATTCATCTGTTTTTGTAACACAACTCATCTGACTTCCAGTCAAACAGCAAAAGAGGCTTTTTCTGACCCAGGGTCTTATCAGGAGGCTTGTATCAGATGAAGATGAATTTCTGCTCTTCCACAAAAAGCGTGCTCCTCAGGCTACCAGGCGTCTGTGTGACCACCTGCCTTTCTGGAATGAGCCCGGCTGAGGATTTTGGCAAACCAACCACCTCTCTTTTTGATTAAATGTAGCTTTTATTTATTTATGCTGTTTCTCATCTTTTTCACTAGCTCAGTCATCTCTTTGTTCAGAATCAGAATCAGAATCAGAATAAGGTTTATTGCCAAGTAGGTTTTTAGACTTACAAGGAATTTGCCTTGGTGTTTGGTGCACAACACAACACTTCTATGAAAAGCAAGAAATAAAATGTAGAAATAAAAATATAGGACAGAAATGATACTGATTCAACTCCATTTTATCAACTGAAGTAGATGATGTATAATATGTTCAATTAATAATATTCAAATCAGTGTGTTTTGGGCCATATTTGTGTGTGTATGTCATATTGTTTTTCTGTTTACCTGAGTCTGTTGCTGTGAATAAGCTGGTGGCTCTTCTGTGGGCTTCATGATGGCAGGTTGCGTATTCTGAGAGGGGGCAGGAGTAGCTTTGGGTGCATTTCCAGGTGCTGCCTGCAAACCAGCACAGAATGTCTGTTAACGTTCGGTGAAGCTGAGACACAGAGTAAAAAACTTTAATCAGGCCACAGTCATATTTTGCCAGTTAAATCCACTGTGTCTCAAAGGTGCAGAAGAGGGAAGGGAGAGAATATAATTAGGTCGCTGAGGCCCACAAATCATAAATCCATGCACACACTCCTCAAAGCAGAATCTAATCAAGCTGACCGTTCTGGCGTCTGTGAAAGGGTTATACTCCTCTAGACCACCAGGAGGGGCAGACCGTGTCACCTGGGTCACTGAAGGATCCTAGGAGGGCAGAGAGGTCCATACAGGAGTTAGGGGAGTTAAACCTACAACCACGCTATCAACAACAACTAACAAGGTTTCTATGGAAGACCACGATAATATACATATCAGGGGGTCGATAATTCTCCATTATCTCTCAACAACAATCATTGCGTTCACACCATCAGACTGCATGTGAGACTTCCAATAAGAACATGTTTTCAAGGGGATGTTTTTTTTGCTCTTGTGGCTACAGAAACACACCTGTGTCCGTATCGATAAAGATCTGCTTAACGTAAGATCATTCTAATCTTAACAGTTCAGCAAGGTTGGAAGGACTAAACACAAAATTTTGAATTTGAGACAATCCCACTTTGTCAATGAAAAAGAATATACTTTTGAATATTTAGTGAGCACACTCAAATAGGAGTGCATCTTGGACAGGTTTAAACTCCCAATTTGAAAATAATGAATAAAAGATTTAATCATGTGCCTTCTTTGTATAGAATGTAAGTAAAAAGAGAGATTCAATTATATTTTTATTTGTCAATTTTTTATAAGGAGAAGGAAGTACTTATCCTTAGTGACATTAAGTATGAACGATACAATGAAGTTTCATTGAAATGTATTCTATAGATTACATTTAAGACAAAACAAAGATCTGATGTTTACCCTCTGCACTCTATGGTCATTTTTACATTAAATGAAAAGTTGGTAAAAGTTCAACTGTGACAGTACGAAGTCAAACAGGTCATTCTTGTTAGTGCAACACAATCTATGAATGAGGCACATTAGGAAATTTAAAAACGCCATGAAAGACGTGCCAAACTTTCAGGATGATCTGACAGCTTATTGGGTCCTGGCATAAAGGACCCACTGGTGGGGGTGTGCTTTCAATCCACTCAAACCTCCACCCACTGAGAGGCACACACTCATTTAAACATGAGGGAATCAACAGTTGAATCATCTGCTGACCAGAAAAAAGCAGACTAACCAGAGAGGTAAGAGTTTTACAAAGCAGGCTAAAGTCACAACATTTGCACCGTTTTTTTTGTGCCTTCCTTTCCACAACACGAATGATAAAACAAACAAATAAATCTTAGGAGCTTGAAATAGCCTTCTCTGTCCCAACACGGCACTACGGGTGGGCATTCATGTTTCAGCCATGTTGGTGTCATTGTCCTTGTTTATGTTGTGAATTTAAATAGTACAAAGCAAACTAGCTAGCTACATGAATATAAATCTGATTGACAATCCGACGAAACATTTATATTTACATCCTGGCTTGAACCCCAATAAAATGTGAAAATCTATGAGATTTAGGTGCAACATTGTATGAACTAATATTTACACTCCGGTTAGCTTTTTCACAAAACAATGTGTTTACAGACGATGGTAAACGCTACTGATACCTAGCTACCTAGCTAACGACAACAAAGCATTGCATACGAATTATTACAACGCTCAACACAAATTTCCTTAGAAATGATGTGTAAATGTGCAAAGCTTTCTCTCCAATAATGAGTCATATTAAGTGTGACATTAGAAATAATGTGACTGGCGAGTAGCTTGCTCTGCTATCAAGGGAGCACCTATTGCTAGCTGTCAAGCTATAAGCTATTACACTTAGCATAGATGCTACATTAAGAGTGGGTTCTATGAGCTTCCAACCGTATGTTAGCCAGCCAGTTAGCCAAGTTTGCTACCTGAAAGGGATTGCTGAAATCCGGGTCTGCGAACGGATTGCTGTCAAAATCGGACATTGTATCGCCTTTCCTATAACAGCTTTCTGTGTGTAAAAGCTCCCCAAATCACAAGAGAAGGTACAGCCTTTTTATTTGACTGCCTTTCTGTGTTATCTGCAGTATTCTCCGACTCCTGCTGATGGAGACCACTTGCTTAGCAAGTTAGCCGGTAGCACAAAAAATGGAAGACGAGAGGACGAGTGATGAACGGCACTGCCTACGTCACTGTTTCAGCACCACGGACAGCATGACGCCGGAACAGGTACAGTACACACGAAAATACAGGTGAGGTGGCACAACACAACTCTACCCCTTTGTGTCTCCTACAATCTGTAAGTTCATGTCTAATACATTGTAAACTTGTATTTCACGTATAAAAGTGGAATCGCTGAAATAAGCCAGAAATTTGTTAAAGAGCCCCATGGGTAAAACTTTTGATGGGATGGGTTCTGATTGACCTCATCCCAAAGTCCTGTTTTTCCTTTAGATATCTAAAGTACAGTTTATAGCAGACGTCAGCAAGATAATTTTGTTTTAAATAAGAAAAAAATAAAGTTACTCCAGTGCTGACGAAATAACATACCTGTGCATTTCATGTATTTATATAATTTTGTCTTTATAATGCAATTTATGATTTAAATTTGCAACAAAAAAAATCTTCAAATACCCTGTCTGTAAAATAAACAAACTTGTTTTCATCATATACTGTCAAAAAAAAATATATATATAATGACAAATTTGCCATTTCACCAATTCAGATAGCTTTGTACTTACGATTTAAATGCCTATTTCAGACATCATGCATATTTTACACCCATTATGATCCTTTAACAGGTTTAGCACACCTTGTTGCTGATTATCTAATGCAAGTTTCTGGAACATCATTGGAAGAATGGAACAGGAATTCTCCAAAAGGTATTTCCTGATTTGGTGATATGACGTTGACATAATGATGTTGATGGAAAGCCAAATGTTAAGTGAAACCAAGTCTTACACTTTCAAATTGTTAAGTTGTTTTTATTTTGGTAATGATTTTTAAAATGTTTCTATCCACACTGTGTTCATTCAGTAAGCTGTGTGAACCTCCATAGGTCACATACCACAACAATCTTCTCTACTGTGGGATAATGATGATCATGTTAACGAGGGTAATCATGATGAAGATGGTGAAATATGAAAATGTCAGCTACTCACTTGGCTGCTTATGCCTGTGAGAAGGAACTGGAGTGTTGTCTCAGCCCATCCTTTCCATAATGTGTAACATTGACCTCTTTCTCTGAAGTAATCTCAAGCAATTTTTTATAAATCATTTTATTTCACTTGCCCTTTTAAGAAATATTAGATCTTAAAAGAGCTCATGTTAGTTTTCCTGCTCTTGCTCTTGTAAAAAGTGCCCACTTGGGGGAGCTACGATCCAATAGGTCTCCTTAGTCCATTTTGCGGAATCTTTTCTCATTTGCCATCAATTTATTTTCATTCAAACGAAGGGTGACCATGTGAAGAACATCAGATCAGTTGACAGCCTGTAAATGTGATTTAAACATTTAAGCACCATTTACCCGGATTAAGTTTCAATTGAAGAACAAATGCTATTAGGTTGAAATCTTACCATATGTGGTAAATGACGGAGGTTAAGATATTCCGTTTTACTTTTAGAGTTCCGTTGCTTTTTTAAAAATAAAGACACAACAATTATTTGGCCTCTCAAAGGCTTGGACTTTAACTGTAATAAGTAATTTGCTTTTGTTAATAAACATAATAAGTTGCATAACACTTCTGCATACTTGTTAATGTTCATTTTCTGTTTTTAAACATATTATAATAATGTAATGTTTTGATTTGATAGACTCTGGATAAAGCAAACTGTTTAGTCATTACAATTCACCTATAGCCTAAAAGCTCACACACGCTCTCTCTCTTTCTCACACACATACAAAATGAGCATCGGTTCCTTCCTTAATCTTGCATTAATGGACCAAATCACAGACTCTATGAATAATCAATGGCCAGTGGTCTGCAACCGCAGTGCTGAAACCTTGAGTGATACTGAATTTCCTTAATAAGACTCACTCAGACACACACACACACACCTTCGGGCCCTAATAAGGTCTACACAGGGGGTTGAATATACGTCACATGGTTTGTTTGCTGCAGAATGTGAAAGATAAACATGCTATGCCAGGCTGTGCAATATGCGTGTGAATGAATTGTGTCTGTGTGAGTATGCAGAAAACAGGGTTTGTCTGTATGCATCCGCTCTCTCCTGCCTTTCCCATGCTTCTTTCCACAGATGACTCTGTGGAAACAACCGCTTTGGTTAATAGCTGCCACATTAGTCTCTTAACCAGCTGGTCATGGCCATTTAGAAATGTTCATTAGCTCTGCAGACCACACTGGATAGGTGTGTTAGTTCCTTCCTTACTGAAGATGGACACAAAAAGAGACCGTGAGGCAGAGAGACAGACTGGGAGAGAAACGGCAGCAATTTACAGGCCAATATGACTACCAAGTGTAAAAAGCCACAGATGCAATAATCATCATGCTGCCCGGAATAAGAACCCTGCACATAATTAAATCTCATTAAGGTCTATGAGTGTTATTTTAGGGCTCTGAAAGGTTGGATGAGCAGCACTTGATATTATGGGTTATTAATGCTGCAGCATCTGGTGCAATTCTGGCAATGTCCTGACAGTGTCTGAACAGGCTGGATAAAACTCTGCTGTGAATTGATGCAATAACAAGGCGGTAAAATACAGTGCTCCATGTTTGAGGCATTCTTATTTGACATAGAAGAAGATACACTCTACATGTTCATGTTTATTTTACTGTACAGCATTCCACATGGTGGATGCGTACATGTGAGATTTTTTGTGCTGATGGCCAGTCAGAACACATTACACACCACATGGAGAAGAAGCCCTTCGTCGCCGGAAAAGCGATTGATTCTCCATTTCCATATTAATGAGCAGATTTGTTAAGAGCCTGCAGGAGTGGGAGAAAATAACAGGGTCTTCATAGGGCACGACATTTATAAATAAAGCTGATGCAGAGAAAAATGGAAATTAAACCTTTTAGTTTAATAAATTTGAAGCGTCCACAGCAAAGCGGGCGATTTGCATATCCATTTGTGGCCAAATAATGAGAGTGTGGGTCCATGATGAGCCTGTTTTTGGTTCTCAGACAGTCAAACAATCACTCCAGCGTGCAGTCCTCGACATCAATGTCATTAACTCAGGCCTGTTACCTCTGCTACTTGCTTTTCTTAGTTATTTGGTGAGCTGGAGATTCTTATTTTCATTGTGAATGAGGAATGGAATTGTGCGTGAAGCAAAATTTTCCAACCTCCCACATTTCCCAATGTGTCTGTGTCTTGTCACCGGATGTTCTCCTACGCATGCAGGTGTGTCTTGAAATATTTTTTTGGGTTGTTGTTTCAAAACATCCATGTCTTTTGCTCTCCCTCTCTCACAATTCTTGCACTAGGGCTCGCACATAGACACATACAGACACACACACGCAGACACACACGCACACACAAAGCATCACTGATTGAATTTATTGGGGAATGGATGTTGACTAGACCACTCCAAGCAGGCTGGATTGTTGTTGTTCTCAGATTGACAGACAGACCCAGAGCGGCTGATTGAAAGTGCCTTTTAGCTTGCTCTCACTGTATATTTGATTTGGCAAAATGGAAGGGGAGTCCAGTCTTTTCCCAGGATGCAAACTCAAGTCCTTGTGTTTGTGTGGGAGTATTTGTGTGTTTGTGTATTTGTATGTGTTCTGCAAACGTTGACTAGTGGATGCCTCAGTAAATGCTGCATAAAATGTACCCTTTCAGGTATTAATTGAATAATGCAAGCACTCCTCCTGTCAGCCATCAAGTGGGCCACTTTCTCTGTGGCCCGTGCCGCTTTCCTTGTCTGTGAATTGACTTGATTTATCTGTGTTGTTCCAGCCAATGGAGGCCATTTGTTCCAAATATTTGACACAAACATGCAAAGAGCAGAGGGGAGCACTCATAAAGTGAGCTTTTCGGCTGTTACTTTACAACGCAAAGAGACCAATGCTGAGCCAACAGCGTGTTAAAGCTCTCTTTCAGCCAATGATGTGGTGAAAAAGAACAATTGCTGTCATAAAGAAAGAGAAGAGGAGACAAGAAGGGTGTAGAGGAGAGTGACAGAAAGCTTTAGGTGCATAGAGGGTGCCACGGGGGGAAGAGATGTGCAGTGTCCTACTAAATATGCACAGTTGTCTTCCAAGCCTTTAATGGGACACATCTCATTGGGTGCCTTATGTCTGCTTCCACATTGTTAAAGATATTTAGCTTCACACCTGCAGGAAATTCCCAGTAATAAAGACAACAGTAGCATATGGAGACTTTGCTGAGTCCGCTCATACTATATTAATGCAACTTGAACTATATAAAGCTGAAATTTACAACCGAGGAATATATTTGTGATGGAGATTACATAAACAAGATATTCTTTAGGACTTTTTTTATTTTGTGAGAGTTGAAATTCCTCTTCTGCCGGCATAATTTTGAGTTTTTTATGGATGAGACACACTTGTGTGCATCGGTATCTGCCCAAATTGACGTTTGATTTGCTGATTTAGCACCTCTCCCGTTTTTCTGCACACAATAATTTGTCTTACTGGCCTGCCATCAGTTTTTATTATCCAGGTGAATATGTTTGTCTTAGGGTATCAATAATAATAAGCAAAGCCATGACTCTCCCTCTGCATACCAAAAGCAAATCCTCCATGTTGTCTTCCACACAAGGGTGCCCTCTGTTTATATTTGGATTGCATGCAGTTTGCATTTTCAAATGTCTACCAGTTGAAAAATATTTTAAAGCCTAGTTCAAGTCAAATGGTGCTCACAAATGCAGAACACACAAACGCACAATTTCACTTGCACTGTCCGTGGCTCATGCCTTGACTGAATGTGTGCTCTCCTATTACAGACAGTAATTACCGTCAGTCACCCTGTGTATCCATAACAAGCCGGCATAATGCCCTAATCAGGCCTGGATTAATCTAACCTCTTTCTAATCACTTGAAAAGTGATTTATATTGTTTTTCCTGTTCGGAACAAATGAAATCTGTTGCCCAAATTAATACTGGCTTTTCATCACTGGGAAGCTAAAAAGCCAGAAACCGTCACATTCTTGTCATTAAGTCTACACCTCTTGTGACGCGTACATATACACAC